TCCAGGCTGGCCTCCAACTTGTGATTCTCCTGCCTCAGCCTCCTGAGTGTACCACTGTGCCCAGTGAGAGAAAAACAGTTCTATCCATAGCTACTGAAAGCTCTGATAAAATCCAATATCCATTTCTAACAAGTTTTAGTAAAATAGAATTAGAAGGAAACTACTGAAGTGTGATATAGATTATTAATCAAGAATAGCAAATAGTATAAATGACACTAAAGCCATTTACATTAAAATCAGAAAATGGGGCTGGGGAAATAGCTCCGTTGGTAGAGTGCTTGTCTCGCATGCACAAGGCCCTGGGTTCAATCCCCAGAACCACAAAAAAAAAAAAAAAAAGAAATAAAATGGATAATGTTGTCTATTGTTGCCATTGTAAGTAAAAATTACTCTGAAACTCATATAAAGGTGTGAAAATAAGGATGGGGCAAGAGTGTGGCTCAGTGGTAGAGCACTTGCCTAGCATGTGTGAGACACTGGGTTTGATCCCCAGCGACACACATACACACACATAAAATAAAGATAAAATCACCTAGGAAATACAAAAATATTCATTTTAAAATTTCCATAATACAGTAATTTAGTATGGCGGTGAATACAAAATGGGGAATCCAAAAAACAGCTACAAAAGGAAATGGGAAAAGTGCTATTCACAATAGCAATAAAAGCTAAAAAAAAAAAAATATATACTTAATATGTTTCATTTAAAAGTGCAGGATCTCCATACCCCCTGAAAATCTGATTAAAAGACCTAAATTAGGGCTGGGGATGTAGCTCCGTGGTGGAGTGCTTGCCTACTGCCTAGCATGAACAAGGGAGTGGGTTTAATTCCCAGCAGCACACACATCCAGAGAAGAAAAGAAAAAAGAAACAAAGAAAGAAAAAAAGCACTAAAAAGATTCAAACAATGGAAAGAAATATATTGCTCTTAGATAAGATTTAATGTATAAAAAAATGCTTTTCCCAAATTAATATGTAAATCTAATGCAATTATAATGAGCATTTCAATTTTTTTGTATTAGGTAAAATTTTTTTGGAGTTCATTTGTTCATATGGAAAAATAAATGTCAGGAAAAGGAAATTATAAAAATGAATAATAGTTGGCTTGCATCACCAATTTTTTTTAATACTTATTTTTTAGTTGTAGTTGGACACAATATCTTTATTTTATTTATTTATTTTTATGTGGTGCTGAGGATAGAATCCAGGGCCTTGCATGTGCTAGATGAGCACTCTATCACTGAGCCACAACCCCAGCCCCACCAAATATATTTAAGAACATCTATATATAATATATTCTAATCTTGGAATAGGGGTAGATAGATAAGAATGGAACAAAGAGCCCATAATATATTTTAGTGTATCAAAGAATTTAATATGTTACAAAAATCAATACTGCTGTTCCATTAAGGAAAAGCATAGTTTACTTAATAACCTGTGCAGAGCCAAGTGGCTATCTCTCTGGATAGTACAGAAGGGGAACATTACCTTTTCCCATATAAAAAAAAAATTTAAATGAATTAAACACTTTTAAAAATTAGAAAAACCTTGGAATAAAATTTAGGGAGAAAAATATATAAAATCTTGGTATTGCAGATAGCTTTAAAATCAATCCAAGAAATCTAGCAGCAATTAAGGAAAAACATTTATTTGACTTCATATATTTAAAAATGTTCAATAGCAAAAGTGATCACAAAGTCAAAAGAAAAAAAAAGATGGGTACAATATAATATGTGGCAAAGCATTAATATCTCTTACTAATTGATAAGGAAAAGGTGAACAACAAATATAAAAATGGATAAGTTAGGGGAATAGATAATTTACAGAAGAACAAATCTTCATGTTTAGTAAGTATATGTAGAGATACTCAGTGGTACTAGCAATCAGCAAAAGTAAATATGAAATATCACTTGTCACCTGAGTGATGAACAAGAACTAAAAAATGTTAATTTACACTCTTGTCTGGGGTGCAGGAGAAAAGGTGTTCATTCAATGCTAACCATGCCTCTTCAAACCCCACATAAATAAAATGGAATATATAAGGTTGATATGATGTAAGGTAAGTAGGTACCAAGATATTTGTTGTAGCATTATTTGCAGTGACAAAATAATGGAAATAAAGGGAATGTCTATCAGTACAGGAATGATTAACACATTTCATTCAAAGCAAGAAGTATTGTGTAGCCATTAAGAATAATTTCTTAGTATGTACTGTTGAATCCCACCATTACACATAATTATAATACCGCCAATAATAATATGGAAAAAATATTTTCTTAGATGTTAATTAATTTGGAGAGACTGCCATGATGTATTAAATGAGAAAGGTAAGATGCAAAAGGGTATAGTATGAACCTACAATGACAGTCTCACCCATACATACATCTTCTGCATTTATTTTTGTATGTAATTATATTAGGATGAAGAATGGAATAGAATAGCAGAGATTAACATCAGTTGAAATTGGGGAGGAACAAATGGGCACAATAAAAACAACATGAATAATAATGATACAGTTTTTTAAGTAAAATGTACATGCTACAACATAAATGGAAAATTAGGTAGGCTTCATTAACAAGTTTGCTCCATTAGCAATGTTGCAAAACATTTCAGAGAAAGAAGATTGTGAGGCAGTGCAAACAATGATCATGGTAGTTGCTTCAGGAGAGGCATCATACAAGCTTTCCCCCTCCACACTTTCCAAGTTTTCTCCAATATAGGTTTTTGCTTTTGTAATTAACTAAATAAAATAAGATTTCTAACTTAACTGCTATCAGTCACACAACTTTTATTATGTCTTGAAACCAGCAGCCATATGTCCATATTGTGAGCTGGATGACGTCTAGCTCTGAAAATGTGGACATTGTTTTAATTTTTTTTTTTTTACATTTTCATTCTATCCAGGATATATGATTTTTTGGCTTGTTTGTTTTCAGTTATTTATAGATTGGACAACTAACTAAATCACTAGGAATATATTATTCTGAAATACCCAACAAGAATAAGACTTTATATACTTCAAGTTTTTTCCCAAATATGAACAGAAATTACTTCTAACAATGATTTTTGAAGCTCTGTGGCTTTTGGCAGATAGCTTCTCTTCCCCTTTCCTGGCATTAGTTGCTTGTCTTATAAATGAGGAGGTTGGGGCTGAGGTTGTAGCTCAGTGGTAGAGCACTTGCATAGCATGTGGGAGGTACAGGGTTTGATTCTAGGCACCACATATAAATAAATAAAATAAAGGTCCATTAGCAACTATTATATATATATTTGTTTATATATATATGCATATATATACACATATATATTATATATAATAAATAAATGAAGAAATTGGATGAAATAATTTTCTCAGGGCCTTTTTGCTCTAATATTCTTTAATTTTAAATATATTAATCATGGAATGATTTAATATATGATAAATGAATAATTGCTAAAGAGAATAAAGTTTTTTTTTTCTTAGTAATGCTGTATTGACTATGAAAAGAAGTTCAGGAGAGCTAGGGAAGATGCTTTACTTTGACATAACGTTCATGCCCACATGAAAAATGCACAGGATTCCAAAGAGCAGGGCCTTGATTTGGAGCTACTTCTTATATGTAAGTGTTAATAGTGCTTTTTCACCTATGTGTACCCTCTTGCCAACTTATTATTTTGCTTTACAGGCCTCAGTATGTGAACAAAAAAAATTAAATCAACTTTCATGAGGTGTGATTTATACAGAACAAAATGCACCTAATTAAAATAAACATTCCATGAATTTTGTCAAGTTTCTGAACCTGTTATACCACTACCACAATTAAGCAATAGAATATTTCCATCACCCTCAAAATTTTCCTGTACCTCTTCTCAGCCATCTTTTGACCTCCTGATGTAGGTGACTATTGATCTGTATCTTGTCATTATGGAGTTGTCTTTCTTGAGTGATGAACAAAGTTTAAATTGGTATTTTCTCAATCTTGGGTAGTATTCACATATTTTGATTATTTCCATCAATATTCCAAGTAGCAAGCAACAGAAAAGAACTGACTGATTTAAACAGTGAAAGAATCTGTTGAAAGAATAGAATCTCTGGGAGACTGGAGAACCAAGTCTGGGATCAAGTGGCCAGCAACAGTGCCCCCACATCATATGATAAAGCCATTTTGGTGAGGAAAACAACATAAGAGGTGGCTCAAGATTCCTAAGCTGTCTGTACCAGAGAATGGTTTTTGCTTTCTGTACCTTGCTGCCATTGCTGTCTTTACAACTCTTCCTATTTCTTAGAAAGTAAAAAGTATATCCAGTCAATCTGCCTTAGGAAATCTGTCAGTGTCTGTTGGGGTAGGGACATCTGAGTGGCAGGTCCTATGTCATGTGTCCCTCATTTCTTGGCTGCAAGGGAGAATAGGAGAACCTGGCACTTTCAGCCTTAATAGGTACATAAGTGGGAGAGGATTCTTCCAACATAGGAAAGGGTTAAAATGCTGGAGGGCTAAAAAGAGGTCCCACGTTCACACTGGGTTCAAGGGAACCTACCAGATACTGGAAATAGGGATAAGAAAACTTAACTATGTAAAGAAATAGAAATATGTGCACCGGCCTTCACACTTGCCAAAGGCTTTTCTTCTTAAGATAATTTCTCTGAACTATACCTTGTTAATAGAATCAGTGGGCCTAACATTAGTTTATTTGATCCAAAAAAGAAGTAGCAAATTAAAAGCCACCATAATTTTTGAGCAATGAATTTCATACTTAAAAATGATTATCTCCCTTTAAGTTTTAAGCTACATATTTATTCAACTTAATATTTTTATTCTTCTAAAATTATGTAAACCTCAATATGTGTTCAATTTTTTTTCATGTTAACACATAAAGCTAGTTCAGTTTCTTCATTAATTCTTCCTGCTATCCCTATTCTTTATTTCAATCCACAGGTGCAGGGAAGGGGAGGTGGCCTGATCAGGACAATGATGATGCAATGTTGAAGAATAAGCTGGAGGAGAGAAGTAACAGGCACCATGGAAAAAACCAAAACAAAGCAAGGTCAGATTTCCCCATGTCTTGCTTTAGAGCTCAGGATTCAATAAATGTAGGTTTTAGTCTTGTCATGCTACTGTCTCAAAACCTTGTTTCCCAGTTGGGCACGGTGGCACACACCTGTAATCCCAGGGACTTAGAAGCCTGAAGCAGGAGAATTTCAAGTTCAAGAGCAATCTCAGTGATTTATCAAGACCTTTAGCAACTAAGAAACACCCTGTCTCAAAATTTAAAAATAACCAAAAGGTCTGGGGATGTGACTCAGAGGTAAAGCATCCCTGAGTTCAATCCCCAGAACTGGGAAAAAAAAAAAAAAAAAAACCTAAAAAACAAACATCATTTCCCTGTCATCATATAATGATCATGAATAGTGTAGACTTGCTGGCAAATAGGAAATGTCATCTATATAAAATTTGGCTTAATTTGTTATCTTATTATTATTTTTTTCAGTAGTACCCTTAGGACTGCCTCAGAACAACATGCTCAGTGAGGCCAACATACAGATAACCCAACCCCTTCTTAGCTAGCCTGGAAGCACAAGAACTTTCTCTTTTCTTTTTCTTTTTCTTAGTACTGATGATTGAACCCAAGAGCACTCTATCACCGAGCTTCATCCCAGCCCTTTTTCAAATTTTTTAATTTTGAGACAGGATCTAGCTAAGTTGCTGAGGCTGGCCTCAAACTTGTGATCTTCTTGCCTCAGCCTCCTGAGTTGCTGGGATTACAGACACGCGTGGTGTCCAGCTTGAGTTTTCGCTTTTCATCTTTACCATTTAGGAGCAACCACACAGAAGTTTCTGTTACAATCTCCAATTTATGGATGAGGAAACAGTCATGGAGAAGTCAGGCTGCAACTACAAAATGTCGAGGCTAGGTCTGGGATTCTGGTCTGTGTTCCCAAGTCTTGATTCTTGCTGTTATACCAGGCTGTTGGGTCATAGTATAAAATGAACTAAAAAATTCTTACTCAAGATTATATTGGGAGTTTTTGGTAATCTTAAAATATCTGGATTTCACATGAACTGTTCTGTGTATTGAGTTACATATTATTTATGAACTTAATGTTTTGCATATCTCAGGAGAACAATATGCATATTCAGGCAACCAAATATCTGCAACCAGAGGTTTCATCTATCAACTGCTCAATTCATATATATATTTAACACAACAGAACAGTAGCCAAACAGATGATCAAGGAGCTAAATGTGTCACATAGGTTGTCTTGCCTTATCTTCAGGGAGAACCCATGTGGTTCTGGAAGGTACAATGTAGGCCAATGTTTCTCCTCTGTAGGTTGTAAATTATTTTTGCAACTCATGCCTTCCCCCCTCTTTTTTTTTTTGCCTTGTATTTCCCAGTCTCCACTATTGACAATACTGTTCTATTTCCACCTATATTCTTCACAGACCTTTTCATTGACAATTTCCTTCTATTAGCTCTCTTACCATGCAAGAGAGCGAGATTCTCTTTGCTCATTTTGGCAATGATAGGAGGGCAGAGTTCAGAAGTATGGCAAGGATCAGAGGTAGGAGAAGCAAGGGACATTTATATAGTTCTCCTGAAACTAGTAAATGACAACTGGACTGGTACCTTCCTGGACAGGAAGAACAGCCTTCTTGGCATTAGAACCATCCCCTCAAGTAAACTTCAGTCAGCTCAAGAATATGAGGGAGACACTTCTTGTGCATTCCTTCTTTTCTACTTAAAGATCACTAAATACTCAGTTTGGCCAAAAACTTCCCCATTGTGGTAGAATATGGTTTTTTTCTACAAGAGTTCTATTAATAGATTTGGTTTGTTTGTTAGGATATAAACAGAAAACACCAGTTATATCCAGCTTATTTTTTGTTCTCGAATCAATGTTATGCAGTCATATATAGAGAATTCTGTAGGATCTCTATTCCCTGTATATATTTATGAGATAGGATAAGGACAAAACAAGTTGTTTTGATTAAACAAAGCTCTTTCTTTCTACAGGAGAGAATGAACATATGCCGGTGAATAGTCCTTCCACACAGATTTACCAGGTAAAGACAAATAGATTGTTTTAAATGCTCCCACATGTGACAGTGGTGACTGTCGGTTGTATGCGGAGATTTTTGGCACTCACAAGTGCTTCCACATACATTTGTTCTCTTCACAAGATTGAGATTGACAGGGCAGAGGGCCTCTCACATTGTACATTTGGGAGAAGCAATTATTGTAGGACAAATTATTCAGTTTATAAAATGTAGCACTACTATCCCATCTCAGCCCTGCTTTTCTCACCTGATGCTACAGTCACATTGGCCCTTACATCATACAATATAACAGTTTCATCAGAGAGGAGGAACAAGAAAGTTCCCTAAGTTCCTTTCTGCTAAATAGTTCCCTATTTTAGCAGAAAGAACTGAGAATTGAAAGGAGCTATCATTGCAAGTGTTCAAATATGGTGATAGAAAAATTTTAAGCTTTTTTTAAAACAATGGGAACAATTTGATTTACAAAGAAGATAAAAAATCTGCAAAAGAGAACTGGGGTTGTAACTCAGTGGTAGAGTGCTTGCCTAGTAGGTGTGAGGCACTGGGTTTGATTCTCAGCACTGTATATAAAATAAAGTCCATTAACAACTAGAAAAAAAAGTCTGCAAAACATCTTTGCAGCAAGAGTGACATCAGGTGCTTTGGCTCTGTCAGCGGAATTTATTTGGCTTCTATCTTTCAAACTGTAAAATTGAAGAAAATTTCTATCTTTAAAAATCATGGAAATTTATTCTGACATAATTTGGAATATATAAGGCTAGGGAAATCCATGTTCCTCTCTAGGCTTAAGACAGTATTTTCTGGAATACATGAGAAAGACGGAGGTATTGACAGATCTTAGCAGAGGTTGAGAGAAAAGTCCTTTTTAAGCTGGTTTTAAGCCCTGGTAACCAGGAAAAGGAGTTGTCAAGATGAAGAATTGGAGTCCAGAGGAACAGATAGTTTAGGAGAAATATTTTTAAATTGGTTGAGTTTAAGTGATAGCAAGAGTGAAAATAGCAACTAGTGCCCAGAAATATCATGCAAGAGTTCAAATGGCATGGGACCACTGAGGGCAAAACAGAACAGGATTATGAAAATATTTTTAAACATATTGTTTCTAGACTTAAATCAGTCCTGGGAAATTGTAGAGAAAGCAGCCTTTAATTTAATTTATATTTACTGAGTAGTTACTATGTGCAAAGTCTACTATGTAGTCTAACGGGAGGTTAAGCAGATAAAACAAACATTCTCATTGATTTTTAAGTGTCTACAACCTAGAAAACACATATGCTAGATAGTTCTTGCAAGGAAAGTTTTTGAAAAGATTACAGTGGAGGCACTGATTAAATCTACAGGGAGAGATGAATTAGTGTAGACTAAATGATTTGAGGTAGGCATTTAAGGACAAGTTGGTCATTTGACAAGTGGATATGAGAAGGCTAAGTAGGCAGTGAGACCAGCTCAAACGAAGGTCAAGAAGCAGAGTTGGTCTTCACTTGGTGTTGATTTGGTGCCTCACTGATCCAAGGCCTCTCTCTAAATGCTTTCCTTGCCCACTTCTCATCTGTTCTCATCTGACCTGCGTATGGCATTTGAATCAGTGTGAGTACCTATTTAAACTCAAGTATGATTTAAAGTCTATTATAGATTTTATGTAGGTCATTCCCTGGATGTTGGCTAAATATAGCTGCAATGGGGGTGGCCTCATTAGCTTATCATATCACAAACCCAAATACATCTGTTCACAGTGGAATATACAAAGCAGTAAAAGTGAAGTTGATCTAGGTGACCCCTGTGACACTATTATAATCCCATCCTTGTTTTAAAAGAACTTTTCCTAAGTCTGTTTACTACGAGCAACTTTTAACCAAAAAGAAGTAAAGAAGAAGAGGAAAGAGGGATGTGGGAAGGAGTTATCTATAAGAGAATACTTATTACAAGGGAAACTATCTGAAGTAAAATGTGAAATTTCAGCAATTCTGTATCTCCATATTTTATTTTCTTGATAGATCTCTTCTCTTCTTGACATTATTGGATGTAGTAACTTTCTTTTTAAAAATTGTCTCTCCTCATCTAGAATGTAAGCTCTAAGGGCAGGGATTTAGTCCATTTTGCTCTTTGTTGTATTCTCAGCATAAAGCACAGTGCTTGGGATATAATGCATATTTGATAAATATTAGTTGAATGAATTAATTAATGAATATATGCAAGATGTGTATATTGCTTTGAGACAAAAGGTCTGATGTAGTCATTGTCTGGTGTCAGTGTTGGGAAAACTGATTCTTTGGGGAAAAAAAGAAGAGATCCTCACTTCATACTCTAATCAAAACAATCTCCAAAAGGTTTGTCAAAAAGGTTAAGTATAAAAACCAAATCAAAAGTTTTAAAATAAGTATTTTGTTTCTGTATGTAAAGTGTCTTTTTATGTTAAAAAAAAACGTTGACAGAAATCACAAAGAAAAGGGTTTGAGAGTTTATTCACATCTTAATTCACAACTTTGTCAACATAAAAACATCTTAAACAAATTAAAAAACAAATAACTAAATGCTTTCAACAACTATTGCAAAGGCTTAATGATATAGAAATAGCTCATGAAAATGGATTATTCCAAGACCCAAATAGAAAATGGGCGAAGAAAACAAATAATTTTCCAAAGTAAAGTTATAGATAATCTAGTTAATAAACAAGAAAAAGTTGACGCTCAAAAAAGTAATGATTAAAATAAGAAGCATTATTTTTTATTATCTACTTTAGCAAATAATAAAATAATATTTAGTTCTCGTGTATAAATTTGTAGAAACTTTAAGAAAAATTATTAGTTAAAATGCAGGAAATGTGTTCAAGTGTTCAATCCATCACCGGCTCCCTGTCCTGTAACTATTGGATAGATTTGACCTCCTTGGTGACAGTAAGATACAGTAATCCACATCAGGTCCCAGAAGTCAAAAGGAGAATGAGTACTACTATCTCCCAGTGCATTCCAGGTAGAATTACCTCCAGAACATCAATCAGTGTGAATATACAATTACCCGTTGGGTTTTTAGGCTCAGGATATTCTCCTTTATTCCATTCCAAGTGTATTTTTTCTCTCATCCTGAATTCCTGGTACATATACCTTTCAAAGTCATTGAATGAGATCTCTTTTCCAGAGTCAGGTGATGGTGTTTCATCCCTGATGACTTCATTTTGCATATGGATTTTTTCAAATTATAGTCCATTAAAACAAAAAGGGGGTTGGTGTGGTAACTGCAAAACTTAATTCCAGCCAACCCTCACACCAATGACTGGTACTCCAAGGGTGTTTTTTTTTTTTTTTTGGCTCACTTGTAGTTTTAGGAATGTAAACATTGTGGCTTCCTCCAATTCTATTGTTTACACTTCATATATCTTATTATACAAGACACAGTTTCCTAAATCCACAAATTTAGGACTTTATATCCCATACAGAATGCTTCCAAGAATATGCAACCATAATATTATAAATTTTCAAACCGACTGGCCAAATATATTTTATAGAACTATTAATTAATTGAATATTTGCCTCCCTATAATGTAGTAGATTTTTCCCTTTGGGTCAGATCTTACCTAATATCTTTGACTCATAGTAATTTCATATTTCAGAATTTATCCTATTGGCAATATAAACAAAACATATGCAAGGCTTTAAATAAAAAGCAGGATATGACAGCATTATTTATAATCTTAAAAAATAACAAATAAATTTTCACCAAGAGTAAATGAATAGGTAAACTCTGGCATATTTTATATGATAAAATAGTATGTAGCCATTAAAAACTAGACATATAGAAAACATTTTGAAGGCTATGGGAGAGGGCTTATAAGAATCAAAGGGCAAAAAAAAGAGGGGAAGATATCTCTAGTGTGATCTCAACCATATAAATGTCTGTATTTCTATACATATAATGAAATGGGAAAAAAATGAATAAATTGAAATGATGAGATTTAGGGTGATTCTTATTTTTCTTCTTTTTCTCTATAATTAAAATAATTGAAGAAAATAACTTAGGTGCCAAAAGGACCTCTAACTGAAAAATTATGGGAACCAGTCCTACAGTAATAAGTTTCATCATCCAAACTGCCATTGAATTTTTTCTAGGATTTGTAAGTCTTGGCTGAGCCTCAGGGTTTTTTTTTTTTTTTTTTTTGCCATTGAGGAATGTTCTAACCCCAGAGAAGTTAAACTCTTCTAGGCCTGTAGTGTATCCAGGGATGAATAAGACAACTTTCTAACACAGCAGCCTTCGCCTCAGCATCAACATCGTCTTGAAAGGATGATTTCTGCAGGAGAGTAGAGCCGTAGATTAGGAAACAGCTGTTGATGTTCAAATTAATTAACTATCCACTTAGTGCTTTAAATCATTGCATTTCTGGGGGATCAATAAAGAGGCCTAAATAAAATTGGAAGATGGAAGCTGGCAGAGAGAACAAGTTTCTTCTGCAGTGACTCTGGTTCAGGGGGAAACCAAAGCAACCACCCCAGCATCCTTGCCTTTATGTGCTACTCCAAAACACTTGACCTTTTGCCCTCGTGAAGTCCAGTGTGGTAGGAATTTGACATGCCTTGTGGAGTTTTCCTAAACCTCGACATTACGACTTTGCAGAGTTCCCAAGGCATAGGCACAGTCTCTTGAATTTACCTCTTGGTAGCCTCCTGACCTTGGTCATGTGGCAGAAAGGAATGGGAAGTTTATGTAAAAACAAAACAAGCTGGAATTCATGAGAAATTTAGTTTGAGGCCTGACAGATCTTTGGTGGAAACCAAATTGGAAGACACTGATTAAAAATCATCTTCAGAAGAGTTCAGAAGCCAAGAAGGGAAAGAAAATTGAGAAGCAGAAATTAACAGCAGGAAATAGGAGGAATTCCGACTCCTCTCCCCCATTTCTTTGAGCCTAAGCTGCCCTCTGTGGAACCCTAGGCTTTGAAGTTCAAGTCTTCCCTGAACCTACCTCCAGTGGGAGCCCGCCCCCAGCGGCAGAATGGAGGGATCATAACCTCTCTAGAGCAGCTTCATGAAAAAATCAACGGGATGAGGAACGTGTTCAACTCGCTGGAGAACAAGGTAGACACCTGTTTCTAATCCTTGGGGTGGGCAGTGGGCTGTCAGATGAGAATGTTGAAGAGAGAGCAGAGAAAAGATGTTAAGACACTCATCTTCTGGTTCCTTTTTATTCCCAAGGCTGTGAATGGTCAGGTTGGTATGAACAACCAATCTGTCCCAGCTAAAGATAGTAAGAGCCCTGTGTTGTCTCAGGTGTGTGATTATGCCCATAATGGCATCCCCTTCCTGGCTTGTCACTGGTTGTGAAGCTGTTTATAAAGTAGTAGTGTTACTTTTCTGGAAGAAATAAAGGGAGGAAGTAGACTGACACTCAGAACAGTTTTAGCATTCCCTGGTTGTTAGGAACCTTCCAATGGTTTTAAATTACTTTAGAGCTGAGTTTCTACAAATGAGAAAAATCTTTTTCCCTAAGACTCTGCTGTTGCCTTTTGGCTTCTAGAAAAACTCCACATATCCACTTTTAGGAGCAGTGATAATGAAACCTATTTCTGTTGGGATAGTGGTTCCCTTTTGTTTGATTCAAGTAGGAAACCTAAGCTTTCCTTCTTTCAGTTTTAAAACTTACATACTTTTTGCTCTGACGTTTATATAGCAATCAATTTTATTTTACACACAGAAGATGAGTTTATATGATAAAAATTAGCAGATCAGAAAGTAATTGATCTGGTGATTTAATCCATCATAATGGTTTAGTACACATGCTAAGATCAATCATAAAGATTAGTTTTAATTAAAAATTTTTGGAATCAAACTCAGATTGCTCATGTTGTTTCTAAGTCTTTGAGCCCCAAACACTTAATAAGTTCTGATTTTTTTTTTCCTAAAAATGATTTCTTTTCCTCTTATTTTTCCCTATTTCCAGTCCTAGAAAGAAACCATTTGTGAAACACACTTAAACAACAACAACAACAAATCCTGGTTTTTAAAACACAGGGTAGGATACTGATTCATTTTATAGTAGAATGTGTGGATTCAAATTGAAACCATTTGGATGACTTGATTCTGAAAATGTATAGAAGTACACATATAAAGACACTTTCTTGGTGAATATTTTAAATTATAGAAAAAACCTTCGAGACCATTATGTCTTGAAGAAAGATGGGAAGTTAAGAATTTCTCTACTTAGCTGGGTATAAGGTCATATGTGTCAAGAAAGTAATGTCATTGTCTGGCTATCCTGTATTATCTTAATTTATTGTTTGTTGAAAATTCATTTTTTATTGTTCAGAAAATAAAACTGGACCTTTAGAAGTGCTCCATTTTCTCCACTTTTCTGTTTGTATTTAACTTTTTGATTTGTCACATAAAGAGGAAATAATTAATTTTTAAAAATACCTGTGTACTAAGCATATGACATAGTAGGTGCCTTACCCATATTTACTCATTTAGTTTTCAAAACATCCCTGTGAAATAAACATTATTATAATTATCTTAAAGATAAGGAAACTGCTGCAAAAGAGCTCTCTAGGAGAGAGCTAGGATTGTACCCAACCTAATTCTGAAATTATTACCTCACCACAGTGGGGAACATGACAATAGAAGTCCAATGTGGGCAGTCCTTTGACAGACTGGACTGCTGAAGATGATTCACATCACCATCAACATGCCACACTTCTGCCATTACAGATACTTCTGTGCCTTCCTTATGGATTAAAGCTGTTGTCATGGAAAATGCCCAAGAATAGAAAGAAAGAGAAAGAAAGAAAGAAAGAAAGAAAGAAAGAAAGAAAGAAAGAAAGAAAGAAAGAAAGGAAGGAAGGAAGAAAGAAAGAAAGAAAGAAAGACATTTCTTTTTCTCTTTCAAAGAAATTATCATTATTTCTAGATATTATTGTTCTTATTCTTTAACTTTTTAAGGAAAAAAATACCCTGAATTTCTTTATCCTCTCTTAATAACCAAGAGGAATGTGACCTATCCATTCTTTCACAGAATTCAGAGTAGCTGTATTAAGATTGTCTTTTTCACATACTTACATGGCTTTTTAAGTAGACTGCATTTTAATCAAAAGCTGTGAAATGAAAGTAGTTTGCAGGGGCATGCATAAACTTAATTGAGTGTTTTATTGCCAAGCTTCAACATATTCTGTATAAAGAAGACAAATGGGGCCAAGTTTCCCTTAAGTTGTCCAGATTTAGTAAATGAAGTCTGTAGATTGTCAAGAGCCTGGTTTTTTTCTCTCTCTTTTTCCTTATTATTATTATTATTATTATTATTATTATTATTTGTGGTGCTTGGGTTTGAACCAAGGGCCTTGTTACATGCCAGGTAAGCACACTACCAACTGAGCTATATTCCTAGCCCAAGAGCCTGGTTTCTTGAGAAAAGAAAAAAAAAAAAAAGAAGAAGAAGAAGAAAATAGAGGAAGAAATCAAGGATCCAGTGGTGCCATTTATAATAATTTACAGCAAATTGAGTTCATTTTTCATGCATTATTTAGTTGCAGGCCTTAGCCTCTGAACTGAAAACTGGATTCACAGAAGCAATGCAGGAACTGTCAAGAATCCAACATGGAGAATATGCTTTGGAAGAAAAGGTTAAGAGCTGTAGGTGTTCCATGGAAGAAAAAGTTACTGAGATGAAGAATTCATTAAACTATTTCAAGGTAGGTGCATCTTTTGTTTTCCTGCTGAAAAGAGTATGTTGGGGCTTTTCCCATAGCAGCCAGATATAAGAATTTTCCTCCTGGTGCATGGTGGCACACATCTGTGATCCCATCAACCGAGGAGACTGAGGCAGGAGGATTGTGAATTCAAAGCCAGCCTCAGCAACTCAATGAGGCCCTAAGCTACTTGACAAGACCCTGTCTCAAAATAAAAAGGCTTGGGAATGTGGCTCAATTGTTAAGCACATATGGGTTCAATCCTTGGTACCAAAAAAAAAAAAAAAAAAATCCAAACCAAAACAAACAAACAAAAAAGATTTTCTTTCTGAGCCACTCACTAGTTATCATGAAAAAAAAATATATTTCCTGTTTTTCTTTTTGGAGCTCTGTGTCAAAATTAGGGGCCACAATAGATTCATTCATTCATTCATTCAATAAATATGTACTAAAAACTTATGGAGTGCTGCATATTATGTTCTATGCTTTTACCCTACGTACCAGTTTGAAATATAGCAATGCTTATTTTTTAGGAAGAGCTGAGCAATGCCATGTCAATGATCCAGGCCATCACTTCCAAACAAGAAGAAATGCAACAGAAAATTGAACAGCTTCAACAGGAGAAGAGAAGAGAATCTCGAAAAGTTAAAGCCAAGTGAGTATTTTTAAGCTATTTACTAAAAAGAACTTTAAGAAAGAAAATGCCTATTAAAACAATAATCAGTTTCTTAAAGTGATCATATAATATGCTGGTGAGCATGTGGAACAACTGGAGCTCACACACTGTTGGTAGGAAGTAGTACAATCATTTTTGGAAAACAATTTCCAAATTTCTGAAGGTTTCTTTAATTTATTTAAAGATTATAAAATTTTTAAGAAATTTACTATACAAAGAATATTACTATAATAAATATTTGTAAATAAAGGAAATTAAATTCTTCTTTAAAAATATTTACCAGGAGCTGGGGTTGTGGCTTAGAGGTAGAACGCTCACCTACCATGCATGAGGCACTGGGTTCAATCCTCAGCACCACATAAAAATAAAATAAAGATATTAAAAAAATATTTACTAAAGGCAAACTCATAGCAAGATCTTATAGAAAGGCACTGAGAGTACCTTGCCCTCTATTAATAATATAGCTAGCTGGCCACTGAGCTCTGCCAGTCTGCATATGATGGCAGGTATATAGCCAGAAAAGTTGGTTAATATAAAAATGAATGATAACTATTAAATATAAAAATTCATTTAATATAATATGATATGATATGAAAATGATATGAAATGGCATGTATATGTTGATTACAACTGTAAAAATATGTGAAATAATCAGAAAGATATTTTTTTAAAATAATAATTGTTGTGCTAAGACTGTGGGGCCACCAGTGATTTTCTTTTTTCTTTTTAAATTAATTTTCTAAAGTTTCTCTAATGCTGCTATTATTTGACTCATATGATTGAAAGTAAATTGACATTCAACACTGTCTCAACTAAATTGAGTCAAGTAAAGTTTCACCATTATGCATACATAATCTTCATTGTTAAGTTTTTGATGTTATTGAATTTAAGACAGAAATATGGGGATAATATTTGTGTGACCAGGTAGAATAGATTATGGTGTTCAGTTGAAGATCTACAGCTTTCAGGTACCTTTGAATTGCTTGGTTAAGCAAACGTGAATCATCCCAAGCAAATAGTCACTACTGCTAACTTTATAGATCCTGGTGACAGGGAACCAGTAACAGAAAAATAAGAATGAAAGAATTACATTTAGAAGTAATTTGTAGATATCTGAAGTCTTGCTTGGTTTTAGGTGATGAATTAAGGTGAACTGTACAAATTGCTAGTATTGGACTTTTTAATTTACAAAAATAGCAATTTATACAATTCAACTTAATAAATTGGACATTTTCTTAAGCTGTTCTGAATTGGATTTCCTCCTAATCTATCAAGTATTAAGAACCAAAGTGACCTTGGGGTTGTTTTCCTTTCCTAGAAAAACTCAAAAAGAAGAACATGGCACACAGGCTGGGCCTGCTCAACAAGCCCAAGGAAGCCCTTTCCGCTCCATTAACATCCCTGAACCTGTTCTGCCAAGTGAAGAATTCACAAATATTTTGCCATCTCAGGCCTATGAGAAAGGTATAGTTTGCAGACCACCATGGTGAACTAAACAAGTATTTCCCCCCTTATTTCTAGGTCTTAAATAATAGCAAAAGTGGGCTCACACGTTCTCCTTCTTTATTAAAGGAAAATCATGCATTGCTCAGAATTTTTCTTCTTTTCTGGAATTTAGAAGAGTCTAGAGAACCAAAGAGATCCTGAGAGTCTGCCCAACTTTAAAGATCTTATTTTTTTGAGAAAATACTAACCTGGATTCTTCTAAATTCCAATTGGATTAAAAATGATTTATTGCACAATCAATATTGTACCAACCATATGAGAGAAATGCTTTTAAAAAATTCACTCTAAAAAATCATTTTGTTGGTGGTGTAACTCCGTATCCATCTTTGTCTGGAAAATGAGAGCTAGTGCTGTCTGTAGACTGAAATGGTCACCAACTACATATCTGCTCTTAGGGATGTGAGAACAGATGTTACAAAATGGTACACTGGCAATACCAGCTTTCCAAGGGATGTGGTTACTGACCTGTGTTCAATTCAGGAAAACAAAAATACATAAAACAAAAAAACATTTGCTACATTTTTGTATCCTTGACAAAATCTAGCAAAACATCTATACAGAAAAATGAATGCAGAAATTAACATTGATTTGATGACCCCTCCCCTTTTTTTTTGGTCTCATGTAGAAAGTCCTAAAAAGTATAAGTTCCTCAAAGGTAGGATTTGGTGGTTTTCTATCCCTACAGCTTATGGAACAGTTTGGTTTATGTATTCATAGACAATATGTGTGGTTTGAATAACTGAATTTAAAAATATGAATCAAGTGCTTTTTACCTGATGTACTTCTAAGAAAATATTTACTTCATTACTCTTATTTTTCTTACTCAGGTGAGTGTTTACTTTAGAGGCTGATAGGTACAGCCTGGGAAAACTCACTTGATCCATCTGGGAGTGGGTCCACAAGCGGTTCTGTTTTCTTTGTTCCATGACGTGGACTGCAAGACATGAAGGGATGATCCTTATTGAGAAACAGTTTAGGATTGTCTTAGAAAGTAGAAGTCAGATCAATGCCAGGTCTGGGGCAGCTGAACATGTTCACAAGATAAAATATTAAAGGTTTTATTTGCAAAACACATCTTTAGAGAATATGTACCAGCCCCCAGTGAAAGGAATAATCATAGGGCTTGTTTAATCCATTGAAAACAGCTGATATAAATGATTTCAGAGTTGACACAGATTTAAATTAACTGTTTAATGGCAACTCCTTCCTTCCCTGCTAGGTAGATATGGTCATAGTTTATTCTACTAAGTTACTGCAGAAATTTGGGGCTAATGTGCTATAACAAAATATACTGGATACAATTGGTGGTGGCTTATGTTAAAACTTAGGGTTAAAGAACCAAACTTTCTCAATGTGTTGGTTTACCCATTCCTAACGATAAAATGATATGACTGTTAACTATTGTCCTAAAATTCACGGAGTCAGGAGTTGGTGCAGTTTAATTGGGTGCCACTGGCTCCAGGTCTGTCACAAGGCTACAATCAAGGTGTTGGCCATAGCTATAACGTCATGTGATTTCTCTACTCAGGAAGCATCTCTTTCCAAACTTATTCACATGGTTGTTGGCAGGCTCTGGTTCTATGATATTGGCCTCTCCAAGTTGCTGCCTTACAATAAGGCAACCAGCTTCCCCCATGGCAAATGATCTGAGAGAATGCTCAGGACAAATGCCACAGTCATTTTATAACCTAATTTTGGAGATAGGATTCCATCCTTTCTGCCATATTCTATTTTTTAGAAGCAAATTACTAAATTCAGCTTCTAGTTAAAGGATTACATAAGGACATGAATGCACAGGGATGAAGATAATTGGGAGCCATCTTAAAGGTTGCTTACCACAATGACTAGCCCTCTGTTTGAAAAGGCAGCCTCTTTTTATGTGGGTCCTCTGATGTGAAAGCTTCATTCATATACCTTATATTTATACATAACTGATAGTCTGAAAATGTCATTTTACAGGACTAATTATACCTTTTCTTTCTTTCCCTCTCCTGCCCAAGAAGGCTTCAAGAAAAAAAAATATGTACACATACAAATATACACATGTATGTGTGTATGTGTGTGTGTGTGTGTGTGTGTGTGTGTGTATAATTAGTCTCCTCATATCCTCACCTTCTACCTATTCTTGTTCAGGACAATTGAAAGAGAACTTATTTTTTTGTTGTTTGCTTTTTGCAAGACCCTATCTCAAAATAAAAAATTTAAAAGGCTGGGAATGCAGCTCAGTGGTAGAGTGCCCATGTGTTAAATTCTCAGTACCAAATAATAATAATAGCAATACTAAGTAAAATATGTTTTGTATTAAATGATGGTAAGTTAAGGAGAAAATAAGTAGAATAGGATTGCAATTTTAGATAGGGTGCTTGGTAAAGATCTGAAGGAAGGAAGAAAATTAACCTATGAATCTGGAGGGGAAGAAAGGGCACAGCTAGTGCCAAGGTCTTGGTGGGAACAGAACTGACGTGCCCAAAGAATAGCAAGAAGAGTATTGAGGCTAAAGGAGAGTGGATGAGGGAGAGAATGGGAAATATGATAAGAAGAAAGAAAGAAAGAGAGAGAGTGAGAGAGAGAGAAAGAAAGAAAGAAAGAAAAAGAAAGAAAGAAAGGGAAGGAGGGAGGGAGGGAGAAAGGAGGGAGGGAGGGAGGGAGGGAGAAAGGAAGGAGAGACAGAGAAAAGAAATCAAACAAGCAACAGAGAGCAAATATTCTAGGGCTGTATGATGATTATGAGGACTTGGTCTTCTTACACTGAAATGGGAAGCCATTGAAAGGCTATGCAGAGGAGTCTGACTTACATTTTAACAGTATCATTCACCTCTCATTTTTATTATCATCATGGTTAAACAATAATTTTGCTCTTACAGTATTCCAGGTACTACTTTAAGTAGTTTACATACATTAACCTACTTAATTCTTATGGCAATCATTTGAGGTAAGTACCATTGTCACATATATTTTGCAGCTGAGAAATAGCACTTGCCACACCATACTATAATTTTCTTCCTTTTGGCTGCTTTTTGTCTTTCCCAACAAAGTATAAAATCCATGAGTCTTTCAGTGCCTGGTTCATAGAAGGTTCTTAGTGCATTGGCGGAATGAATGCTGAATAAGAACTTTCGTTTCTCTGCAGCCCAAGAGTCCAGATCTGTTCATGTAGGAGAGAGTAATGTGAAGGGAATGATGGGTCCTGGTAAGTGGCTCTTCTGTTGGTTCTTTTTTTCTTCCATCCATTCCACTTTTTCCCTCTTACATCTTTCCTGCCTCTACTCCCTCAGTCCCAAAACAGGGATGAAAGAGCTCAGCATTGCTGTTACTAAGATCCTAGGATGTGTGCTAGAGTGGGTCAGTGACTTGTTTAATCCCAGGGATGGTGAAGGCCTGGGGAATAATCTTCATTTTTTTTTTCCTGGCTCCTTTCAATTACTAATGAATTAACATCTGCTGAAATCTCACAGGTGAGTGTTTCATGATGTAAGTTTCCCATGGACCACAGACGTATGGTTTAATTCAGGTTATTTACTGAATTGACAATTTACCAGAATTTCATATATTATTGCATCTTCCCTTTCCCTTCCTTTTTCCAATGTACATCATCAGGGTGAAGGTGATAGCAAAAGAAGACGTTGTCTTTGGCATCCTTCTTCCTCCTCATTCTGTTCTTTCTTCCCTACAATGTTGCTGACACCTGGTATGCTCACCTGAGAGGAGGCTAACATGAGGAGTCAGTACATGCTACTCTAAATTAGCTACAAGTTTGTTTATTTATTTCTCTATTATTATTATTATTATGTGTGTGGTGCTGGAGATTGAACCTGGAACTTTGCATATTCTACCACTGAGCAATACTCCTAGCCCCATACTTTTATTTTAAAAACTCTATTTATTAGAGCCTATGTAAAAAGAGTAGAGGATTTGTCTAGAAGCAGAGAGAGGTAACACCTTGCAGTTGGTGAAACTTTTGATCCTTAATTGACATATTTAATCCTTGAAGGATAGTTGTATGCATATTATGAACACTATTTTTTTTTCATTTCTTTTGTTAGGACATTTTATTGGTTGTTTTTAGTTATACATGACAGTAGAGTTCATTTAAATATAAATATACAAGCATGGAAAGTTATGTCAGATTCATTTTTCTGTCTTTCCTTTTCCTATCTCCTTTTCCTTCCCTTCATTCCCCTTTGTCTAATCCTCTGAGCTTCTATTCTCCTTTCCCCTTTATTGTGGGTTAGCTTCCACATATCAGAGAAAACCTTTGATCTTTGGTTTTGGGGAATTGGCTTATTTCACTTAGCATGATAGGCTCCAGATACTATTTTTTTTTTTTTAAAGAAAGATCTTGACAGCAGGTGTTATTTTTCAGGAGTGAACCCAACAACTCCAGAAGCAGATGAAAACCTCAAGTCTTGTCTCTCAGCTGATATCCAGCCTAAAGGCCACCTCTCATCTGGTGTATGGAGGCAGCCAAAGGATGGCAAAGAATGGGGCGAAGAATATGTCACAAAAGACCACCCAGATAAACTCAAGGAAGCTGGCCAGGGTAGACACAGCTCCCTGGAGAATGTTTTATGTGAAACCTCTTTAGCTGGTAAGTTTCACAGGGAATGCAGGTTAAAATTTTAAAGTATAAGGTATACCAGGGCTTGGAACCAAAGGGCTAGAATCCTGGCAATGTAGATCCAGTGGACAAATGTGACACCTAGTCTCTGGGTTCTTTTTCAGATGAAGCAATCAAAGGCCACAGAGGTAAAGGGACTCACCAGAGGTCACATGGCCTGTTGGGTGTTAACCTAGATTTTGCATGTTCATGACATTTAGCAATATAGTGCTTTGGAGATAAAAACCAACATAAGGTTGGTGGAGAAGAAGGCAAAACTTCATGAACTATTTAGTGATGTGGAATCTTCAAAGTATAAATCTTTTATTAATAGTTCTCTACCAAAATACCAATCACTGGAACAGGTTCTCTCCTCCCTCCCTCTTTCCTTCCTGCCATAATCATTACTGAACACTTAACTATGTTCAAACAATGGCATTTCCTACAATGGAGGGTAATTTTTTAAACTAATTTATTTTTATTATCAAATACATTAAAAATTAAATAGTACTAAAAGGTTTGTTATAAAAAAAAACAGCAGCAACCACTTTGAGCTCTTTTGGCAGTTTCTTCTGGTACTTGCTTCCAGCTTTTTATAAAATGTCTGTGCTACTATTTTGCAAACAGTACTTTATTAAAGGTTAATTTCTAGCTAGAGAGTAAAATTCACAGAGTGTATATTTTAGCTTCTTGACTTTTTACATATATATATCCACAGCGATCATCACTCAGATCAACATATACAATATTTTTACTACCCCAGAAAGTTCTCATACACCTTCCAATCAATATCTAACCAAAAAACTTCTACTATGTCTTCTACTACCATAAATTACTTTTGTCAGTTTTCAAACTTCATATGAATGGAACTGTATGGTATGTGCTTTTTTGGTGTCTGGCTTCTTTCTCTCAATATAATGTTTTTTTGAGATTCACTTATATTATGAGGGTATTAATTCCATTTTATTAATCACACTAAATGAATATACTACATTTTAAAAAAATTCATTCTTCGATAATGAGCATTTGTACTGCTACCAGTTTTGGGACTATTACTAATTAAACTGCTATGAATATTCTTGTACAAATGTTTTAAGTATATACCCTATTTATCTTGGGTTTACACCTACAAGTGGAATCTCTGTTGTAGAGGCTAAGATTATATTTAAAAGAAATGACAAACAGTTTTCTGAAGTGGTTGGATAATTTTATACTCCCACCACCAATTAATGAGAACTCCAGTTGCTTCACATTCTTGCCATTAGTCAGCATGAACAGTCTTTTTAATTTTAGCCATTCTCATGAGTTGGTACTTGTAGTACCATACTATACTTTAAATTTGTACGTCTCTGATGATATTGATATTGAACATCTTTTTCTCATATGCTTATTGGTTCTCCATAGATCTTCTTTTACAAAGTACCTGTTTAAGTCCTTTTTAAATGGATTATTTTTTGTCTAGAAATTTAAAACATATCTGGCTATGAGGTCTTTATCAGATGTATGTGATGAGAATACTTTATTCCAGTCTATGGTCTGCCTTTTCACTTTTAGTCATTTAGTCAAATAAAAGTTTTAAATTTTGATGAAATCCTATTTGCCAATTTTAAATTCTTTTAATAGCTTGTGACTTTTGTGTGCTTCCAAGAAGTCTCTGCCTATCTCAAGGTTGCAAAGTTATTCTCATGTGTTTCTTCTAAAATATTTATAATTTTAGCTTTCACATTTAGGCCTATCACTTATTTAGAATAAATTTTGACATATGGTGTGAGAAAGGGGTCCAAATTCATTTTTCCCCCAGATGATTATATAGTTACTTCGGTGCTAGTTACTGAAAATACCCCCATTAATTTACACAAGGGAAAGTCAAGTGATCTTATATGGGTGAGTTTAATTCTAGAATTTATATTTTTATTCAAATTATCAGAGAATTGATACCTTGGTGGTATAAAGTCTTCTATTTGAATAACAGGGTATTTATGTTCTTCCTATCTTCTTATATTTTTCAATTTATAAAGATCTTCTTGAATTTTTCTTAGCAATATTAAGAGAAACTCTACCTTTTTTTTTTTTTTTTTTTTTTTCTTTAAAGCATCTGCCCAGGGAACCTCGGTCATCCTAGCCTACTCTGGCCCATTACATTGTATTCTCCTGGGACTTCAGTCTTCCTAGGAATTTCCTTCATATTTCTCCCATGCTAGATTCCTGCTTGGTTATTGTGTTAGCCAGCTTTTTGATGCTGTAACCGAAATACCTGACAAAAACAACTTAGTGGAGAAAAGTTTATTTTGCTCAAAGTTTCAGAGGTTCAGTCCATGGTTAGTCGACTCTTGCTTTTGGCCCAAAGGGAGGCAGAAGGTCTTGGTGGAAATTGTGGTGAAAATGAAAGTTGCTCAGCACATGGCAGCCAGGCAGGAGAGAGAGAAAAAAAAAGGGGGGGGGGTAGGAGAGAGAGCTCAAGCGCAAGGAGTTGGGGACAGATATAGTCCCCAAGGCCACTCCCAGAGTGACCTACTTTTTCCAGCCACATTGACCAGTCAACAAATACCATCCAGTAGTCTATTCGGCTATCAATGAATTAATCTATTTGCTGGATTAATTCACTGATGAGATCAGAACCTTAATCATTGCCTAAAAGGCCCACTTCTGAACCTTGTTGCATTGGGGATCATGTCTTCAAAACATGAGATTTGGGGGACATCCCAGATCCAAACCATAAATTTATGGTCACTTATTATGGGTTTTCATCTTGAATGTTCTTGGTATCTTGGTTTACTCCTTATTTTGATGAAACACATCATCTAGTAGTTTTCACATACATGACTGATAATTTGGCTTAATATAAAACCATTTTCCCTCATCAGTTTGAAGCAATTGTTCTATTGTCTTCTAGTTTCTAATGTTGCTATTGGAGAGTTCAATACCATTGTGAACCCCAGTCCCTTGAATGTTACCCTATTTTTCTACCTGGTAACGTTGAGTCTCCTTCTCTTTATCCTTGGTGTGCTTAAGTTTCCATGGTAATGTGCTGTGCCTTCCAATGATTTGAGAGTCTTTTTGTTTAATTACGCAGAATACAATGGTCCCTTTCCTTTGGGAATACACGGCCTGGATTTTTTTTTTCTACTATTACTTTGGTAATATCCTTCCACCCATTTTTTTTTTTCATTTTCTCTGAAGCTTCTAATAATTTGAATTTGAATCTCTTAGACTGAATTGTTCAACTGCCATATTTTCTCTCCTATTTTTCTTCAATATCCTCTTTCTTCTTGTTTTTATCTGGGGGAGATTTCATTGACTTTATCTTCTACCCTTTTTATTTCTGCTGTTTTAAAAAAAATGCCCAAAAGTTTCTTTTTAAAAGCGTTCTGTCTTTTAAAAAATAGCATCTTATAATTGCTAAATGGCTGGAATATTTTTCTCATATCTCTGATAATATTAACTATATAATTTTAGAAAGTTTTCATTATATCTTACATTGTCTCTGCTTCTTCAGTCTCCCCCACCTTAAATAAATGCACATATACATTTTTTCCTCTTTTATGGTATACACTTATTCAAATGCCTGAGTATCTTCAAGAGATTCTTAAAAAAAAAACTGGAAATTTTGTGTTATCTAAGCTTGTCATTTAACAGGCTTCATTACAGATGGTGAATCAGGTAGCAAGTGAACTTTTTTGGCAGGTAGCCTCTTCATGTCAATTTCTGAGGGCCTTTTTTCCTTGGGAAGTTCACCTTATCAAGTGGAAGACTCTCCCCCTTGCCTGGAGTGATAAAGCCTGGCTAGTGGCATTCTGGGTCCTGCAGGGGAAGGGGACCCAGGGGAATCTCACTGTTCAGAATGCAGGTGGCCTTCTGTGAGTGCCCTTGTTTTCATGTTAGCATCTCAACCCTGCCCTCTGCGTCTGGAGTTGTTAGCCCAGATCCCAGAGAAAGGGCTTCCCTAGTTTCACTTTTCCCATTTCCCAAGGGATGGAAGTGAGGAAGCCAGTGAGAATCTGTGTGTTCAACGCACCTACGTAGACTTTTGGCCATTTCACTTGTTAACAATGGCCCTTACTTGCACTTTCTTGGTGTATCCAGTCCTTGAGTCTTTCTGCTGCTTCTCAGTGGATTCTCTATCTGCAGACAGGAGCAAGAAGATTATGTGTCCTTTGCTCTGCTGAATGAATTATATCTTATATCTCCATTCTGTTTTCCGTCTTCCAAAAATTTGCTGTCTTTTTTACTGCTTTTGATATCTTTTTTATTGCTTTCTGTCATTTTGTAGGATTTGGGAAAGAATGATTAACAAAAATTTCCTCTTTGGTTTGTTTTTAAAGCCAAAAGACAAACTGTGGCTCTAGAACTGCTTGAATCTGAAAGAAAATATGTTATTAACATCTCTCTGATCCTGAAGATAAAGGCAACATTCCAGGGGTCAGATGGAAAGAGGAATTCCAAAGAGAGAAGGTATCCATGTATTCATTGCCTTTGCTTTTCAGATTGATTAGGATTTAAGGTAAGTTGTTCACCATTTCCACCTTGGGAATTCTGGGGCCTACAATGAGTTCTAGAAATAATCTTTGAAAAAAGAATAAGCAATGATAGCAGGTAACTCCTGGAAAATCTCAAACTTAGATTCTAAGCAGGTAAGAAAATGAGTATAGTCTCCAGGGCCTGTAGTGTCTCTGATATGGTGGTTAAGAACTTAAAGGGCCTATTTCAGTGACACAGCCATGTCAATGTTTAGAGAAGCTCAATTGACAATAGCCAAGCTATAGAATCAATCTAGGTTGCCTTATAACAGATGAATGGATAACAGATGCCTTATAACAGATAATGGATATTCTACTGTGTAAATATATATACACAGTAGAATATTACTCAGCCATAAAGAAGAATGAAATTATGGCATTTGCTGGTAAATGGATGGAACTGGAGAATATCGTGCTAAGTGGAATAAGCCAGTCCTAAAAAGCCAAAGGCAGAATGTTCTCTCTGATGTGTAGATGCTAACCCACAACAAGGGAGGGGAAGAATAGAAGTTCATTGGATTAGACAAAGGGGAACAAAGGGAAGAGAGTGGGCATGGAATAGGAAAGACTGTGGAATGAATCAGACATAACATTCCTGTCCTTATATATGAATACATGAGCAATATATCTCCACATCATGTACAGCCACAATAATGGGATCCTAACTGGAACAAGTTATATTTATTCTATGTGTGTATACTGTGTCAAAATATACTCTACTGTCACGTATATCTAGAAGAACGAATTAAAAAAAAAAAAAAGAACTTAAAGAGAGGCATTGCTCCCTGTTGCCATGGATCACAGGTCTCAAAGAGGTACAAGGAAATGGATATGGTGGGTCTGAAGCATTAAGTAGCCATTGGATAAATGACACTGGAATGATATAACTCTTCAGGTGTTCCCACAATACCAGGTCACTTCTAAGATTGCGTGTGTGTGTGTGTGTGTGTGTGTGTGCTCGCGCGTGCATGCACGCTCACACACCTGTGTTGTGGGGCAGTGCTCTAAAGTGTAGGTAAAGTATTGTAACAGTTACTATCCCTAATGTTACACACCTCAATCTATACCTGTTCATAGCGTAGATTTTCTCGTTCACTCTCTGTTCAGAGAAAGCAGGAAGGAAAAAAGTAAGAATTGGTGAAGAAGACTAATGTAATAAAGATGAAATGATCCAGAACAATTGAGGCAGGCAAAGGCCAATCCAAATGAATGGATGGGGAGCCCCTAATTATATTTTTCTGCTCCCTACCATGCCCCTGATTTTGCTTGACTTTGCAGCTCCCAGCAATACACCATGTCACCAGAACATAATGCTCCTCCTATCTAAATGACCAAAGTGAGGAAATATTCCCCGACAAACTCACAAGTGCCTTGACTATTTTCAAGGAACATATTACTGTAAAACTGAGGTGAACAAAATTTAAAGTAGTAATGAACAGAAAAGATAATGTGACACATTTAAAGCTGTGACCAATAGAGATTCTGGGCTGGGCTTCACCTTCTCTCAGTGGCCACCTGGATTCTCACAGTTCCTTCCCATCCCCTCTGACCATTGATTTTTCCCTTCTAGATACCAATACAGCTTATCTAACCCTCCCACCTCTCATTCAGGGTTCTGGGAAGTTTCTAGCCTCTAGGGTTTTGTTTTGGTTGGCTATTGCTAAATACCTGCTCAGTTTACATTAATCAAATCTAAAGGTGAGGCTACCTTTTGGTGTGGCTTTGCTTCCATGTCTGAGAATCCTAACCAGCAGAGTCTCTTCCTAGTTTCTGTCAATTTGGGAAACTAGGACAAGAATGGGAAAAGAGAAGAAGAGAATTGTTTGCAGGTCCTATGCTAGGCACTTGATTTTAACTTCATGAAATCTTCACCAGACTTGGGGCTGGTGATGTCAGTGGTGGAGTGCTCGTCTAGCATGTGTGAGGCTCTGGGTTCCATTCCCAGGACCACAAAAACAAACAAATAATAAAACACAAAATGCTGTGATTTCTACCTTATGGATGAAGAACCTAAGATCTAGAGAAGTTTAAAGGCACATAGACAATTAGTGCCAGAATTCAAATGCAGATCTGTATGACCTGGAACCTTGTACTCTTTCCATGTCACACAGTTTCTCTCTAAGGACCTTGTGGTTTCAAGGACACCACTTCAACTAACAGGAATAGGAAACATTTCTCCAAAAGCAAGAGGCACAAATTTATCTCTTCCTATTTCAAAACTCAGGCTTTTCTCTTGAACAACCCAAAAGTTCTTACTTCGGATCTCAATTGACCTGCCAAATAGAGATGCTAAATATATTTGTAGCTGTCAGAATAGTAGAGTTTTTTTTTTTTTTTTTTTTTTTTTACTTGCTGTCACTTCCTATTTTTCTGACATTCTCTCATGATCTATCACTGAGTAAGAAGAAGTAGATTCCTCTCCCAAACTTTGAGATTAAAAAAATTAAAGCTGTCATATAATCCTCAACAAAAGATAGTTATTTCATATATCCATGATAATGCTATTCATATTAGTTATTTACCAAGCTAGCCCTCTTTTCTTTTTGTAAACAAAGCAGAGAAAAAGCATCAACTCACTGGGGATGTGGCTCAAGTGGTAGCGCGTTCACCTAGCATGCGTGGGGCACTGGGTTCGATTCTCAGCACCACATAAAAACAAAATGAAGATATTGTGTCCACCTAAAAAACTAAAAAAATAAATATTAAAAAAAGAAAAAGCATCAACTCCATATTCTTGATACTCAAAATGAATCTCTGAGCCAGCCGTGTTGGTGCACACCTGTAATCCCAGTGGCTTGGGAAGCTGAGACAGGAGGATCATGAGTTCAAAGCCAGCCTCAGCAAAAAGCGAGGTGCTAAGTAACTCAGTGAGACCCTGTCTCTAATAAAATACCAAAGAGGGCTGGGGATATGGCTCAGTGGTCAAGTGTCTCTGAGTTCAATCCCTGGTACCAAAAAAAAAAAAAAAAGAATCTCTGGTTCTGAGTGTGGCAGTGTTGCCATTTATCTACCCTAGAATTAGATTTTCATTATCCTTCTTTTTCCTAAGCTTTTCTGAAACCTCTGTGTACTTTAAATGGACCTATTGGTATTCTCCATGCAAAGGTGAAAATAAATTTATTAACATTTACTGCCTTTTCCATCACAAACTGCAAGCCTTTGACACTTTCTACCCTATTGGAAAGTAACCTGGGTTGAAAATAAAAACCACAACTACAACTTGACACTCAAACCTGACATTGCCACATCTCAAACTAAAATAAAGCTTTAGGTTTTCCCTGGGAGGGAAAAGAAGTGAATTGCTCAAGAGCTGCCTCAGCCTGTCTCGAGGCAGCCTGTGCCTGATGGAATGGGCTGGAAGCTGCAAACACATGCTCCCAGCTGAAGCTTGGGCAGATCTTGTTGGAAGATCCCAAAAGTTAGAGTTCTGGCCTCCTTTTTGGTCTGACTCACCTAGATAGGGCCACGACCTTAACATTAAACACCTGTCTGAATACTTATGGGGAGGATTGCCATTTAGCCTGATAAGCTAAACTCCAGTTGCCACATCCACCCAGAACTGAACCAGCTCTGTGCTATAGATAGCCACCAGGTGGCACATATTTAATTATTCATGCCCATCCAATATGGTTGTAGTGTTCTGTACCTGAAGCCCAGAAGTTATTTTAGCCTACTACTGGACTGGCAAGAGAAAATTTATTAACTTAAAATTATAGCCTCTGGGTAGGCAAAAATGTTTTTGCATCTAGACTTTTGCTGATACAAGTGTTTTACTCTGTCAGCACCATCAGTTGTGCTTTCCTCCATCAGGTTTATGGTCTTTTCCCAGTCTTTCTGCATGGCTTCTAGCAACCCCTCCAAATTCCTCTCTGGTCTAGACAGGGATTACTAAGACCTTCCAAGTCCACCATTCTATCTGTACAGCTCAGATCGAGAGGTCTCTCATCTGATATTTAGGATCAGCAAACTTTGCATATGTGGAGACACATTGTACAGAAGATGGAGGGAATGGAATGGAAGATTTCCTTGTTTATTAGTCAGGATTCTCTAGAGGAACAATCAACAGGATCTATCTATCTTATTATGAAAAGAGGATTTATTAGATTGGATTACAGGATCAGAAGCCGAATAGTCCCCATTGGTCAACTGTTGAATGGAGGACTGGAGAAACTAGTAGCTGCTCAGTCCAACAAGCCGGAGTCTAAGAAGAGGAGAAACCTATGATTCAGTCCCAGTTCACGACTAGAGGCTGGACACTCCCTGGAGACTGGTCAGAGTCTGCTTTGGAAGAGGGAAGGAGCTGAAATCCAGTGTCCTCAGGTGATCTCAGCAGCCGTCTAAGCAGCTGCTCAAGAAGAATAAGTTTTAATCTACATTGATTTTCTCCTTCTTCCATCTTTTTTCCATCCAGGTCCCCAGCCTTTTGGACTAAACCATCTACATTCAGGAAGGTCTCACCCTTTGGTTTGCTCTTCCACATAATAATTATCTCTGGAAACACCCTCGTCGATGTACCCAAAAGTCTCTTAACTTTATGCATTTCTTAATCCAATCAAATTGGTAATCCCGGTTAACCATCATAGTTTGTATCTTTCATAGGGGAGCTTGGTACCTTATTCTGGTTTGTCTTCGCTGAGTTACAGCCACAGGGAAGTCTTTGGAAATGAGTTGAAAAATCTAACCCATTCTTCTCAATATGATATCATTTCTACTTTCCCAGCAGAGTTCTGCTTGTTGGCAAATTACCCCAGTTGTCCACTAATTTGCTCCCATTAGAACCTGAGGAAGTATTTAAATAAGTTCAGCACTCAGTGACAAGTAGGCCATCACGTTCATCTTTCTTAAATTTGTTGTGTTGAAAGCACAGGGAACCTACTTTCAATTTACTTCTATCTCTCTTTTCCACTGCACCCTTCTCTGACTTCTCTCTTCCTCCCTTCATTTCCTCTGGGGAAAAAATGATGCATATTGAGAGGAAGAGGAAAGAGATTTGAGGATGGGAAAGAGATTCTGTGAAACTCCAAGGAGTACCAGGACAGCCCTGGTCTCTAGCCTCTGCAGGCAAGACTTTGTCTTTGCCTAGTTTGCCTCTTAGGAATTGAAAGAAAGGGGAAAAGAGACCCTCTCATTGCCCCCCAACTCCCTGAGCTTTTAGTTACTAGCTTTAAACAAATTTTCCTACTTACCTAAATAGCAGTCTGCTAGCCAAGAATAACTAAGTGCCACATTAGATGCTGTCATCTACAGCACAAATTAGAATAGATTATTTGCATATTAAATTGGAATAAGTTTAAAATATTATAAAAAAGGCTTCTCTTAGAATTTCCACTCTTAGGTATGATAAATAAGAGTGTACCAGGTGAACTTTAAAAAGGTCAATTGAGTGATAGGCTCTTACTATTTGATCAATACACATTTGTATAGGGGCCATCAGTAATGGGGTCTTTTTACAGTGTGAAGGTATCAGCTAAGGTCTATGACAATTTTTTTTTAATCTTAAATGCAGACCTGTAACTCACAGTATTTCAGAGGACTGTGAAAATGTGACCTGCTATATTTATCCCTACCCCTGCCCCCATGCTAGGGGTTTCATCCAGGGCCTCATGCATGCCAGGGGACCACTTACCACGGAGCCACATCCCCAGGCCCTGCGTTTATGCTTGTAGGATCTTTTCTTCTCTACACCTGGCATGTGTTTCTTTCTGTGCTCTGTTTCAAGCCTCTTCCCTGGGTCTTTACGGTACATTGTCCAGCAGCACCTGGATTTGCTTCATGCACTGCAGGAAAGGGTCCTGAAATGGCCACGCCAAGGAGTTCTTGGAGATTTATTCCTTAAACTAACAAATGATGAGGTAAGCCATTTTAAAATCCTCCTCTACAACTTTAATTATATCGATCTGTGTTTCCCTCATCTGCTTCTCTTAACGGAGAATCTAAAAAGAGTGATTTGCAGAGGAACTACTACTAACTTCCTTATTCTACAATTACTGAATAAGATTCAGAGAGATTTTAAAGGCTTTTCTGAAATCACCCAGCTTGCTGGGTAATGAGATATCTGTGTGACTGGAAACATGGTTCATAACTTTATATAGAACTATAACTGACTTCACTGAAAATGCAAGTATATATGATTATATGTGTTTATGTTCATATACTCATGCTCATAAATATGCATACATACCTGTAAAATAAGCGTATAAGTATATATGTGTGTATTTTCACACATAATTTTCATTCTTTAGAGATTTTTTTAAAGTATGGCTATTTGTCCTGAATATCTTTTGTTTTCACTTCCTTGGAGAAAGGAAAGGGTGCTAAGTTTTGAAAATCTATATAATGTTTTACATAGAAAATATGATCCAGACCAAGGCTACAAATTCAAATGTCTGCAGGGCCAGATAGTGACATAAATGAGAGATGTGGGTTAAATGTAATACAATATGGACTGGTGGGAATTACACTGAATTGCACATATATTTTACTATAAAAATAGCTCACAGTTTTATCCAGTTATTATTCAGGAAAATGGACTAGAGTTGCCATACTTCTATTTTAAGAGAAGTGAACAATCCACAATTTTGTGTAATTTTTTCTTATTTTTAAAATACTGTGTGGGCTACTTACAATTGGTCTGAAAATCAGTTTTTGCCTGTAATCAACCTCTGTATAATGATTCTCAAATGCAGGTAACAACACAAAGTTTACAAATTAGTTGTAGAGAAAAGTAAGTATAACGCTACCTCTCTAATAACCCTTTCACTTGTTTGTAGTCACTGTGATTTCTGGGGCTAAGAATTGTTATATCTGTGAGGATATCACTTTGGAAACTATGTTTTTCTAAAGGGAAATTGCATAGGTAAATATGCACTTAGTTGAAAGATGCAGGTAGTTGAAAACACTGAGAACCACTGGTCCAGATAATACGAGAAGGGTTGGCCAGAGTTTTTATTTGGATGTAGATAATTAAAATGAAAATTAATTACAAAAACAAAATAAGCATCTTTATCATTTAACAATTTAAAAATACTTTTTCAACTTTAAGACTTTCATTCTGCCCTTAGTTTATTATTTCATGTCATTGAGGTAGGGCCATTGAGTTTTCGTTTCCAAATTGTAGTGATGTTTACATTAAAACCAAAAAGATTTATTAAAAAGATAACACAAACCTCCAAAATACATTAAAGAACACATTAATTGAATGATTAAGATAATCTCTGCCAAGCATTCCTTTTCAATATACATAGCTTTATAAATATATTGTCATTCCTGTTTCCAGGTTCTTACCTTGCATTTTTTGTGTTTCTTTTAAAGAATAACTTCTTGGATTATTATGTTGCCTATTTGAGGGATTTGCCAGAATGCATCTCATTGGTTCATGTTGTTGTTCTGAAGGAGGTAAGTTAATTCTATGTGTGTGCTGTCTTTTATTGGCATATCATTTATGCCATGTTGCTGATCTACCCAGTCAGTACAGCATGTACACTCTGAGCCTGTTTTCAGGTTAAGGGATTGCCTGAATAGAGCCACTGACACCTTTCCTAGGGCTTTAGGAGCCTACTCAAGATCACATCTGTTGCTTTGATCCTTGCCCTGCTTTATTGGTCCTCTGTTCTACTTCAATGAAATTATAGGCAAAGTAAATAGGTGTTCTAACCAGAACTCTTCAGGTTGCAGCTTTTATGCTGTGTGTGTGTGTGTGTGTGTGTTTCAGGTTTGGAAGACATGAATCTCAATATTCAAATCATCTTTTGTCAGTTTATATGATAATAAAGTGGCTGTAGTCATGTTGCTTTAAGAGCTACTGCTGTGGTGATATATTAGGTAATCAATAAGTATGTATACATCTATAACACTTCTATTTATTTTAGGTCAGTAGGAAAAAACAGTGTCAGAAGCCCCAAAGCTGCAAATTAATCAAGTCTCATAAGAGATAAGAGGCTCTGTCTTGCTTTCTACTTCAAACTCTCACCCCTACTCCCAATCTAGTATAATGCCTATAAGTTAGCATTCAGCAAATGTTTGGGAAGCAGGAAGGGGAAATGGAGGAAAAGAAAGGCACATAGAGAAAGCCCAACATGTTTTCTGCTTCCAGGCCAAACAACCAATTTCTAATGACATTTCCCTCCAACTCTGATGAAACTCTAAGCCATCCTTAGAGCCTGTTAGTAAACCATCATAATGATTACTTGCTGGAGAACTTTAATTAATTAATTGAATTCAAATATAATTTAAGTGCCCATTTCTCTTTTTTAAAAATATTGTTTGGTTGTCAAAGGATCTTTATTTTATTTATTTATATGTGGTGCTGAGAATCAAACCCAGGGCCTCACACATGCTAGGTAAGCGCTCTACCACTGAGCCACAACTTAAATGCCCATCTCTATTTAGCTCTGCAAAGTGGGGAAGGAAAGTGTAGTTTGGAAATTTAAGTGGATTCAAAAGACATATATGATACGCTCCTTGCTAAAGAAGAGTTACCTCCTTGGTCATGTCCCTGCACATGTGAAAGATCAATGCTTCATGGTGATCTTTGGAAAGAGAATGCTCTGGGCATAAATCCTTTCTTCTCTGGTGCAGCTGACTCCGGGGTTCTGCTGCCAGAGCTGGAGGAACACTGAAAAGTGACTCCACCTTTCTTTCATTCAGGGTGATGAAGAGATTAAATCTGACATCTATACACTGTTTTTTCACATAGTCCAGCGGATCCCTGAATATTTGATACATCTGCAGGTAAGCATGGCGAGGCAAGCCATCAAACTTATTCTCATATTGAAATATTATTTTTGGCTTCTGACTTCTACTGTAAAGGTTCAAGGAATCATTAATATTTCTAAGTGTTTACATGGCTTATATTATTATGACTACCCCATACCTCATCATACTCTGTGGGATAAACTAAAAATCTCTTATCTCCAAAAATCTTTTTTTTTTTTTTTGTACCAAGGATTGAACTTATGGGCAGTTGACCACTGAGTCACATCCCCAGAACTATTTTGTATTTTATTCACAGACAGGGCCTCACTGAGGTGCTTAGCACCTCGCTTTAGCTGAGGCTGGCTTTCAACTCGCGATCTTCCTGCTTCAGCCTCCGGAGTCACTGGTATTACAGGAGTGTACCAAGTGCTTGGCTCCAAAAATATCTTGATTTATGATGCCTGACTTTGAGTTTTATCTTTATTTACGAGCCATGTCCCCCTCTGGTGGTCCAGGATTGAAGCACTTTATTTAGTGCCATCTACTTTGGCTCTACAGTCATCTAAATGTCAGCTCTTGGTGTCTAAATTTCTATTTAACCTGCCCACTTAATTGCTATTTCACTTGGCTCAAGTCAAAGTTTTTACTTTACAATGCTTATACTTATACAGAAGAGTCATGAAGAAGCTGATGAGCAGATCTCTTCACACCATTTTTCCACAGGGTTTGAGGCATATTGAAGGGAGTAGAGCCAAGAGATTCATCAATCTCTTACTAGTCCCTCTTCTTCCAATCACCCACCTGTTCTGCTTTAACTACTGACTGGTCTTTGAAGTAATTCAGCAAAAACATCTTAGGAATACTTGTGATTAATCTTAGATGGAGGCAGTCCAATGTCAATATTGAGGTTTTCTAAATTTTGTATGGCTTTAAGGCCTAATAGCATTTTCTCATGATAATTATATTATTACTTAATATAATTCCTTTCAAAAATCCCATAAGATAGGAATCATTGTTACCACTTTTTAGATGAGAATATGAAGGGCCAAAGAAACAAGTAATATGCCTAAGTTCTTATCTAGTGGTGAAAAACTAGGACTGAAGTCCAGGTCTTGCAAGTATTAGAATATGGTAAATAAGCCCTGGTTCTACCTTGTGATTTAAGTTCAAAGCCTTCCTCCATTACTTACTAGATATGTGATTTAGTAAAGATCTCTTAATTTCTCTGTACCCCCAATTTTCTTATTTGCTAAAGAGAGATAATAATTATACCTGTCTAACTAGGTTGTGGTAAAAATTAAATGGGGTAATATATGTAAATGGCTCAGTTCCTGACAAGAAGTATTAAACTAATGTTAGCTTTACCAAAGTCCAGTCACATACATCTACCATAGTACAGTAGATATTAGTCCATTTTGGTGTTACTATACCAAAATATCGGAGGCTAGGAACTTTATAAAGGAAAGAGGTTTATTTGGGCTCATGGTTCTGGAGGCCCAAGAGCACTGTGCTGACATTACCTTCTGATGTGGGCCTCATAGCAGATAGTGTCACATGGTGGAAGCACATACAAGAATGATGGGTCCCATGATATGTGAGAGGAGGCAAGATGGGGGGAGGGTCCAGGCTTACTTATTTATAACAACTCACTCTCATGAGAACTAACCATCTTCATAAGACCAGCATTAATCCCTTCAAGAGTGTGGTCAGTCACCTAATCATATCTCACTAAGCCCCACCTCTCAAAGGTCCTACCAACTTTCAATACCACTATATCGTATGCAAGCTTCGAGCACATGAACCCATAGGGAACAAACCATATCCAAACCAAATGTAATAGGAGGGGTCACCAGGCCAGGTTTGATGATAATCACCATCCACCAACCACCCCTACCTGCCTGCCTTGATGCCTGACATTCTCATCAGTAGTCTGACTCATTTGAATTAAGATTTAATTATAGTAATTGTTAGAATGCCTCTGCTATTCAGAGATCTAATTCATAGATCCTTCTAACTTTCTAGTTGGAACTGTAATGACTTATTTTCCCTTGGAATGGTGGAAAGAGAACAGCAAATTTGACATTCCAGCTTATTAGATGGGTCATATGTATTGTTGTTTTGACTAAAAGGCTATCAAACTTAAAAAATAGATCCAGGTAAGATGCAAAAGAGACAAAACAACTTTTCCTTCTTCTTATATAATGCTTCCTTTTTCCCTCTATGCAGAATGTCCTGAAGTTCACAGAGCAAGAACATCCTGACTATTACCTACTACTGGTGTGCGTTCAGCGTCTCCGAGTATTTATCTCACACTATACCCTGCTGTTTCAGTGCAATGAGGATTTGCTTATTCAGAAACGAAAAAAGCTCAAGAAGTAAGTTTCTGATGAATTCAATTGGGAAGGTCTGTCAAAGGGTTCTGAGAATAAGTTACACAGACCAGTCAATGTAGGTATCTGTCACAAGTAACCACATTGTGGTTATGTGGCTGAGATGCAGTGGTGGGAGGTAGGAGAGAGTAGGAGAGGTGCCCAGACAGTACAGGAGGGAGACACCTATAACCTGGTGAAATTACTTTAGAGAAAGAGCATTTTCACTCTAATGCCCTCTCATGTTAACTACCTCAAAAATAGTTCAGTTTCCCTAAACTTATCAGGTACAAAATCAGTTTAAGGGCCAGAAGATCATTTCCTTCATCAATCTAATGAACATTTATTGAGCCCCTGTTCTATTATTCTATACACTGAATACATTGCAATGAACAAAATGGTCAGAAACCCCTGCCACATGGAGCTTATTTTTCATAGTTGGACAGTGAACAAATAAGTTAGATGTTAATAAGTGCTATGTATAAAAGTAAAACAAATGATGTGGGGAAGAGTTTGAAGAAAGAGAAGGTTAGGAAACTTCTGAGCTCCAAAGGGAACAGACGCAACCCATAGCAGAGCTTCCTGATGACCTGGATTTCCTTCAACCTTATCCCAACCCACTTGATGGAAAATAGAATTATTTCTGTCACGGCTTCAGACCAGAAAAGATGCTCTCTCAAGTCAGGGCTCTTCTAATAGCATGCATCTCTCAATACTACCCCCTACCCCCAATCTCTTGTCAGCCAGTTAATCAGCATCCATACTTGTAACCAGGTTGCTTACATTATGTAAGCAACCTGATGTTAGACCGCCCTGGAGAAAGAGAAAAGCTCACAACAAGGGTCATCTGAGAGATAATTCTTTCTTAGCATAATCTGTGCATTTAGAGAGCCACTTTCCCCATGTACAACCTGAGAATCTTTACTTCTATCCTGTTAGGTCATCAATGGCAAAGCTATACAAAGGGCTGGCTTCCCAGTGTGCAAATGCTGGCCAAGATGCTTCCCCCACTGCAGGCCCTGAGGCTGTCCGAGACGGTGGGATCCACTCAGAAGAGATTCTGCAACCCTACTCATCTGCTCCCAGTTCTGGCCCCACTGTCACGTAAGCACTATTGCTATGGAAAGGCTGATGGCAATGCCCTTAGTCCCAGGCAGTTTGTGTGGGTTAGTAGGCTGATCTGGAAAGGAGTATGATCTACAGAACTCTTCCTCTTTACCCCATCAGGCCTATCTGTGACAGCTAAGCAGTTGACCAGTTGCTTTGATCCAAGAGAAAGACACTAATTTTGAGGGACTGGCCTACAGTGGGAATAGAGGCAGAAAGTGGAAGTTTACTTTGTGGATTACTCCAACTCTTGAGACAGTAATAAAGCCTTTTATCTTCCTTGAAGTGCAACAGAGCTCCAAAATAAAATCTCTAGCATTTTATAGCAGACTGAACAACATGGCTATCATAACACTCGTGCAAAAAAAATAAAATTCAATAACAATCTTCAAAGGTAGAAGAGTCAGATCAAGATTTCATTTCACATCTATAAATGTAAGACCTAATTTTCATTTTAGGATCACCAAAGTAAGATACTCTGGTGTTAGCTTTTACATTTTTATATATTTCTGAGGTAAGAATTTAAATATGAATAAATTAGAACACTACTTTGAATCAGTGTGGAGTTGTCCATTTACATCTGTCTGGCAGCTGAAGCAAAACTGGAAAGTCCCATCTGATGGGTATGCTATACATTGTAACCTATGTAAATTATTCACTATTCATGATCCCTCCCCAAACGAACAAAACCTTCCATGATATTGGGCATATTCAGAGCGGAAACTCTTAAAACAGTATTAATGCTTTGTGGGTGGAAGTTTGGGGTTACTTAGCATCATTATAGCCATAGTTTTTAATTATGAAAAATTTAAATTTACCCAAGTACAATGAACCCCACATGCCACCATTCAGATTCAACAGTTATCAAGACATGCACATTTATTTCATCTAGGAATATACTTGTTTTTAAGTGTGAAGATCCATGGGTGGAACAAAAGTTGAATTTCCATTATTTTGTGTCAACCAGAGCAAGAAAGAGCAGTTTTAAGAGATGCCTTGGAACACTGTGACTGATGGTGGAAAGGTCAGAGCTTACACAAAGGGGAATGAAAATGGTCCTGGTGCCATTGAGGGGCTCAGGCATCCACTTCCTCCCGGCCATTTCTACTCTTCCACCTGGGGACAGAGGTTCCTGGGAACTATTCAGTAGAAGTTTGTGGAGCTTGGCAGGCACCTGGGACGGGAAGGGCGAGCCATTATCATTAAGAGGTTAGTACTAATAAACAATAAGCACACCTCTTCTGTATTGTTTCCCCTTTAAAGACACCTGATGCCCCCAGTGAAGAAAGGCCAACAGCAGCAAAGCATGATGGAGAGCATGCAGCCCGGGAAGCCCAGTGACTGGGAGATGGAGGGCAGAAAGCACGAGAGGCCCGAGAGCCTGCTGGCGCCGGCACAGTTCTGTGCGGCCGAGCAGGACGTGAAGGCGCTCGCCGGGCCCCTGCAGGCCATCCCCGAGATGGACTTCGAGCCCTCTCCCGCCGAGCAGCTGGGCAACGTGGAGCGCTCCCTGCGCGCCCCGGCCGAGCTGCTGCCCGACGCCCGCGGCTTCGTGCCGGCGGGCTACGAGGAGTTCGAATACGGCGGCGAGATCTTCGCGCTGCCTGCGCCTTACGACGAGGAGCCCTTCCAGGCCCCGGCCCTCTTCGAGAACTGCTCGCCGGCCTCTTCCGAGTCCAGCCTGGACATCTGTTTCCTGCGGCCCGTCAGCTTCGCCATGGAGGCCGAGCGGCCCGAGCACGCGCTGCAGCCGCTGCCTAAGAGCGCCACGTCGCCGGCGAGCAGCAGCGGCGCCTACAAGCTGGAGGCAGCGGCGCAGGCGCAGGCGCACGGCAAGACCAAGCCGCTGAGCCGCTCGCTCAAGGAGTTCCCGCGCACGCCGCCCGCCGAGGGCGTGGCCCCGCGCCTCTACAGCACGCGTAGCAGCAGCGGCGGCCGCGCGCCGCTCAAGGCCGAGCGCGCGGAGCGCGCGGAGCGCGCCGCGCAGCCCCACGGCTCGGCCGGTGGCGCTGCCGTACCCCGCGGCGCGCCGCGGACCTTCTTCCCCCAACAGAGGTCCCAAAGCGAAAAACAGACCTATTTGGAAGTAAGGAGGGTAAAGTAAAACCGAACCGAAACCCACAACGCCGGCGGCCCCGGGCCTAGAGCTGCAGGGCCAGCCCGACGCCCCCTAGCGAGGAGGGGAGTGGGATGAGGCCAGGCTAGGGACCCAGAAGTCGCCTGCCCCAGTAAAAGGCTCGTGCCTCGGTGGCCTTGAAGGCGAGTGGCAGCTCGGCAGCTCCCGTACAGGACACAGAGCAGGTCACACAAGTACATGTGTGAGGGCAGAGAAGACCCTCGACTCATTTTAGATCTGCGTTGTCTCCATGTTCATACTCATTCTCTCTCCCTTGCCCCTCCTCTCCAACCTCTCCCTTCTCTCCTCTCTGTGAAAGCGTTCTCTTCCCTTCTCCCCTTTCTCCTCTCGCTCTGAGAGGATTAGGAGTGATGTCATTCTCCTTCAGCTTGTGGCACCTTAGAGTTGAACTTGTTTCAAAGCGTTGCACGCAACTCTCTGGCTTGGCTTTCTCCCCTTGCCTGTTAGGAACCCCTCCTTGTTTAAACGTTTAAGACTGTGTGACAGCTACCCTACTCCCTGCCCCCACTGTCCTTGCTTGTAGCTAGGGATGAAGCAAGTTGCCCTGTTTTTAGTGTGGGCTTTGAGAAGTTGGCTGCAAAGCTAACTTTCATTTCTGCTTGCTTTCTTTTTGATTAGAAAAGGATGTCACATTAATTTATATTGGATGAGACAAGGACATCCCATGGTAGAGAAGAATTGACTCAAAAAACACCTTCTTTGGTCTCAGTGAACGTTGATACATTTTGATGCCTATCCTTGGTGTTTTCAAGCCTTGAGTCCTTAAAAAGAGTGATTAAACACATGTCCATGAAAGGGCCAGTAGTTCCTAAGCAAATACTTAAGTTCTTAATGTGATTGAAACAGACAATTTCTGATTAGGCAGAAAGTAACACAACTTTCACCTGTACCACAACCCTTCCATTCCACTTATTCTCATCTCCGAGGAGTGGGGACAGATTGATGATCACTGATTCCTTTAATTAATTTTCCAACAAACAAAATTAAGTGCCTGCCTTGTTCTAATTTCTATGCTCATTGCTGAGGATTTAGAAATAAACAACATCTAATTTCTGTACTCCAGGATTACTAGCTTAGTATAGGAGTAAGGCACAAAAACACAGAACTATAATAAACTGTAGGAGCCCACAGAGGATTATCTAAAATTTCTTGGTATGATGGTGGTCAGAAAAGCCTTCCTAAATACAGAAAGTATTTGGGAAGTATTGGGTGTCTGAATTAGATTTGAAAATTTGCCTAGAAGTTAGCTGAGGGAAATCTGAGGTAGACAGGCATGAAAAAAAGTGTAATTAATATAGTTTATGCTGTTAAAAATGCTTTCATTTCACATGTTCATAAAAATGTTTTTCCCTAATTGATGTGTGAAAATTTAGGGGTTCAACAATTGCCAGGTAAAAACCATTAATCAGAAATAACAAGTAATATATCTGAGAAACAATGAGTAATATATTTGTGACTGTTTAACAGACATATGAAAGAACAATATGTTAGAAACTGTTAATCACACAAATTGGGCAACAAATTTCCTCCCCTAACATTGTAAGACAGAAGTCAAGTCAGTTTAAGAAGAGACACCAAAGAAGTATCAAATGAAATCTGTTTTAAAAAGATCTTTTCTCTAGCAGTACATGTCAGTAAAATTTTCAAATATGCAAAAGTTCCCATTGCTTATTTCTGGTTTTGGACAAATTTTTCTTTGTAAAAACTCAGAAGGCCTAGATTACTAGAATTCTTAGAGAGAGTTGGGTGCAGAGTGCAGGTGGACAGAGGTTGTGTATGAGTATTAAAGTTGGTGCAAATGTGTATGTGCATGCATGTATGTTTGTATGTGTATATTGGTGAGTGCATGTATATATGAATAAGTGTATATGAGGTGGGGGCAGGATGGGGAATTTTGTTGCAAAAGATAACCCTACAACTCTCCCCACTTTTGGTGGTACTGGGGATTGGATTCAGGGGTCCTCTAACCCTGAGGTACATCCCCAGCCCTTTTAATTTTTTCTTTTGAGACAGAGTCTCATTAAGTTGCCCAGGCTGGCCTGGAACTTGCAGTCCTTCTGTCTCAGACTCCTGAGTTGCTGGGATTACAGGCATGTGCCACCATACCTCACCTTATCTTACTTGGCTATTGAGATGTGGAAAACTTCTGTTCTATCTCTATATACTCTGCATCTCCTACGTCTGCCCAGGAGAGCCAACTGAAGCCTAGTCCTTAGTGTCCTCTCTCAAAGTCAAGAAAGAAGACAGTGTGTTTTAATGCAAAGAGCATCTGATTGGGTGTCAGGAGCTCTAGGTTCTAATTCTGGCTCTATGCTAAATAGCTGTGTGCTTTTAGACAATTCACTTGGCTTCTCTATGTTTTCAGCTTTCTTACCTATAAAAACAAGGCAATATTTACCTTACTTATGTCACAGGTTTGTTGTGAAGATCAGGCCAAAAAAGATAAAATTTGTCAATATGCTTTGTAAAGTATGGGATGCTATACAGATATAAAATGTTATTAAGCTTATGGTTCTACAGAAAGATTTTTTTCCTTAAACAGTTAATAGATTTAGTTTCCCCAAATGAATGATTTGATGAGGGTCCTAGTTAAAAATCACTTTAATAGAGTTTCCATACTCAACTGGAGGCAAAAATAAGCTATTTCCTTCTGTAGTCCTGAATTCCAAGTCCTTGTGTGAAACATCACCCACCAGGCATTTTCGCCAACACTGTAGCCTGGTTGTGGTCCCTAAAAGCCCATTTCTCAAAATATAATTGTCAAGCTAGTGGTGAGTGTATTGCCTAGGAATTTGTTATATCCAGAATTTATAGCCTGACCTACTGAATTAGAAACTGCAATTTAGGATTCATACCTAGGTGATTCATGTAAACATGAAGAGAAGATGAGAAGAAACATGCCTTAAATCACTGATTTTCATGTGCAAGTGTGCTTAAGGATTATCCAGGCTTCACTTCAGAGATTCTGATTAAGAAAGTTGGGTGGGGCTCAGGTGTTTTTGAGATGGGGTCTTGCTATGTTGTCTAGGCTTGTCTCAAACTCCTGACACAAACAATCCTCCTGTCTCCACCTCTGAGTTACTGGTAATACCAGTGTGTGCCACCATGAAAGGCAAAAATCTACATTTTAAATAGAGGCCTCAGCTGATCTTATAGTCCCAGGACCACACATCTGAGAAACACTTTACTAAGCTATCAGGATATTGATCTCCATAGTCTAGTTATGAATCTTAGCAGAATCTCAGATAATTTCAGATCTGTGACTACAACCCCAACTTAATTTCTCTAAGTCAAACCTGTATGTTTCCTGAAAAAAAAAATCATTCTCATGTTTTGCTCTTCTATCAGCAGTCACCCATCCAATTCATATGACTTACAGGGCATTCTCAATGTTTCTTTGCCTTGACTTCTTGGATACTTTTAAGGTTATTCAAAATCCAGAAACTATTTTTAGATTAATTTTAAATTAGTTAACTTAAGATATAATATATATGTATATGCACATCTAGCTTATATACAGATGAATACATATGCACATCTATTAGTTGACACAGTTCACATTTAAAAAATGAGAGTTCACAAAAGATACATCCTTATTTCTATTTTATTTTATATTCCAATATCATGGATTCTGAATTGTAAAAACTGTTAAAGGCTTATTTTCAGTTTGGGGATAGTAGATGATCTTACTTCTAAACAGTTCTGACCTCTCAAAAACTCCTTCCCGCATTTATGCCTAAAATGGAGAATTAGAAACATGAGTTTAAAACTCATATTACAATTAAGGAGATTTCTTATTTTTTTAGAAAGAAATATATTCAGAGATATAAAGGGGCTTAGTACTGGGTTTCCAGCAAGACAGTGTCAGTGCCAGAATAAGCATTTACTTTCTATACTTTTTAAGCATTCGCTATGTTCCTATCCTAGATTATTTACCTTGATATATAGGAAATACTACACTCAGCAGAAAATTTTCTCCTTTCCACTTCATGATTTCTTTATTAGCCTAAGTGTGCTTTAGTTGGGATTGGGTATTCACTGATAGTCTTTTGGGGTAGGTGAGGAAAGTGACAAAATAAAAAAAACTGACCCATAGTCAGGATAGATATTTTTGGAAAAGAGTAAAAAACAGTACCTCTTTTGTGTTTTCAGGAGATGCATTTAGAAGACACCACCCGATTCTGTCCAAAGGAAGAAAGAGAAAGTGAACAAACATCTTTCAGCGATCAAAATCCCAGGCAAGACCAGAAAGGGGGCTTTCGCAGCTCCTTCCGCAAGCTCTTTAAAAAGAAGTGAGTAGCCATAGACAAGACAGCATTGTAACTCATTTCCCTTTGGGCTAAGTCTCGAGGTTTTAACATTAATAATTATCAAGTAGTCTGGTCTCGCATAGCTTCAAGTTTAGTGCTTGCTCCCAGTGGCCACAATTTCTGCAGGGTGAAGATATTTCTCATTGTAATCTCCCAGAGTAGAAGCACACTCAACTCTCTCTCCTGCTACTTCTTTTATCCCTTCTTTCTTGTTCCCAAAGTCACCTGCCCTGAGAGGAGTGAGCAGAGGAGGTTTTTCTGGGAGTGGGATCCTCTATTGAAGTTGAGTTTAATGGGTATTCCATCAGAATCTCCTCCACACTTGGGGAAAGTTTTTTTTTTTTCTTTTTTAATATTGTTGTTGGATGGGGTATCAAATCCAGGGCCTCACACATGCTACTGGGAGGTTTTCTAAGGGCATCACAGCACTTCTGCTTTTACGGGCCTATAGTTGTCAGGGATACTACATGTTTATTGGGACTTCTGCTAGTGTTTTCCCTGAATGGATGGATTTGGCCTGGGTTCTAGTTAAAAATCACTTTAATGAAGTGTCCATGCTCCTCACAAGGCAAAAAAGCATTTCCCTCTGTGGTTCTTCTAATATTCTAGGTCTTTGTTGTTGTATGAAACACCACCCACCAGGCATTTTGTCCAGCACTCAGCTACAGTCTAGGAGACAGGGCCAAACCCTAGCATAAATATAAGGGGGAGATGAGCATTAACATTTGAATACTGAGAGATTTGCCTGTCCAGCCATTGCCTGTCTGAGTAACTGCTGTTTGTATCTCTACTGTTCCTTAGGTCTGCCTCTCTTTCCTTTAGGGAGATCTCCCTGCTATTTATTTTCTCTTGGTAGAAATTTTTTGCATTCACTTTTAATAGCAAGTCTTCATATTTTGTTGTTTGAAAAGTTAAACAGAGGTGTTGTTGTTGCCTTTGGAGAATTGCTGGAAAATCATTTTTTCCTTGAAGATAGAGGTTATTGGCTGATTTAGATCATGGTCTTAGATGGAGAAGAGGGGCAGACATTGAGTATGGATTTTTTTTTATGGTTTGCTTAATTTCACAAAGGGAGGATAGTACTAAGATCAGTGGGTCTCCAATTGTTGGTCTTTGCCTATTGTTACTAGATGAAAGAGGAAGAGGAAGAACAGTTCTGCAGTTAACCACAGCCCTACAGTCCCTTTTCAGTTTTGTTAAGGCAGCCCAATGTGTGCATGACTGCTGCTGGATCCTCAAGACACTTTATTCAGGGGTTGAAACGTCAAGAATTGTATATTCTTTCTAGGATAATAGACTTAGATCTTTCTTGGCCTAATGCCTGCTTCTGTCAAGTTTGATAGCTTTCCAGTCTGAACTTGGGATTAAGGGACTCCAGATTCCTAAAGGCACTTCTTGAGCCTATTCTTTTTCTTTTTTTTCAAACCATGGTATTCCTGAAACAGTCACTTTTTGCTCACTACCATTTATACTGACTGGTTACTGTCTTAGAAAACAATGAGAAATAGATTCACCACTGGTTCCTTTTCAAATTTCTGTTTATCAGAGAAATATAAAAATATGCTCTTCTGGTTACATGAGACAAAGGGAGTGGACTTGACCTCTTTGTATCCAGAGGGCAGGAATAGCAGCCGTGGGTGAAAAGGAGAGATTCCTAAAATGTACCTATAACTGGAGCTGGTGACCTCATGAAAGAGTGGATTCTCTTAAGTAGAAGCAGGGTGACTGCTCAGGGATACTATGAAAGGACTCCCTGCACTGGGTAGGAGATTGCTCAGGAAATCACCAGTCCTTTCTAGTTTGGTTTGACTTTGTTGTAGCTCAGTCTGAGTAATCACATCATTTTGTCACCAGAAACAAGAAGTGAATGTGGCCTTGAACTTATAATTCTAATCTTAAAACTTTAATTTTAAAGATCCATCACATAGAAGGCCAGGTTTTATCTTTTTTGTAGCTCCTCCCCCATAGACATTTATATAATGTTGAGGACTTGCTTTGGGCTCTCTAAATTCATGTTAGCTAATTGCTTTTAGTTCTCTTGCAGCTTTTTGGGATTCTCTTTAGATATGGCCAATATATTCCCTTAATCTTCTTTCCCTTTCTCATAGATCAGCCTGTATCAGTCATATTACTGTCAACAATACTGGAACTGTCATTTATATTTAAATCTTGAGTGTTATATGAGAGGAAGTAAAGGTGGAGCCATACAGATAACTCTTCTGGCAGGCTTTACTGGCTTGGTAGCTCTGGACTAGGACAGTCAGCACCATCAGGTGATGCCGGCATGGCCTTGTGCTTAGGGTGCCATGGTGGGCACTTTGGTGACTTGGCATGGGATAAAGAAGCAACTTAAGTAGCTTCTCCTGAGTGTTTTCATCTGAGAACCATGGAATGTCCATTATGGACCATGCTAAAATATGATACTATAGAAAGAAGGGGCAGGGAGACCCCAGCATAGCACAGAAGTGCTAGTACCTTTTAACTCAGATGAGAACACAGCATCTTCTATGCCTGCACTATTCCAGACATTTGTATAGGATCTTGAATGACATGATCCCAGCCAATTGCATAGGAACTTGTACTCTGAACTCAGGCATGTGGACAGGTACTGGAAGGAACTAGGAAGAGACATTTAGCCCAGTCACCACTTATGTGTCAGGAAATCAGACTGGCAGCAAGTCCAGTGACTTTAAGAAGGTAGCTAAGCCTGGTACTGGAACCACTCCAGAGTTTGGTCTCATAGGTCCACATGGGCCAGGGCCAGTGAAGCTGCTGTGTCATTTCTGGGGCTCATTGCCTTCCTCTCCTACAGCCCTTTGGAGGCTCATTCTTGTCTACACTGACACACTTTTTGTTCCATAGGGGCTTGTTTGGCTGGTGGCCCCACACACCCAGAATGCTGCTTCGGGATGAAGCTAGGCATGGAGCCAGATGCAGCAGAAAACCTGAGAAAGGGTTCTCTTCCCTCTGAGACTCATACCCACAAGGATTCAAAAGGGAAAGTCAAGTTGACATCATAAAAAAAATCTTGAAAAATGCCCACGATAACTGGGGACAAGGATGACCCTCTGATTGTTTCCATCTCAGGCATATTTGTCCTGGGTAGATACCAGGTCACATGTCCCTGAAAGCTGTCCAGAATTGATCAAAATAAATCTACATATCTTAAAGTTTGAAAATATTAAGTGACTTTAAACATTTTAAAATGAAGATTCTTAGAAGCCTAATGTGAAAGGCTGATGCTGGACTGAACACTTCTTCCCCTGCCTTTAAGCAGGACAGAAGGCAAACTATCACTTCTAGAAGGATCTAATGAAGACTGTCAAAGACTTTAACCTAGCTTATTGTGAAGGCTCAGGCAAATGCTACTTCATCTTTATATGTAAATCTTGCAGTTAGGTAAACAGTATTCTTGGTTGGGAGTGTGGCAGTGGGAAGAGAATTATGTAAGACAGTTCAGGGGTAAGAAATGTAGATGGTACTTTATCTTTTTATCTTCAAATGTGGGTGGGAAAATGGAATACAGCATCCAAATAATTAATTCTATTTCCTCCCCCATTCTCTTCCTTTTTAGCACTTTATAACTTACATGCTTTAGAGTCATTACTATTTTTCTATCAATCATATCAAAAATCTATTTTTCCCTCTTTTTCTTTCTTCCCCCACCCTACCCAGTACTGGGGACCAAATCTGGGGCCTTGTACATGCTAAGCAAGTGCTCTATCACTGAGATATATCCCCAGCCCTCTATTTTCTTAATCATACACTGGGAGAGAACTTCTACAGGGTCCTGTATAACTGAATATCAGTGAATTCTTTTCTTCTGTCATCTTTTCAACTGTTTTTATATATGCTCAGCTTTAGCTGAGGAATGGATCATGTAATAGAAATCAGGACTGTCAAAGAATCAATTTATCATTTTATCTTCACTTTCTTCTCTACCTCCTTAAAGCTCACCACAATTCCCACACCCATTGTTACCCACTTCAAGATTCTTATATCTCATTTCATCTCCTATATAATTTTAAAATTGAAGGGGATGGTTGAAGGGATATACATTTGATACTACTTAATCCTGATAATAAATATTTTTTTCAATAAGTCATTTGAAATCCATTATTAAATTAAGGATCTTAAGTATACTAGGTTTTGTCCAGTACAAAAGAAGTAAAAGAAATAGTTCCTGCCCATTAGGAACTTAAAGTTCAATATAAAGGTAATCTAGCTTCAAGTTAATAAGTGTTATTGGCACTTAATAAGCACTCAAAAATATTCATTACTCTCATAGTGTCCCATGCCAGAACAAACTGTGCCCTGAACCATTTCTGGCCCTCTGTGCCTGTAGGCTGTTGGCACTGAAGAAGGTTGCATAGTGGGAAAACAACAACAACTAACAACGTGAATGCTCATTTGATACCTTCTTGATTATCAGGGATGACCGATTTGTCCAATAGGATAGGTGCTCCCCCACCAGTCCCCCTGCATTCTTCTCCCTATACATGTCTCCTGAAACTTTTAGGAAGAATAGTCTTTCCAATCAGAGAATCAATCTCTTCTAAAGTCTGAGGTTCTATGTCATAGAACCACTCCTCTCCCTTCCCCAAACCAAATAAGCTTTCCAGATTTACCTGTAGCAAATCTATACTTACTGATCTACCTGACTTGTGCTTTTCTTTGTCTCTGTAACTTGAATGGAAGGAAAGTTACCAATGAGTCTCTTCTGTTTCCTCTTTCTACCAAATGCTTGAATTGGCTATGTGATGTATTGGGAGCCATTTCCCTTCCCTAGCAAGTCTTTGCTCAGATCTGTTCTGCTGTTAGCCAAGACAGCTCCAGAAGCTCAAAAGCCATTTCTATGTTTTACAGAGAAAGAAAATAAAAGTAGATATATTGACTCTTTCTCCTAAACTCTGAAGGTCATTTCCTAGTACTTTAGGTGTACATTACTTCAGAGTCTAATAGTGACGCCTTTGGAAGAGTACAGGTGTTCTTATAGCACATATTAAGCATCTTTAAGAGGGCAGTTAAAATTATCTGTAAAAAAGATGAAAATGAGTTTCTAGTCATGGCTACATTAGAATATCAGATTTTGAAAAGGATTAGTAAGTTAGCCTTTAGTTAATGAATAGTTAGTTAGTATAAGAAATGCAGAGACATTCAGGTACTAGAGACCCAGGGAAGCTACAATTTGTGAGAAGAGTAGTTAAAAAAATAAAAAAAAAAAAAAAAAACAACTAAGCTGAGTTTGTGGACTTTAAAAACTAGACAGGGCGATTTTGGCATTTGTTTCAGAAATGGGAACTCAACTGGTGAAGATTTCTGTGGTCCTTGGGGCTGGTGGTGACATCAAAGCTTTCCCATTTCCAGGTAAACACTAAACAGTTGCATGTTGGAACATCAAAGTGTGACATGTTGGGTTTTGGAGAGATCAGATATAGATAAGGGGAAATGTGAGGTGAAGATTTTGTTTTGATTAATAACTTTCTGCTGAGAAAGTGTGATGGGGGAGGTGGGAACAATTTAGAAGAAACAGCAGCACACGCCTGCCTATAATCCCAGAAGCTCAGGAGGCTAAGGCATGAGGATCGCAAGTTCAAAACCAGCCTCAGCAACTTAGTGAGGCCCTAAGCAACTTAACAAAGCCTTAAGCAACTTAGTGAGATACTGTCTTTAAATAAAAAACTTGTAGGCTCGGGTTGTAGCTCAGTGGTTAAATGCTCCTGAGTTCAATCCCTGATACCAAAAAAAGAAACAACAGCCCAATTCAAATCCCACCTTCCTACCGCTGAATTCCTAGTGTTCTAAACAACAGAAGATATATAGGGAAATAATGAAATGGTTAAAAACATATTTTCCTAACTTTTGGGGTCTAGCTATACTAATCAGGGATGATTTGAACTGGGCGTAGGCAGGAGTTCTGATAAGGACTGGAGTTTTAGGGAAAGGCATGTGACGTCTGTTTTATGGGAGAGTTCAGTGGGGATGCCTGAAAAAGAGAACTTCACCCAGTAAGAATCATTTTATTTGATAAACATCCAGATATACTGGAATTGATAGAATAGTTTTTTTCTTTCTTTGCTGGGATGCAGTGGAAAAGTGTTCCTTACCAGATAGAAGTAAGAGGAGCTGTGGCTTCATCTGTGATACCAAATATCAAGGTGAAAATATCTAGTCAGTCATCAGGTTTCTAGGCATCAGGATTTTAGTCTGTGTCAATCCAACTTCTTTCCTTGAATAATGTAAAGGGATAGAATTCTTCCCAATTCAGGAAATAATAATAGAGTCATAATTAACTTACCTAATAACAACAATAAGGACCCAACAATAACATACCAATGATAGTGAAAGAACTTGGAGGCCAGTTGTCCTTCTTAGTGGATAGTGGAAGCAACCTGACTGAGCATCAGCATATGGAGAACTTGTTCAGTTGTATAGGCGCTTTGCACAAAGAACTTCACGTCTAGCATCACTTTCATGCATCCTGCTTATTGTCTTTGGTATTAGCTCTTTGTTACTGGGCTAGTGTCACCCATCAGAGTTTAAGCTAGTGAGAGGGCCTCATCTATCTTATCAGAGGTTATTTCCAGAAAGCCTCCTCCCTGCAGGGACTTCTGACATGAACAAACTGGAGAAGGTACAGAGCTGGAATGGATTGCCCAACTGGCTTACCCAAGATAAAAGGAAGAATGCACCCTCGACTGGGGACTCAAATGGACTGATTTGAGTTGTTGACTATTGATTGGCCTTGGTCTCCTTTGTGGTGGTTGAGATTATAGTATTTTCTTAATTTGATTACTGTACTTATTTATGGATTCTACCAAATGTAGCATATATGTGTGGTTGGCTTCAATAAATCTTTTATTTAAAAATGAAAACCAGCAAAAGCAAGAGTTTGTAATGTAATGCCCAGACTCAGTAAAGGCCCTTGATAAACTTTGTTGAGAACGATGAGTTCTGTCCATTTTAATTTCGAGGCCTTGGTAATTTGTGGAGTAGTTACCTCGATGAATCAAAAATAGGATTTTTTTCAATTCTCTGAGCCCTATTATAATGTTATTACATGGTATCTTACATGGACATATACAGATGTCACAATTGTTCCCTAAAGCTATTAGAAAGATATTATCTTTTTTATGTTTGCTGCAAATTTTAGATCACATATCCTGAGTCTTGAAATTCAGTGGAGTAAAAATTTTTCCAGATCTAGGAGACAATTGTTTTACAAATGCAAAACAATTTGGATAGATAAAATATTTGAAAACAATTTAAACCAAATCAACCTGTACTTTATCTGTGTGCTGAGATTTTAGGTCCAGTGGATCAGAATACAGGGAAAAAACTAATGAGAATCCCTCAATGGATCCTTCACCCACCAAACAAGATTTCTTCAGAAACCGACTTGCTCTTGCAAATGACCTTGACCAAGGAACAGCTGTGTAAAACATATTTAAAGTTGTATTGTCAAGTGGTAAGATGAGGATAAAAAGCTTGTATATATCTGTGTAGGAATATATATATATATATACATAAAATATATATATCAATGTATAAATCCCTGAGGAAAACCAATATAAATACTTACATATGAAACTAACAACATACAAGACATTGAAGAGATGAAGATTAGTGTATGGTTAAGACCTGGCTTTTTGAAACTCAATACTTGGGAAAAGGGAATGAAGACTTTTCATATCATTACAGAAAAACACAATCAATTTGGAGGAAAATAAATGTTTGTAAGAACAAAACCTTGCACCTTGAAGTCATTCCCCAAGTATAACATTGAGCATGTTCATATTTCACAGGGATGTGAATTTTGTGTTTCCTAGGCATTTAGCTTATTAATGCATCCTAGTGTGCTTAGATTAATATACACTGCTAGGGGCCAACTGTGTCTTGCCATATGTCTTCAGAACCCCTAAGGCAATAGGTAACAGCCCTTAAAACAAAGCAGGTTAATTAACACAACTATATTTTACATATTGCAAATCTGAGTTATGAAGAATTTGTGCTTAAGCCATGATACAAAAAAGTTCAAAGGTTAAAGACACTTGATCTTCAAACTTGTTTGGTGGTAATGGAAAACAGTAATGGGAACAATGTAGACACTGGGTAGCTGGGGAACAAAAAAAAGCCCCACATTTTTCCCTTGTATGGATTGTACTGAGGTTGGGAATAATCCAGAGTCTTTGTATTGTTGAGTACTCAGTATTCCAGATCCACCTGTGATCCTAAGTGTCGCACACACTCATGATCAGATGGATTAGGAAAAGAGCACTGATTTAGCCACATCCTTTAAAAAAGACTTTCTTCAGTCTGGACAGAAGGTGGCAACAGCAATAGTACTTTAACAGTAGACACATAGTGGTTACTACAAACACCAGGTCATAATGAAAACTCAGGGATGCAGTACCTAACTTTTGCAGAAGCTGTAAAGACACAAAGCTCTTATAGATCAGATAAAGGAATCATAATGCAATGAATGTCTTCCTGGTTCTGGGGTAGTAAAATGTGCTGTTTCCTTATGGACATGGCCCAAATGACTGGTGTCCTTGATATGCCCATGATAATAAAAAAATAGATTTAAAATATTTGTCTCCATTCCTAGTCAGTTACCTATAAAAAATTAGGAGTATTTGACTTATGTACATTCAGAATCTTAGTACTCAACCTGACTTCTTCAACCATGTTCCTCTGTGAATGCACTGTTTGATAAAATAGGGGATGTTTTATTTCTAAGTATTACAACTTTACTTCTCTTTTGCAATTAATTAGCAACATTAGTAGCTTGAACAGTAGGTTTCTGGAACATGTTAAGAATCACTGCCAAGTTTTTGAAGTTTGCAACATTAAATTTAAGTCAACCTGGTCATTAAGGCACACACCTGTAATTCTAACTACTCAGGAGGTTGAGGCAGGAAGATATCAAGTTCAAGGCCAGTCTGGGCAAATTAGTGAGTTCTTGTCTAAAATTAAAAAGGGCTCGAGATGTAGCAGTGGTAGAGCACATGACTAAAATGTGTGAGGCCCTGGGTTTGATCCGCAGCATAGCCGAAGAAAAAAAGAAATTAATGGATTAATTTGAAATTATTAGGCCAAACTGTTTTGAGGCAGTGCTTGAAAAGCACAATGCCAGATCAACTGGACATGAAAATAGAAGTCATGACCTCTTAAATAAAATGTAATTAATAGTAAAATGCCTTTCCCTTTTATATCCTGTTTTCTCATCAAAATGGTCAGTTACTAGGAAGGTTTAAAAAAAATCACACCCATCTCAAATTTCATTTGATAGCATCCTCTGAAAAATCTTGATTTACATTTATAGCACAGCTCAATTTAGTTGTATTTTATGAAGTCAACCAATGAAACTAGTAATAATTATGCTATTTTAGGTCTCTGTCTCCTGAAATTTGCATTTTGGGGGGTAGTTTTCTAATTGCATACAAGCACTCTGCCCCCACTCCTATATGTTTCTAACACACTAAATATTCTGAAATACTGCTCAATGTGAAACTCTTTGACTGTTCTTGTATTATCAACTAAACTCCTTGACTTGACATTTAAGTTTGTCTCTCTATAGTATGGCTGCTAGTTTTCTTTCTCACTGTCATCTCATACTTTGCTGTTCTGGGTAAACTAAGTTATCTTAACTGGGCTTCTATTGTTTTCAGTAAACCATGTACGTTGCCCAGGCTCACTCTTGCTTCATACCTTTTCTCTAGCTGCTGTTTCTCTGTTAATCTTAAAATCCAATTTAAGCCCCCTCATCTTTTTGTGACCTCTTGTGGTGTGACTAGTTTATCTTTTGATGTATTTGTATTATCTTCCCATTAGGAATGCAAGTTCTTTCAAGGGACTATGCCATATCTTTTTTTTTTTTTTTAAATTCTCCTCCACTCCTAGAAAAGTACATAGTAGGTGCTCAATAAATGCTTGATGCCAACTTTCATGGTGGTGCTATAATAGGTAGAGTGATACAGAAAATAAATAGTACTCTTGATTTGACAAAGAGCCTCAGGGTTCATACTTTATCTTTGGCCTTTTACTTTTTTAAAGGAAAAAAAGTCACAAATAAAATATAGTTGTCTTCAGAAGCAGTTAAAGACACTGCTGCTGTTTTCACAGCACCTAGCATTAGAAAACATCTCTCCAATTAAAAAAAACTTTGCTATTTTTTTTGTTGTTCTAACTTATTTTATATAATCTTTCTAGGTAGTACTATAAATTGAGGAGACAGGATGATTAGTGATAGTAATGATATATAATGTAATATGGCATTAGGGATGAAAGTCAGTATGGGAGTTTGACAGTTGTTAATCTGTGAACTCCAGTCCTCTGGAGAAATGCAGTTTACACATGAGACCACAGATATCTTTGGGAAGTGTTTGGGTTGATGAACAGAAAGAAGCACTCCACCAAAAGATGGAAATTTTTACACAGGCAAGGGAGTTATGATAGGTCTCTTCTGTAACCTTGCAGGATCTACATGCAGATCCAAGCAAGACCGTCTTGTTTCTCTGACTTCAGAATTAGAACCTTTGAGAAGCACGGATTTGTGTACTCCTAAGGTTCTCTCTAGTGGGCTATTCTGTATATAACAGATATATTAAACTAATCTAAGACTTGAAACTAGAATGTCAGGGAAGCACTTTGAAGGGCATTTTCTGTAATACCCCATGTTTCATCCCTTCACCTCCTTCAAGACTTTACTCATGTTACCTTCTCCATGAGAGCCCTTGTAAAATATAGACTCCTGGGCACTATTTTAGTCCCATTTTATTAGGAACATTTGAGGACCGGGCCCAGGAATCTGCACTTTATTTATTTTTGTGGTGCTGGGAATCAAACCCAGGGCTTCATCAACATTAGGCAAGTGCTGTACCACTGACCTAGTCTCAGTCCCAGGAATCTGCATTTTAAATGAATTCTAACATGTTATTTTCTTTGGTCCACTGAAATTTTAGAGCCACTACTTCTTAGTCCAGTAAATTGAATGATCTGATATGCAAATGTCAGGATTCTTGTCATAGATTGAATTTTAGGACAGGAGGTTGGTTAGACCTGAGGCACAAAAAACTAATAAGTTTGTTGAAACCCAGGTGAGTATTTTTGCATTCTTAAATTTATCAGCTGTAGCCCCCCCCACTTTTTTTTAGTATTTTAGCTATAGATGGACATAGTACTATTTATTTATTTATTTTTATGTGGTGCTGAGGATTGAACCTAGGGCCTCACACATGCTAGGCAAATGCTCTACCACTGAGCCCAACCCCAGCCCCATCAGCTGTAACCTTTACCATCCTATACAGCAAGATTTTTATTTAAAAAAAAAAAAAAAAAAAAAAATATATATATATATATATATATATATATATATATATATATACACACACACACACACACACATGGTGAGTGTATTTTATGAAGTGGTAAAATTGAAGTGTATTTTATGAAGTGGCATATTACAGAGAACTGATTGCACGCACTTAAAATGACAAATGTCTTTGAGTTGTATAATAAAATTGTCTAGTTTTCAGACTAAACTTTTTCTTGAAACATCACCATTAATAACTTCCCTCCTGAGTATTAAAAAAACCCATGGCTTTCAGGACAGTTGGAATTCTTATATCGTGAAAGATGATTTAAAGATGTGAATGCAGCACTCTTGGCCACTAAGCATCTTGATATTTATGGCATATAGGCCAGCAAGTCACATGGTGGGGAGGGACTGAGAGAAAAGGAAGGATGAGATAGCAAAAGAGACATGGGTTAAAATTAGGTAGAGAAAACTGATGGAGACCTATATGTTTTAAGGGGAAAAAATAGAAATTAATGTGTCATGATACTACACTTGTGTTTTGAAAATATAGAAAAGATATGAATTTAGATAATGCTAAAAATAACTTTTTGAGAAGTTGTTAGATGTTCAAAATAGTCAATTTTGGGGGGTGGGGTATTGGGAACCGAACTCAGGGGCACTCCACCACTGAGCCACATCCCCAGCCCTATGTTTTGTATTTTATTTAGAGACAGGGTCTCATCAAGTTGCTTAGCGCCTCGCAGTTGCTGAGGTGGCTTTGAATTTGAGATTCTCCTGCCTCAGCCTCCCAAGTGGCTGGGATTACAGGCGGGTGCCACCATGCCGGGCTAAAATAGTTAATATTTTAATCCTCAAATCACATAACTTTTTTTCTATAGAGCTTAGTGCATAATCCTTAAGTCATCTAAACTTGTTCCTTATCTGTAAAATAGAGATATTTTTATCATCTTGCCTTCATTCCCTTCAGACACAGTAATATTAAATACTCTTAATTCTAGCAGGAAAACAATGTGTTGTGTTTCTTTCTCATGTACATAAACCTATGCACCTGAAGACAGTAGAATCTACTGTAAAGCACTGTTGGAGGATACCATCTGTGCTTTTGAGTTGTTTCCATTTCCTAGCCTCATTATCACGTTTTCCTCTATCTGGGGCAAGTCCATTTGCATACAAACCTGTTTTCTCTGGACTATTCTAGCTTCATTCCAGTTCACTGCTTTTCTTTATTGTAAAACTTGAAAGCAGCAGCTACTTCAGTTGTGCTCCTGTGCTATTAAACTTTCTAGGCCCAGGCTTTTGCCCACGTCATTGGGCCAGCTCCTTATGTCAAGATCACTGACAACTTCTACATGGCCAAACACTGTCCATCCTCAGTCATCTTACTTTCCTTAGCAAGTAACATTTGATCACTTTTTCCTTCTGAAATAATTTCTTTATTAGGCCCTAAAGATACAACATACTCTTGATTTTCATCTTCATTCTTTGGTGCTGCTTCCTCTTCCCCTTTTGATGCAAGAGTACCCCCAGGGCTCTCTTTTGCTTAGTGCTCTTCCTTTGCCAGTTTATTCTCTCTTGCTTTGTGATCTTATCCATTCTGCTTGCTTTAAAATATGGTCTTTATTAAAGTCACTGCCAGTTTTATCTTTAGCCTAGATCTCTTTTCCAAGCTCCATGGTAACATCTCTAAGTGCCTTCTTGACTTAAGATTTCTGATCTATTCATTGAACTTAATGTGTCCAATCCTTTTTGTTTAACCATATCTTTTTCACCTCAGTTAATAATAACTTTATCCTTCCAGTTGTTCTGGCCAAAAACCTTGAAGTTATCCTTGACAGTTCTTTTATCCCACAATCAGTCTAGCAGCAAACTGGCTGTTTTCCAAATATAACCAAACTCTGACCTCTTCTTACCACCTCCACTGCTGTCACTGTTCCAAATCATGTTCTGTTGAGCTGGACTCCCTATTCCAGCTTTTAATCTCTAATTATTCTCAACACAACATCCAGAGTAAATCAAATCACATTACTCCTCTGCTCAAACCCCATAAGGACTTTGTTTCTCTAAACAGAAGTCGAAGTCATGATAAGGGCTTTTAAAGCTTTAAGTGACTGGGACCTGCTTAAACCTCTGATGGCAACTTCTTCTAGACCATCCATAGTCATTTCTCTCCTGACAAAAGCAGCCTCACTGATTCTCAAGATTTATCAAGTATGCTTCTGCCTCTGGCCTCTTGAACTGGCTGATCCTTGTGTATATTCTTCTCTCAGATACTCATTCCTTTACCTCCTTCAAGTCTTTATTTATGTCATGTTCTCTGTGAGGCAGACTCTGACCATCCCATTTAAATTTCACCTTCCTTGTCTCCCACATTCCCAGTCACCTTATTCCTCTTCCTTCTTGTTGTTGATAACAGTTATAACATTCTAATATGTAATATAACCTATTTATTATGCTTATTATCTGTATCTTCTCATTAGATTATAAATCCCATGGTGAAATGGATTTTTGTTCATGGCTGTATTCTTAACATCTGAACTGTACCTGGAACAATAAATGTTTGTTGACTATTGAATAGTTACATGATCCCTTATCAAATACTTATTAAGGTCATTCAAAACCCATTTAAATGAAGACAAACAGCAAAGGAAGCTATAAAGAGTCAAAGCATAGACACTTTAGGATAAACCATCAACCTTTTAAAAGTTATTTAAAAGCAGACAAACTTTTTTTTTAAACAAAGAGAGAGAGAGAGAGAGAGAGAGAGAGAGAGAGAGAGAGAGAGGGAATTTTAATATTTATTTTTCAGTTATCAGCGGACACAACATCTTTGTTTGTATGTGGTGTTGAGGATTGAACCTGGACCACACGCATGCCTGGTGAGCGCGCTACCGCTTGAGCCACATCCCCAGCCCAAGCAGACAAACTTTTAAAAAAGTCTCTCATAACTTTAGTTACTATTTATTAAGCACCTGCTATGTGAAAAGCATTGTGTTTTCAAGTTACCTCATAAAAGTCCTAAATAAGTCTATCACCTTCCCCAGCCTACCCGCCCCCTTTTTTTTGGTGCTGAGGATCAAACCCAGGGCTTTATACATGCCAGGCAAGCACTTTACCAAAACCCCCACCCACCCTATTGACAAAAAATAGATTAAATAAGGTCTTCAAAGTCACTCATATAGTAAGTAATGGAAACAGTGTCAGAAGGTAGGATTTCAATGTTACCTGCTTACTCTACCACATCGATTCTTACCTTTATTGAGTTATTAGAGACACTAGCTTCTAAATAGTCTATCATTTTTTTTGCCCTCAGTAAGTATCAAGCTAAAATGTTAGAACTGTGGGCTGGGGCTTTAGCTCAGTGCCAGAACACTTACCTAGCACATGTGAGGCATGGGTTCGAGCCTTAGCACCACATAAAAATAAACAATTAAAATAAAGGCATGCTGTCTATCTACAACTATAAAAAAATTAAGAAAAAAACAATAAAATGTTAGAATGGCCATAAAATGGAATTTTTTTGGAATTGAACTCTTATGAAATCTGCGAAAAGACAGGCTCAGCTATGGTGCTGGCTTTTCTTGAAACTTGGGTGCCCTTAATCTGTGATAGGTTAACATGACTAAAATAAATAAAAAAGCAAATCACCTGATTAAAGCTCAAAAGTAACATTTCAGGAGAAAATTCAGAATCTAGTTTGACTAATATCAATGTTAACATTTGCCTATGGCTATTATGTTGATTACCTATAATGTATTTAGTACATGCCTGAATTTCAATTTATTTTAACAAATGAATCTGTTAAAATAAATGATTTTGTGCCTTTAAACTGGGGAGGGGGGGAATCAATTAATTTTAAGTATTCTTGAAAAAGCAGCCATCCAAATACCAGGAATCAACATCAAATCAAATGATCTCAAATACTAATTGCCACATGAACATTTCACCAGGGCACACTTATCCCAATTTTTAAATAAGTAGTCTGAATCTCTAAGAATTCATTAATTTTTTTACATTATGTAGTCCACCTTGAATGATCTCATGTTTGCACAATTTTTTAGTTAAAACCTTAAATCCTATCTTTTCATGCCAAACCTAGAAAGAATTCTGAGAAGTCAAGCTGCCTCATTCCAGCAGATCCCAGCTAAAGCTGCCTGTCAGGGAATTGTGCTGGTTTTAAACTTCTTTTAGGAGTACAATTGCCTTAGTCCTGTGAAACTTCACCTAGGTATACCAAGGTCACTTTACTAATTTTCATCCCAAAGCCCTCCCACTCTCTATATCGTAGGATTTGACACAGAATGAAACATGGAACCTAAAGGTGTCCCCAACATGATAAAATACAAAATATTTCTATGTGGAAAGTATAATAAGCTAAATGACCATTGCCAATAACTTTAAACATTCTTTCCTCTAAAATAAATATGTGCAAAAACAATACGCTTGTGGGCTATGTAAGGCATTTTTCTTTATTATTTTTCGGTTTATCTTAGTAATGCCAGAAAAATAACAGCCATTATTTTCACTTTAAACGCAAACCAAATACTGCTGCACACAAGAGTACAAAGATTACCTACGAACATAGTTAGGTACAAAGGCCATATTAGATATATAGACCACACTTTGTTCTTACATCATAGTAAGACTGACAGAGCATTTTTGACAATTATTTTAGCAAATAACCGTGCTACTAAACAAAGGTAAATACACATATATATACACAGACACATCTCAACTAAAATTATACATGTCACTTTGACAAACAAATTCTCTGGTTGGTTCACCAGATATTTGTACCCCAAAGACCCCTGCCCTAATCCCACCCCCAAATGCTGACTTGATCTGAAGAAAAAAATTAGAGATGTTCTTAATTAAAGGCACATTTGGCAGCTACTGAAAGTGGCATGCATCTGGCATAGGTGCGCTCTAAGCCACACCACATGTAACTTCCATCTCTTTCGCATCTTGACTCTTTGAGTGGTAATCCAACGTGACCCACCTTTAGCTAACTTGCTTTAAAATTTTGCAGCAATTGGCTACTTAATGCACTATTTTCATTAAAGGCAAAAGGGAAATTTGCTCACAGTTGACAAAAAAATGCACTTTACGGTGTCAAAAATGGGAAATAAGGCATGAAATTTACAAAAGAAGTTATAAGTGCTTTTGTTCTTTAGATCTGTTATGTAGACTTCATGCTTCTTAACTAGAGCTCAGCATATTTCACTGGCTCATGTATAAAGGATTAGGAAATGATTTTTAAAAAGTTAGTAATGAGATGTTTCAAGAGAAAAAATGTCAAATAAAGTCATCATTTTCCCTTATAAATAATTTTACTGCTTAATTCTCTCAGCCAAACTGATATGAACCTTGTGATGTTTTTTTACTGGTAAAGATTAATGTGCAATACAACAGGACCTACACACTTGTACAACAGTCACACAATATAGTTGAAAACAGTAAGTAAACCTATCCACAGCAGCAGAATACCAAGAAATTAACTGTTAAATTGTTTCTGAATCTGAAGGAAAAAAGGTTTTCAATATGTACAGCAGTAATTAATCAGGACAACTCCCCCCCCCTTTGTTTTGCTGAGTGCTAAAAAAGCAATTTAAATTGTCATATTCAAAAACTATGAAATAAAATATTGAAGCTAGACTTGAGAATTATGACAAGATCACGTTCATAATACCAATTAATTTTTGGTTTGTATAAGGTAATTTTGGCTTATGAAGAAAACAACGTTAAGGAAGAATTCATAACCATAATATAACTCTCAACTGAAACAGTACTTGACTGTTTATTTGATTGTTAGGTGGCTTGCTCTTTTCTCAACTCAGATCCATTAAAATATCCTTGAGTTAAGAGAACAGTAACCTACTAAACACATTATTTGATGTCTGACAATCTTTAATTAAGCAAACTTAAGTCAAACAAACTTCAATGTTTGTATATTTCCTGATCATTTGTAGTCTTAAAAGTACATTTTGAGAACTGGGAAGAATAAATAACCTGTCTTTCAATAAATTTAGAAAGATATACTTTTAATTCATTCCTGTGCTTAGATGTAAGAAGCTTCCCTTCCTATTATACTGGTTTTGAGCCTACTAAGTAAATTCAGCCTTGATCTATTCCCTTCATTTTGTGATTCCCCAAATAACAAAACACTTAGGAATATTTCTACTTCTAAAAGAAATTTTCCACATTTTGGAACATGGTTAACAAAATGTCATGCTGCATTGACTGCCTTGTAATGTCTTGCATTTTTAAAAGTAGAATTTTGTGATGCATTTATCTTCTTCCGCCACTTCTTGTCCCTGATTAAGTATGTTTTAGTTACTATTAAGGATAAATTTGTCAGCTAGTTAATGTTTCACATAAGGTGGTAAGGATACAGTTTTCTCATGTACACCTAAGGGCATCCAATTGGAATTTTTCTAATCAGTTACCACTGCAGAAAATATTTTTACTCAAATGTTATATTTCAGAATAAAAATATCCTCTATCCACAATGCATATAAAACTGTTGCACAGTGAAGTGGTCTCCTTTGGGGAGAAATATGATTAGAACTTCAAATCTGAGTTTTTTCTTTTTGTAGCATCGGGCAGGTCAAAAAGGGGCCATTCATGTTATTAGAGGTTAACACACTGGCCAGGGAGATATGAATGGGTTCTACTGTGACTTTTCTCCGGTTCTCATTTGGAATATACATAGGATAACTAAAAAGAGAAGTGACCAATAAGCCACAAAAATGGAAATCCTAAGGACAATTAGGCTGGCCCAATAAAAACTCATAGATTCTGGAATGTGTATCACAATTAATTATAGCAGCACTAGTAAGTAGGCTTAGGTAAAGATTTGTTGAATTAATGGTTTTATGGACACTTTGCATCCAAGAGGGAATATGAAGTTAATTTTTAAGACATTTAAAAGAGGAAACATTTTGCAAAGAGAAAAATGGCTACCATAATGGAAATGGTACAGATATTAACCAAAAAGATTCAACCCTTTCAAATAAATAAGAAAGGACATGACTGGATGGACTGCTTAATGGTGATGCAATTAACATACTTTCTGGTCTTAAAGGACTATATACTGTACTATCATGACATATGTTTTATGCTCTAATAAATATCACAGGAAATTATTAAAGTACTAGATTTCCACTGGGGTGTAGCATTTCTTAAAAATGTCTAATGGTGTGGTTAACAGAACTGCTGAAATGCTGCTTCATTATTCAGAGGACACATGCAGATACTGATGAACCGATGTCTCTAAGGATGGAATACTGCACATCTCATAGACCTTATAGTGGAGATTAATAAATAAAAACTTTTTCTCTTCAAACAGTTGCATGCATTTCAGTCAAGTATTGGACTCAGAAGAGCAGTACATATGCTTAATGAATAATCCATAGTAATGGTGCAGGTAGATGTTCTATTATGAATAGTTCAGACAAAGCAGAAGACCTCAAGCAAGCCAGAATGTTCAATATAAACCTTAACAAACTGTATACATGTTGTTTAGGAAATTTAAAAACCTACCAAAGTTCTGCTTAAAAGATATTCATTCTATTCTAACCAAATATTTTCCTACATGCCAAACTGCAACTTTAGGTCATTCTTTAAGATCAATACATATATCCAGAACTTGAAACCAAGACGTACCACAATACTTGCTTTTATGCTTAGTGTTCATGTGTGTTTCAACTGAAAGAAATAAGAATCGACCATTTTCTCCATATAATAATTTAATATATGCCAGCCAAACAAAGTATTTGTATCTTTATTCAATTAAATTAAAACAGACCTGCCAGGTATATTATATAACATTCACTATATACACACGATTTAGGCAATGCAAGGTAATTCTAGGTATGCTGATTACTCGACTATTAGTAAAACATGAATGGTGTCAGTGATGCCCAGCAAGTGCTCCATTTCACATTGAGTGCCTGCATTTCCACAGTTATGATTAGAGGGACAGCCACGAGCCAGGAAATGGATTACCAGTAAACTTTTGTGGGGGATGGGTGGGGGAATGACAATCTAGCATAGATTAACAGTCTCCTAACTGTAAATAGTACTCTTGACAGTTACATTTTAAAAAAAGTTCTTCTGTCATGTTAATGACAAAACTTCTCATGTTTCAAGGCAACACCACCACATTGTGTGTGTGTGTGTGTGTGTGTGTGTGTATGTGTATGTGGAGGGGAGGTGGGGAATGTTCTTAAAATTGGAATAATTATTCTTAAAACAACAACAACAAAAAAAAAGTACCTCTTTGGTGAAGCCTCGGTACCCATTCATTTCACTGTAATAATCTGTAAACAGGACTGTGGTACAGTGCTGGGCCTTGATTTCAACAAGGTCAGGTACCACAGCCTTTCCTCACAGTCCTTTGAATGATTTCTAAGAAAATATTCTAAAGTAGAATAGTAAAGCAAAGGAAAACAAAGGAGGATAGTAAGATCCCTGTTTAAGATTTTTTTTTTAAAAGTGCATAACATTTTGAATTACAAAAACTGTCATCTTGTGGGCCTGCTGGACACTAGGCTGTTTTTTCCATCCCTTTAATGATAAAGATCACTTCACAAAGTGAGGACTCATGCTGGGAAAAGTCCCTTCACTCAATTTTCAGGTGCAATCAATTGTCCAGTTTCTCTCATTCGGTCCTTCCATATTCTAAACTGGAATACCATTTTGTTTTATAATTATGTCTAGGTTAAAACTGTCTTATACTGCATCTTGAAGTAGAGTCATTAGTGTTTGGAGTTCTCATTTTAACTCCTCAGTGCTGGCACCTTCAGTGCATCCATTGCCAGCAATGGATTTGGGGCTAAGAAACTGTACATCCCAGTATAGAGAAACTCAGGAAGAATGGGCATTCTCCAACAGTGGTGGTCCATCTCTGTGCATGGATGGGTGTGTATGCTCCCTTTTATAAGTTTTTGGAGGGAGTTTAGGGATATGTTGAGAAGTGCTTTGTCGTGGAGGAACAGGTGGCCCAGCAATGGAATGGAGGTCCACATCTTGTGTCAATGGTGGTGATGGCAGATGCCTTCTTGTGCCGTGAGGAGAAGGGGTTTGAGGAGGAGGTGGTGGTGTAAAAGGAGAAGGGCTGTTTGGGAAGAAGGCATTGCCATGGTCACTCTTTTTGCCCAAAGGGGGAGGCTGAAGATGTAGTGGTGAGCTTGAGAAAACATCAGGTGTCCTCACAGGTTCTCGTGGCGGTAATAAAGGAGGGCTTTCTGGAGGGTCTGACACAGAGGTACGGTCTGATATTGAATATCGAGGTGAATAGGCTTTTGATGTGGGTTGCCTAGGAGGAATGGCTGGGGGACTGTCCAAGTGCTTAGACATAATCTATGAAAAAAGAATAAAACACTTTTATTAATAATTTATGTAGTATCACAAAAATTATATAAGTTGGGGCTTTCAAGCATGCTATTGGTAGAATATTATATGAGGAACAGGGAATTTTGCCATGTTTAAATGAGATGTTCTATCAATTAATAGGAAAAAAATTAATTTTGCTGATGTTTTTACCTGGATTTGTTCTCAAAATTTTGTTTGCTACTACTTGCCTAGTATGCATACTATTTGCTTATCATGCAATGTATCATAATTTCTGATTTAGCATAAATTACTCATTTATTTTTCAGGTTTAACTTTTGCTATATTAAGATTTCATGAAATTCTGCACAGTGTCTTCAACTAATCCAGGTGCTCTACTCTTTGGACAGCCTTTGGGTCTCTTCCAATCCAGAATTTTCATGAAACCCCCATTTAGAAGCATAACAAAAGGCTCAGATAAGTGATTTTGAGCATATGCTAAAAAGATAATCTCACTTATGTTTCTTTACACAAAACTCAAAATTCTCTTTTTTCCCCCCGTGTATGTGTATTTTTAAAGAACTGCTTCAGATTAAATTACTCTTTCTTTATAAACTAAAACTTGGTTTTTTTCCTTGATAATACTCATAGGTTTATAAGGGTTTTACAAACATACCAAATACCTATCTTTAGAAGAAAAGAAATAAACATTTCATATACTGAATCCATAGTTAATCTTTGGCTAGTAAGCCCAAACACTCTGAAATGTTAACCTATGAGTGAGAAATAAACTAGACATAACCAATGGACTATAATGTAATTAACGATTCCAGTGTCTGGATAACAAGATTTTCTACTTTACCTTAGATGGCGAAGATTCTGCTGGGGCAGATTCTGGTCGTCTTCGTGGAGGAACAGGAGGGGGGATGGGCACTTCATCAGTGCCCTTGGTTAAACTTATAGATGACACTGAAGCAGATCCTGTAGGATGTTACATTTTAAAGAAAATTTATGGGAACTTTATTTCACTTGTTCTTGAAATAGGCTTAGCTGGAAACTGCTTATATTTATTAAAATAAATGTGTAGAAGTATCAAAAGCAGCTTCATAAACCAATACCCAATAGTATTACATTTACTAAAGCAGATTGCTATAACAAAAGCATGCAGAAATTTCTTAGCAGTACTTTTAGAAAAAAACCTGGTTATTTTGCTTCTTGAACAAAATAACATTCCCACTATTAATTTATTATTGGAATATTTAATAGGGTCTGATTCTCAGATTTCTGTTAGAATGGTAATTTGAAAACCTTTGAAATGGTAATTTTGTCAACTGTGTGATGGGCTCATTTTTTTTTTTTTTTTCACCTTTTTAGTATAAAAATTTCCTCCCCTTACTGGGTAGTCCTCAGAAAAAGAGTTTCTGATCTTAACCATTTTCCCCAAATGTCTCTCCCCAGCAGTTCTTTTTACAGGTTGCATAGGAAAAAATCTGGGGAGGATCCCTCTCATTTTGCTTGGGTATAGGCTCTCCTTAGTGTGTGAATAAAATCAGGCTCATCATATATAATCCAAAAAATTTTAACTGTGATGGAACTACTCAGGATAACTAGGGCAGATCTGATAATACAAACAGGACTTACATGAAATCTAGTGAACCCAATTTAAGAATAAGTTGGTGAACTGGCACAAAAGAGGTAAGTAAAGCTTCTAATTGGAACCTATCTTATAGACATATATGGTGACAGGGCATAGTGTCATCATAAGTAATTACCCTTTGAAAGACAACACTTAAGACGAATTGTTAGCTAATTTATAAACACTATTAAAAAGATATGAATGAATACTTAAAGAGACAATCATTCAAAACTATACTTGGCAGGTTCTTTTTATTCCTTTAAGTACTAAAGCTTTTATTTTTTCAATTATAGAACTTAAAGAATACTTTATGTACCGGTATTATTCACATGATCAACATTTTGATCACCTACTTTATAAGAGTTAATTTAGATTATAATTAATGTTTTATTGTATACATTTTGAAATTATATGAAAGGGCAAAAATATTAACCTGTTAGCTTAAACTAATTACAATATTGGAATTCAGTGAACTGTTAATTTGCTTTAAAATTAAACCAAATAGCTACAATGGAAATTTATTTTATCTGTGAATATTTAGGCCTTATAATTTAAATAGTTACAATATAAGATAGTTCTTCTAAAATCAAAAGCAGTTATTTGCCTACAGGGTATACTGTCACAAGGCTAAGTGTATTTTATAATCGAGACACTACATGTAGCTGCCAGCATTCCCATATGCGCATGCATGCTCTTGCTTTTTTTTTCCCAAAGCTGAGCATTAAAATATATTTATAATTCTATAGTTGGAAAAGAGGAATTGTTAAATATGGAAGCCACTTATTTAATATATTCTTCTAAAAGAAAATAGTAGTTTTACAAAAAGCATGAAAAGTATATAAACTTAAGTAAATCATTTATGATCAAAGGATAGCACAAGTGAAGGCCTCACTTCCAAGACAGTGCAAGCAGGTACCAGTGCTGCCAGACCCAAGGAGAGTGTTAGCAGGAAGATGAGACTTGTTTTGATTTTTAAAGCCAAAGCGAGAATTATGAGTCTTAAGCCAAATATACTAACTTGGGCCATGGGGCAGTGTAACTTGGATAAAGACGGTATCGCTGCCTGTGAAAGGAAACAAGAAAAGGTAGATTTTTTTTCTTCCATTGATATATTCAGCTCATCTGTAAAAATTTATTCATGATGAAAATGTTATTCTTGTCATACTAATTTCAAAGAATGCTGTAACAGTTTTAGTAAAAGCTCATTCATATTTACTTTTGAAAGGAAAAATAGGCAAATTGAATTAATATACTGAGAATTTTGAATATTCCTTTTAGACTTACTACTTGATGTCATAATAATTAAATGAGAAACATTAATGAGAGAACTAAACTACCAAGACTTTTAAAAATGTATAAACCCAATTCAAGTGAAGAATTTAGCTGGACTTAGAAAATATGTCCTTTACTAAAGATTAGTTTGGAAATTCAAATTTGTGAAACAAGTTAAGTAACAAACTTATTTATGTAAATTAAAAAAGAAAAGGGAGCTTCTTACTTATTATAGGCCTCTAAAAACTGTTCTTGAGGCATATTTTCTCCTTACAGAATCTCTACAGCTTTGGATATTAAAACAAGCTTGAGAAGAGTCTTTTTTGTTCTGTTTTGTTGTTGTTATTGTTGTTGCTCTGTTTTCATAAACACTTTTTTAAAAGTTCAATAAACCTCTGGTGCTTGGATACATTTTATATAGGAAACTCCCTGATAAATGTAGAATGTCTAATTTCAACAATTATTTTAACAATTGAAAAGCAAAAGTCAGAGCTCCAAAATCATTAAAGTAGGAAAATTGAGACAGAAAGCTTAGATGACTTGTAATGGTTCTTCACCAGAATAGTTTTTGTTATAATGCTTCATATTACCAACATATGGACTAGATAATATCCAAGACCCTTAAACAATTCTTGTAAAACTAGACTGAAATGGTTTTTTTAAAACTCAGATTTTCCTTTCTCTTGTTTTTTTATTTTTGCATAATATGCAATGACTCAAGTAGTTCCCCACTGTTTATTCAAGCTTATTTGTTCAGAAGGAGGCCAATTTTACATTCCAGGTTCAGCTAACTGGATGACTCCTGGTTGCTTACATAGAAATTGTGGTTTTATTTCCCAGGAAGCCCCAGATTTAAATACTCTGTCCCATTATTTCTTTTCCATATGTACTTATATTTATTTGGGACTAAATATAGCAACCCAGCTTATTTTAATAAGTTCTCTTTCAGAAGATTAATTCATTTTTGGACCAGGGATGTAACTCAGTGTAGAGCACTTGCCTAGCATGTGCAAGGCCCCTGGGCCCAATCCCCAGCACTGCAAAAATAAATAAATAAACAAATAAATATTTTGCTCTGAAATTATAAGAAACAGTTGTTTTATCAATGACTTTCTTCATAATTATGCACCTATGACAAAATAGGGACTGAGGGGATATCCAGTTCCAGTGTTTGCCTACTTATAATTCTTTTCTTGAAAAAGAATAATATACTTCCTGGAGATAAGCTTCAAGAACGTGGTAGTACACCTAGTACAATATAGGTATATTAAAAAAAATACAAAGCTCATGACTGCTACAAACTGCAGTGTTTTTGAAACAATAATTATATATATGCACACAACATGTATATAGATGTAAACTTGTCTTTGATCATATTTATATATAGCACAGGCATAGTTTCACACTTTTGGTAAATTTGGAGCACTTATCTGATTTCTAACTTTAACTGCTTGGTTTCACTGCCTGGAAAATGCTATTAAAAATTCTTTTCAAATTTTACATGCTATAATCAAGAAATATATGCTAGACATTCTTACTGGCCGTATACTGAGCAAATTTGTTGATGATGATTTAGAAATTAAATCTAATTAATTTTTAAAAAGTAGTATTATTAAATTTTTTAAATACAAATTAATTTTTTAAGTACTCAATCTTGGCCGCACATTAGAATCCAATGGGAAGTTTTTTAAAAAAAACTGATGCCCAGTTGCCCAAAATGCCAGTCTAGCATGGGTTGAGCCTAGGTATTTTTTTAAGCTCCCCAAGGGACTGTATTATATAGTCAGGTTGAAACCACTGTTGAAGATACTCCCCAATTTATAAAGGAATCATTCTTGAAAAAGAAACAAGCCTTTAAGGAAAAAGCATGGTATAAATGATGACTAACTTCTTAAATTCATCAAAGCCTGGTAATTGCAAATGTGTTTGAGGTTAAAAACTCATCACCTACAACCATCTTTCGTGAAGAAGAGTCTTGCATTTCAGCTTGGAATGTTTTCAATAGATCTTTTTCTTGTTGAAGCTTCCCCTACTAAGGGATGGTAATAAAGTTCATCTCCAGCACACAGACCAGGTCAGACCTCTGGATCCCTTTCAGTACCAGGCAGTCTTTAAACAGGAAGATACCAAGGGTATTTTACCATTCTCCCCTTTGCAGCAGAAACAAAGCAGTATGTGAGTGGTTTTTCTTCTTTTCCCAGCCACTGTCAGAATCACCTCAAAGGTGGACTTGGTCAGGGCAAGGTGTGGCGTAGGGCTCCAGGTGTCAAGAATAGCTGTGGCAGCACAAAATAGGTTACCAGTTCCCTTCCCTGTCTGCCTTTACCACAAAGCTTTCAATGACCATTTTTGCCCATTCTGAAGTCATTTTTCAGTATGACTGTAAGCTTTTCTAGAGAAGACGTGTAAGTGCTTAGCAAGGAGTGAGATATGCAAAACACTGCAGAAAGAATTAAGTATAGCTTAAAAGTAGATTATTTGGAGAAAAATCTTTAAGAGGAAAAAAAAGTAGTAGTATTATTATAACATAACAAATTCTAGTCAAACTTTGCCTTTCTGACTTTTGAAAACTTTAGCAATGGGACTTTCTGCTACTTTGTATTGAGTGGAATGTGTTCAGATGACATAAGACTGCAGGCAAGCAGCTCTTTCCTTCGAGGCCAAGGGAAAAAAGAAGGAAGATGCTGTCTAGCGGCAACACAGTGGGTAGCAAGTTGAGACTCTGATGATCCCCACAGCAGTAGATCTCTTAGCAGAAGTTGAGTCAAAACCAGGTGAGTACCTTTATTCCACACAGGCTACTGATAAGTTTTAACTAAGGGATAAACGAAGCACATGACCAGTTTCATATTATGTTGGATTATTTGATATCAAAATCACTTATTTTCAATTTTTACTAAGAGCAAAGGGAGTAGTAAGAGGGGTTTTCTTTATCATAGAGAAATTGAGAAAACCCTCAAAGCTAAGGTTACAAAGTCTAATTCCTGGAACAATGTTTTCTCTACTTGTTTAGCTGTTTAAGTCAACATTGTTCCACTGCCACATACAACAAAGCATTGATCCAGAACACTGCATTCTGGAATGACTTCTTCTCTGACTAATGATTTAATGCTAGCAGAGCAATTTAATGTGCCCATCTCCTCGCCAACCCCCACCTCTTCCATTTTTAGTGACTTAAACTAAGAGAAGTAGAATTTGCAGTTGATAGCTTTCGTATGGCTTCAATAATTCATTAGTTTGGGGATCCTTACAATATGGACTTAAAGCTGTTTGCTCTAGGAAAAAAAATATTCTGCAAATAGCTGATGAGTTCAACAAACAATGATTTTTGATCAAGTATACTGAAAGTGCTGGTTTCATTTTATTACTTAATTCAGGGATATGTTGAGTTGATGAGAATAAATGGGATTTTTTTTTAAACCTAGGGTCTATTAGAACTTATAAAAAATATATACCTGATAGCTTCCTATTTATATAACATGACCCCATGATCCTCAGTTGTCCAATAAAGTCAAGACACAGTATTCTCAAGACAAATACACTTTAGATGGTACAAAGACAAGACAGACTGCTGGATAGTTACAAATGCAAGTACACAACAGGAAAAAAAACAAATAGCATTCTGGATCAAATCTCAAAAATAACATACCTCCAAAGAATTACTTAAAGTTGATTTTTTAGTTAGATTCTCTGAGCTGAAGAAACCATAAAAAAATCTAGTTTTGCCCTTAAAGGTGCAGAGAAAGTATTTTATCTAAAATCAGAAAGCTTACTAGCAGACTGGAGTGACAAATCAGGGTCAGTACTTCTTGATTTCTGCCTCCATAATAATGTCATGCTGCCCCCAGTATTAGATCTTGTTATGTTAAAAACTAGCATGGAGTCTGATTAGCACATCAAGACAGCCAATGAGAAGAGCTTGTGGAAGTAGTCAAGAGTGGGTTGGAAGTGACTGGATTCAAGTTTTGATTTAATAATGAACAAATAAAAAAAGATGATGTGTTCTTTAAATGAGAAAATTAGTGGCAATCTAGATTAAAAAGATAGCCTCATCTAAGGGCTAGAACTGAGCTGTACAGTTTTGTAGCCACAAGTGATTAATGAACATCTGATTGTGGCTTGTCCAAACAGAGATGTGTTCTCAGTGTAAATATTACTGAATTTTAAAGATTAGGGGGTGGGGTGGGGAGGAATGTAAAATGTCTTAGTAATAAATTTTTATATTTATTTCATATTGGAATGACAATATTTTTGATACACTGGGTCAAATTTATGGTTAAAATTAGTTTCACTTATTACACATGCTCTCATGTTTCTGTTGGACAAGGCTGGTCTACAAATAAGAGGGATAAGCAACAGTATGCAGCTGTTGAGGTTTGAATAGCTGTGCCAAAAAGCACAGGTAGCATACCAGCAGGCACAGCATGTCATCAGGGAACCATCAATAGGCTAAGGAAAGGAAAGGGTAGGTAGGACTTTGAATTTGATACACTGCAAAATTCGAAGCTACTGCAGAATCTGGAGAGGGAATGGTATACTTTGAATAATACTCAACTATAATAATTTTGTAGGTACTAACATTCCTTACAGATTTTTGAAGTGAATTTTGTTTCCTCTTGATAAAAGAGATGCATTTGGAATGCTCAAATAAAGTTTACCAATTTTACCACTAGGCTTTATAGTAAAGTATAATAAATTTAAAGAGGACTATTTCAGCAAGGTTTAAAAAAAAATTTAAGTTGCTGGAGTTTAGAATTTGTTTATTTTTATACTAATTATCTTTTGAAACAGTATTTGACTTGTGTACAAGTTCACACACACAAACACACACACATACACACAAAATCACAGATTCTTTTTTACAACTAGCATCATAATACTAACAATTGCTTTAAAACACTTATAATTTTAGCACCTACTTGAATGAAAAGGGCTCGAATGTTCAGAATCAAACACGCTGCAAACATCTGTGGTACTGGAAGCACCAGAAGCAGGAGGAGGTGTTAGTGGTGTTCTTGGAGAATTTGGTGCAGATGCTGTACTTTCTGTTTCACTTTCAGGGATCCTGCTATAACTGATTTTTCTTGGCTCCTGCTGTAGAGGTGTGGGATGCCTCATGGTACCTGGTCTTGGGTTTGATGGACGAACACCAGGAGATTTTAGGGGGTAGCTGTATTTTTTTGGCTGTAGATATATGAAAAGAAACAATACTTAAAACAGTGTGGTAGAAAGGAAAATTTTTGTACCTGGTAAAATTCAATGAAATAGCTTTGAAAGCCATAAATCACCATTACGGAAATTACATAATGATTCAAATCAAAGAATCCAAGTTAAAGCATTATTCCATTTTGCTGAAACTTTGGTTAACTAAATTGTTAGGAAATGAGTTTCTTTAACTGAGTTAGTCCTATAAATACCAGAATATTTGTTACAAATTTTTCAAAAATATATTGTATATTTTCATGGTTATTTTGAGGTGGGGAGAGTACTGGGGATTGAACCCAGGGGTGCTTACCACTGAGCTACATCTATCTCCACTCCCCCCATTGAATTTTTTTTTTTTTTTTAATTTTGAGACAAGGTCTTGCTGAGTTACTTAGGCTGGCCTCAAACTTTCAATCCTCCTGTCTTAACCTCCCGAGTTGCTGCGATTACAGGTACACACCACCACACCCAGCTTTTCCTTTTTCCTGGTTTTTAAAAGACTGTTTTGAACAAATTGAATCTTGCTGAAAAAGTGAGGATCACCATCATGAACTATAGTATCTTACTATGCTATAATACAGTGATGACATTAAAACAATTTGGGCTATTTATAAATGCATTAAGTTGCTTGAGTTTTTATCTGTGTATATGTTAATTTTAAGGCATTTTGCTTGCAAAGTGATCATTTCTTAGTGATATCACTGTGCCTCAGTGAAGCAGTCTAGATATATATTTCCAATTTGCTGTTTTTAATTCATTTTATTAAAAACTATTTTAGGGCTTGACAAATTTGCCTATGGGCAACTGCAGATGCTTTAGTTCATAAACACTATGAGATTTATCTTGATCACTTAGAAATCACTTATGTTTATTTCCTGATTCTTGACTTTCTTATTATTGGGAGAACATATTCAGATCAGTGAGGTGATGATAATGTACATAAACTTGGCTAGTCACTGATAGTAATACAAAACAGTGGAACTACTGGAAGATGTCTTTAGCTAAACCTGATATTTCTATGTGCTAATGACTCATGGTTTAACCAAAGTCCCAAGTAAATATCTTTCTTATAAGTGAATTAGTATAAATTCATTAAATTTCTGGCACTTAAAATAAATAACATTGTTTTTGGTTAAATCCAAGAATAAGGAAAAAAACTTACATTTATGCTCAATTTCATCATTTATCATATCAGAATTTACTCAAATTAATATTAACATCCATTTATTTGGAACCAAGGGGAATATTCCTGGGTGTATTTAGTAAGAATTTCATTACTTTTCACTATCACATGTCCACTTCACCTCTGAATAATTTTATGGTAAACTAATCTACATAACATATGGTAGTGATGACATCACTAGATGTAGATGACAACTGCAAAAAGTATATAAATATAAAAGAAATGTAGATAGATGAATGCTTACAAATCTTGGAAGAGGCTTAGGGTTCCGTGGTTCTATCTCTAGGGATTTGTTGAAGAGATAATCAGTAAATTCTTTCTCCATGCTATTTCCCATTGGATTCAAGTTTTCAAAGAATCTCTAAAATGAATGCAAAAAGAATTAATATTCAATATATTAAATTAAGTTTGAAATTCATGAATATAATTTAGGAATATAACTTAAGAAAATTTGAATTTTTTTTAGCTTTTATTTCCCTATTTCTCCTCTACAAAATAAACTTGGCTATTTTATCAGGCATTTTATAAATTTAATAAGAATTATATATCCTCATAATTCAACTTACTTTGATATCTGATTCTACTCGTAAACAATAAGGCTGATTTTGGTACTGCTGGATCTCTCCTGTTATTTCTGCTACTTTCCTTCTTTTGCTAAAGTTTATAAGTTCTTTTCCATGTCTTTTTAGGACCTCAGGGTTGCCTTCTTCTGTTTTCAAGATATTAGTGAGATAAATTCCTAGAAGATATAATGAAATTGTTTCAAGGATAAAGAAGGAAAAAAGCAAGTTGTTTCTTTTTTCCCACATTAATTGTGGGCATATACACTGTACTCAGTCATCATAACTAAAGAATCAAGGCTCAGATTTCCATGCTAAGAAAAATAACAAGTTCAGGAAGTATCAAGAGAGTTTTGTAAGTATCAAATTCTTCTATGAAAGACTTAAATTTTATAATGTCCTCGGAAATGGGGAGACCAAGTTCAAGTTTAATAAAAATCAATAGATTTTTCAGGAAGAATAACTAATTTTTCACACTCCTCAAATCATTGTTATTTGATTAAATCACAGTTTGGCTAAAGGAACTTTAAGAATAAGTATGTCATTAATGGCACATATTTTTGGCGAAATGCTATACTCAGAGGATCACATTTTCTGCTTACTCAATTCTTGAGGTCCCATAAGAGCTTGTTAGGATTTGCAATTCAGAGGTAATCCTGTTTGGGTAGGCTTACTTCATGGAAATGTGGAAGGATCTGCAAGCCTATCAAACATAGGACTGATATAACTTATGTATATTCTGGTCTTCAGTATTTCCAGATTTAGTGTCAATCTGGTAGTTGAGCTCCTGTTTCCCCATCACTGCAGGTTGTGCACTGGGTGGGGAGGAGAATGAACAAAATAACAGGCACTTTAGCTGTTTTATCCAGTCCTCTGGCACAAGGAGCACTTTAGTTCCTTTCCTGTCTAGTACAAAGGTTCTGGAGCCAGCTCTTCTGCTTTCTACTTGTGTGATATTATGCAAACTGCTTAGTCTCTTTGTAACTCAGTTATCTCATCTGTAAAATGAAGGTAAGAAGGCTACTGTGAGAAATAAATGAGAGAATTTTTATATGGTTTAGAATAGGGCCTGATAAAAGCATTAATTAGCTTCAGTTGTGACTGTTGATGCCATTATTGTATCTTGCCCTATTTTCGTATGTTTCTGCCCTCTCCTCCCAAAGTACTGACTGCTGCTTTGGGCAGAAGACAAGGGTCTGGATATCTGAATTCATTCACTCAAATAAAATGCATCGAGTTTTGGCTGTATGTCAAGTACTGCATTAGGTATTACAGATACAAAGATGAAAAAAAAAAAAAAAACAGTCTCTGATCCCAAGAGAGTCCAGAGCTTTGAATGTGGACCACTAAGATGCAATTTGGTAAGTATATTAATATTAATGCATAAGATGCTACAAGAGAATAAAGGAGGCCTCGCATGCCTTATCCTGCCTTGAGCTAGTGGGATTAGAAAAAGCATTAGAGATGAGGTGATGCTTAGAATAAGTCTCAAAAGCTGAAGAGAAGTTTAATAAGTAGAATAAGATAGAGGGCATTCTAAAGCAAAGTAGTAATGTGTACAATGATTTGCGATGAAGCTTGGAAGACATACTTAAGAGACAGCATGTTGTACGGTATGGCTAGAACACAGGGATTTGGTGTGTGGAGTGGAAGAAGAGTGGCAGGATATGAGGGCAGTGGTTGTAAATGCATCTGTGGTAGAGGCACAATTTAAATATTAGAATTTTTGGCCACATCCTTGAAAAGATTAAATGATGCAAATCAATTCAGAATAAGTCAGCAATAATAATGATTGACATAGATCTTTTTTTTTTTTTTTGTTTGTGTGTGTGTATGTGTCTGTGGTGCTGAGCTACACCCCCCACCCTTTTTATTTGAGACAGAGTCTCACTAAGTTGTCCAGGGTGGTCCTGAATTTGCAATCCTCCTGCCTCAGTCTTTCTAGTAGCTGGGATTACAGGCATGTGCCACCATGCCCAGCTTTATTTAGTTTTAAAAAGCATTCAGTTTACCAGGCATAGTAGCACACACCTGTAATCCTCTCAGCTTGAGAGGCTGAGATAAGGGGATCCTGAGTTCAAAGCCAACCTCAGCAACTTAGCGAGGCCCTAAGCAACTCAGTGAGACTCTGTCTTTAAATAAAATATAAAAAAAGGGCTGGGATGTAGTTTAATGGTTAAGCGCTCCCTGGGTTCAATCCCTGGTATCAAAAAAGAAGCAGTTATTGAATAAATTAGTTTTTTTTTTCTTTTTGAGTACTTAGGTCACTCTTCATGATACATTCATTTATGAGACAAAGTTACTGTGTGTTCTAGTAAGAAAAGGCTCTTTAACTTTCAGCCAGTTATAGACTTTATACAAACTACATGATCCATTTTGCTCAATGCTCATTCTGACAAAACATGCATATGCAATGGCAGCCAAAATTAACTTTTCATTTTAGTCACAAACTATGGCCCACCCATGAAGAGTTTGTGCATAGTAGCATCTGGACTTTCGTTTAAAAAGCTTCACTTAGGAGATAAATAGGGAATTATTAGCATCTTTACATTCTAGCTAACATGAGCTGCACTGAAAGCCAAGGAAGAGAAGTTTGCAAGCTATCAACAGTGTTTGTGAGACGATGAGGGCTGCCGTAGGGTCTAAGAAGATATAATAGAGGGGATAAATATTTCATAAGTAGCCCCTGCCCCCTGCACTTATTAACTGGTTTTGGTAAGGGGTGGAGCAGCAGGAAAAAGTTGTCTGAGCTTTGTACTTGGTTGACTGAATGGGTGATACAATGACCACCACTGCAGGAGGGCAAAATAAGTTTATGGAATGTCACAGGTGTTAAAAGTATACTTGAATGAAGTTGTGAATATGCTTACAAGTAGCACTTGGGGAAGAGTTCAAGATAAAATTTGGAAATTATTTTATGCCTAATTGGTGACTCATTTAAAGATGTTGATGATCATCAGTGTTTAAAAAAAATCATATATATAAACATATACATAATTTTTGAATTAAAAATATAAAACCTGTATGTATGTATAATACAGACCTGAATATTACATATAAGGAAGCTTAATTTTTTCTTCTTTTAAAAATATATATAAATAGAGGGTCTAGTTTAGTCCTGTGTTTCAACAGATCATTTTGCATACCCTACTCTGAAGACTGTCTAGCATTGTTCTTCGAGAGGGAAAGAAGAGCTTTGACATAAATAATGAAGAGGGCTGAGGTTTTTGCTTTTTTGCTAATGCCTTTCCCAGACTTCCCAGGAAAAAGTGGCTGCTCAGACTTTAAAGTTTCCACAGCACTTTGTCTACACTTCAATTTCTATATTTCTACAATACAATGTTATACTTACAACACAATACTATAAATTTATTTTTTCTGCTCTTTCAAGGGAATAGAAACTCTGGGGGCTATGTCCTACTGGTCCATTCTCAGCACCTAGCCCTGAGCCTCACACATATAGGCATTCAACAAATGTTCCTGAGTGAATGAAATAAGTATATTATTTCAGAACAGAAGACAGAGCATTTGGAGACTTAGACTAGTATGTGATAGACATACTGTTGATTGTAAAATAGCAAGAAAGCAACAGTGGAGATGAAACACATTTATAAAAAAACAAAACAAAACAGGAGGACACAGGATCAAAGCTGGGTAAAAATAAAGAGCAAAGCCAAATGTTACAGGCTTGGATATTGGTACACAGATGAGAAACTTGATTAAGGTATGGCCTTTTTCCTCAGAGGAAATGTTTGCTCATGTATTTAGATAGACTAGAAGTTGAGAAATAGACCAGAAGTCTGCCAGAGCTTTTTAAGGAAAAATTGCCCTGTGATTTTTCTGTAAATAGTGGCAGTTCCAACATAAGAGTAAGAATTCTGGTAAGATGACAGAGGTGGTGGGAGTGTTACTACTACCCCTATTTTCCCCCATAGAAGGGGAAAAACTGTATCCAGAATTACATATTAAAACCTGGAAGAAGTTTCTATAAATTTTTATATAGAAAATGGAATTCAGAAACCGCATTAACATCTGGCTCTACCTACCAGATCAAAACCATAAAAGCATGCCTGGATAGTTTCTGAGACTGATAACCTTCAGTATGAAAATAGCAAACATCTTCTTAGAGCAGCAGGACTGACTGGGGATGCTTTCAGATAAACTAGCTAACAGAGCAAAGTCTCAATAACCAGGAAAATGAGCAGAAAGCATAAAAATTTGGCAAGTGGGTCAATATTTTTATCCAGAATTGAGGGTGGCAGAACATCCTTGAAAAAACAGTAGAATTACTGTTTTTGTTTTGTTTTTTTAAGTGACATAAAATCAGCAAAGAATAAGTTTAAGATTGTTTTTGGGGAAAAAAGCAAATCCAAGTAAAAAAAGTAAGTAAAAATAGAAATGGAAAATACACATTGCAAATAGAAACAAAAACAATTTGTTGCAAATATAAGTGAATGCTTCCTATTTTTACTTTTTTCCTCTTGATTCTGGGTATCAAATCCAGGTCCTCACACATGCTAGGCAAACACTACTACTGAGCTATACCCCCAACCTGCTAGTAGTTTTAAAATAATGTAACAATCCTGTAACAAGAAAGATCTTTTCTTAAAATAACAAAAAGCATCCAATTAAGCAAAATTAGATCTTTTCTTGATGAAACTAAGTTTAAAACAGCTGTTTTTTTCAAAAACATTTTTTAACCTTTGGGAAATTAATGACCAATTCTATAATGCATAACAGAGAAAGAAGATTAAAGGAAAAGATACTGGGTCATTAGTTGTTGACATATTAAATATTTAGAAAAGTATTCTTTCCAAATTGATTGTTTCAATTACATTTGGGGGCATTTGCTCTGCCCTGCCCCACCCCACGAAATTTATAAAGTTAATTTGGAAATGTAGAAAGACAAAATTGGCAAAGAAAATACTGAAGTAAGATTAAAGAACCAACTTGATCATATATAAGAACACTATAAAGCAGGGTTTCTCTGCCTTGGCATCACCTTTTGGAGCAGATACTTTTTTATTATGGGAGATTATCCTGTGTGCTGTTGGATATTAGCAACATTCTTGTCCTTTCTTTACTCACTAGATTCCTGCAGCACCTTCCCAATTAGGACAATATAAAATGTCTCTAGATGTCGCTAAATATTTCCTTAGAATCAATAATTATAAAATGATAATCATTACAATTATGGCACTAGTATAAGAAATCAGTGCAACAACAACAAAAGAAACCTAAATGGATTAAGACAAAAAAGAAAAAAAAGAAATCAGTGCAAGACAGTATGTATTAAAGAAGGCCATATATAAATAGGAAAAAATAAGAATTATTCAGTATACCTAGGTGAACAAATAACAATTTGGTAGAGAAATAAATTTAAGTACTTCATGACATCTAAAAGAGACTTCAGTTTCATAAAAGGATTAACAATAATTTAAAAAGCTAAATGATAAAAAGCTAGGTGAAAAAATGATTGAATATTAAAGTACTTTCTATTCAAAGGTTTCTATCCTTAGGGTGGGAAATCATAATGAGAACGATGGATGTATTATTTTGAAACTAATATATGTCAGCTAACACAAACTAAAAGGCAGATTGGTAAGAATATTTTCAGCAGATATGAAAAAGGACACAGACAAGAAGGAACACAAATATTAAGCAAATATATGAAAAAATGTCCACAGTAAACAAGAATGGAAAGTATCACAACAATTAGGTAGTAGTTTTTAATCTGTGAAAATAACTTTAAAAAAGAAGTACTTAAAGTTGGGGAATTATGGAATGACATTTGCTTTGTTGTGCTCTTCTGATACAGCATTAAGTAAATGAGCATAAGCCTCTTAGAAAGCAGCTTGGCAATACATATCAAGAATTAAAAACTGATGCCTCTTAATATCTCAAGAGGATATTTTCACATACAGGAATAAATGAAAATATAACATTATTTAGGAAAGAGAAAAAGCTGAAAACAATGTGTCTGATAATGAGGTAGTGGTTAAATTAATTGTTATATTAACTTAATAGATTATGTGACCATTATAAATGATTATTATGAAGAATATTTAATAAAAATATAATATACCTAGGATATAGTAGATAAAAAGTAAACCATTATATATATGTGTGTGTATGTGTGTGTGTATATATATATATACACACGTTATGTATCTATACACACACTTACACACACACACACGTCATATAATTACAATTATATACAATGTGCAAAGCAAAAAGTTAAGCCAATATGAAAGTGGTTGGTTCTAAAGCCTAAGAAACAAAATATGAGAAATATGATACTTGAATAAAATATCAGGACATAAAACTGTTTATGTGTAATGTAACTTAAAACTATACAGAAAAAAAATTACAGATGAGGAAAAGACTAGAAGAAAATTTACCACATATTAAATAGACTAAATATAAGAGGTGTGATAGAGATCATAGTTTCTCTAAGGATTCAGAAGAAGGGTCACAGAACACACACACAGGCAGAGAAAAGACGTCAATATCAATATCTTCAATTGAAGATGTGAAATACAGGTAAATCATGAAGACAGAGGGACCTACAGAAAGGAAGTTGATTACAAAAGGATATACAGTCTTAAAAGGAAGAAAAAGGCATATCTTTCCTTTGGTTCAAAAGTGGGGAAAAGAGTCAGTGAAGAAAATAAAATTTTGGTGTGCTGAAGGTATGGGTTCAGAGGCACATGCACTATGATTTTTAGTCATGTGACACTACTTTAAAAAAAATCAGTTATAAATATGGATGAATTTGGTCATGGCTTTTCTGTAGCACAGTTTATTAAATTCAATGGAAAAGGTTTCTATGAATATAAAAAATAAGTAAATATTATATAATATTGAGTGTCCAAGATGAACACAAAAAGAAAGGATTGTGTATTCCTTATATATATAAAATGTTTGGGATCAGAAATGTTTGATTTTGGATTTGGAATATTTGCATATAATAAGATATCTTGGGTATAGGACCCACGTAAAAACATAAAATCATTTATATTTCATATATTCCTTTATAACATAGCCTGAAAGTAATATATACAATATTTCTAAAGTCCACATTTTGACTCTGACCCCTTGTATGAGGTCACATTTGGAATTTTCCCCTTGTGTTATCTCAGAAGATACTGGGCTTCATCTTTAAAAGTCCTAATGAAAAAAAATCTCAAGGGATTCAGGTGCTAAATATTTGTTAGGTAAATATTTTCTGCTGGCATAGTATACATGTCTATAAGACATTTAATGAAATAAGTATTATACATACATACATACACACACACACACACACACAATAAAAACTCAGGAAGAAATACTTACCAAAGAAAGGCACACATGGTGGATTAATAGACCTGAGTTTTGCCAAATATTTCTTATAGTGATCTTCACTCAATTCATGAGCTTCTTCTAAAATTTTCTTTTGGCGACTTGGTATTTGCTATAAGGAAAAAAAAAATGAGAAAGCTTAAGTTTATAAAGAGAATTATTGGCCTTGCCAAAAAAATGTCAGGATAACAATAAAGCCCAAACACAACAATATTGATTTTACAACTATCTCTACAGATGCTAGTACAAACTTAGAGGGGAAAGGGTATCTTGGCTATTTCTCACACAATTTTGTGTGCATTTAAAAATTAAGAGAATTTTTTTACCCCTTCTAAGCTGGGACTTGCAAATATATTTTAATGAGAATGCCTCATTTTGAAAGAGTAACCAATTCATTACAAAATTTATAGATAATCCCCAGGCAACGAAAGTTCATTTAAAAACACATGTATAAACCTACCTCAAATGTGTGGTCTAGTCTGTAAACAGGTGATGAGTTCATAGCACTGACAACCTCAAGGACACCATTGAAGTTATTCAGTTCTTGAAAGACTTGGAGAATCTCAATTATTCGACTCACCACAGCTACTCTTTCTTCTAAATTTTCAGTTTCTACAATACATCTATGAGTCAAAATCAACAACAAAAAAAATTAAGAATTAAATATTTAGAGTTTTTCCAAAAATGACATGCTTTAAAAAAGTTTAGTGAATACAAAAATCTAGAGTGTGGTGGGGAGTGGCTATTGTATGACTTCAGAGAAAACATGTTTAAAGTGAAAGGCAGAAGGAGATTGGAAGATAAGGCAGTCCTTCTAGCCAGTCTCACTGAGCTTTTCTGTTCTTTAGACTGCTACTGTCAGCCAAACATTTTTCTAGTGTGCATCCTCTATCAGCATTCAAATGAACTGATGATCTTGTTAAATGTATACAAATCTTTGTAATTTAGGTGTGTCCTAGGGGAATGTAAAATTCAAGAATTCTGTTGCCTCATAAATCTTTAATTGTAAGATATTAGTGATTATTGCTTAATTTCTTTCTTACTAAAAATAAAATAAAAGTTACTTAGAAAGAAAATAGTGCAAGAAAAACTATGAAAACAAAAGTATTTTACATTATTAGTTAGGTGTGGTGGTGCATTCCTATAATCCCAGCAGATCAGGAGGCTGAGACAGGAGGATCACAGATTCGAAGCCAGCCTCAACTATTTAGCGAGGCTATAAGCAACCTAGTGAGACCCTGTCTCAAAATTAAAAATAAAAAGGGCTGGGATATGGCTCAGTGGTTATGTGCCCGTAGGTTCGATCTCTGGTACCACCCCCGAAAAGTATTTTACATTAAAATACTGAGAATCCTTAGTAAGTATATCTATTTGCTTATTATATAATAATATGTATTCAATATTAATATATTATAAAATACATATTATAAAATACATATTATATCTAGTGAATTTACTATATTTTATATATACACACCCCTCCCAGCATATAGTAAAAAGAAGTGTGCCATGTTCAATAAAATTACTTAACATTTAACTCTGTATAGTGCTTGAGAGAATTTCTAACTTATTAATCACAGGTAAAGAAAAAACATTTTTAAGTTTAGATTTCAGTAATATTAATAGTTTCTAATCGAAAAGAAATTGATTATATAAATGGGAAAACTAAATATAAATCAGTATTAAACATTTTTTAAAATATAAAGTTGCAGATTACATTATTCTCTAATGAGTCTGAATTAACACCAAGAAAAATAAACGGTTGTACATGAAATTATCAAAATAAACTTGGCTTATCATCAAATTAAAAATAACACGTTTAAAAACATTTAAAGCTTTAGCTAGATATCTGAAAATATATTCTGGCTAACTAGTGGGCTGGACAATTAAAAAGATATAACACGGGTACAATTTATTTATATCTTTTTAAATATAGCTTCCATTTTACCATTTCAACCAAGATCACCTGTGGAGCTTTTGATTCCAATTCTAATGCATACCCCTGGCTAAGGACCACTGTGGAAAATGAATAAGAACCTCAACATTGAAAGGGCAGGAAATGGCCTTCCTCAAAATAACCTATTTAAAAATAGGACAGAAATGAAAGTGGTCTCTACTCTTATTAATTACAACCCCCCTTTCAGATATGACATTTTAATTACGATGGGAAAGGGGTTCTGGTTACTGAAGTGTAGTATTTAAATTGATAAGAAGTTAAGCAACATTTAGAGAGCAAATTCCAAAGTTTTACGTTTTTAGAAACAAGTTATGTTTAATACAATAAGTAGATGGCAGTTCTAATTTTCAGATGAACTGGAATGCTTATTTCTTTACAGAAATTGTTTTGTAAGTCTTTATCCATTCTTTCCCTTATGTTATTGGCTGCTTGTTCTGATATTCCCAATATAATTTGTGGAAATATCATAATATCTTTACAAAGATTACTCAAATAGTAATATTGTCTTCCCTCAGAATAAATGCAGTCAGTATACAAAACTCTAATCTCTGCCTCCCAATTATAAAATTGCAATGAATTCTGGACTTACAGAATGATAATGCAAGGAGCCTCACTGAACTAATTCAGTGAAACTTACTAAACCAAAACACCTCCTGCCCCATTCAAAAAACCAAAATGGGACCAACAAATACCTCACAGTAGTCTCTGGAAATGGCTCTAACAGTAAATGGCAAATGAAGAAATATTTATTCAGAAAAATCTACAAAAGTTAGGTAAGAGAAAGGAGGGTCTGTGGTATTTATTTTAACAAAGACTGCTCCCTCCCTCCTTCCTTCTAGAATATCCACTCTAAATTGCTCCAGCCAAGAGTACTAGGCTCAAGCTAGGGACCTTTGCTCCCGGAAGGAACAGGACTTCAACATTTTCATGCTGCCTCCAGCTGCCTACTACTGAGGTTAAGTCCAGGTTAAGTGCAGTTAAGTAGTTTTGCCCAGCTCTGACTTATGGAGGGAACACTGAGAAAAGAGCCATTAGTCTGGTTCCTAAAACAGTAGCTCCATATCAAAATAGGGAAGTAAAAGGACCTAAGGCAGCATCCTGCTCCTCAATCCTCCTCCACCTGTGACTTAGCTCTAAGCTGCCAGAGTAAAAAGGTCACTCAGAAGCTTGTCATCTGTTCCACAGACCAGTTTCAAACAGATAGTTCATTTGCAAACAAAATGTGGAAAGTTTAAACCCAAATGTGGTCTCAATAGTAGAAGCTGTGATGAAAGGCAATGGGGAGGAGATTCACAATATATAAAATATAATGAAGGAACAGCCTCCACTGTAGGCCAGCTAGTATGCAAGACAGAACCAGGAAATAAGAGCTAAGAGGAGCCCTCCTCAGGTTAGCACAAATATGGAACAGGGACCTCAGAAACTATCCTTCCAAGAAGCCACAATTTGACTGGATTCTAGTCACTGAATAAGCAAACAAGCAAGCAGCAGCAGTTCCAAGCTCTGAAAGGGAGGGGACAGTACTCAGAGTTGCTACAATCTATTATCTAAAAAATTCAAGTAAACAAAAAAATAAAATAAAAAATTACAAAGCATACAATAGGAAAATATGACCCATACACCAGAATGAAAGTAGGGAATAGAAGTTGCCTGTGAGATGGACCAGATGTTAGATTTAGAAAGATTTCAAAATAGCTATTCTTGAGTATGTTTGCAGAACTAAAGGACAACATGATAAAGTAGTAAAGGAAGGTATGATTAGAATGTGCATCAAGACAGAATATCATTAGAGAGGTAGAAATTATATATATATATAAAAAAACAAATAGAAATTCTGGAATTGGAAAGTACAGTACAAAATTGGAAGGGCTCAGTAGAAGATTTAGACAGAAGAAAAAATCAATTAACATGAAGATAGAGCCATTGTTCAAAAATGAAGATGAACTATTTTCTCAGATAAACAAAAACTGAGAATTTATTGATAGCTGATCCACTGCACAAGAAACACTAAAGGAAGTTGTTCTCAGGCTCAAAACAAGTAATCCCAGATGGTAATTCAAGTCCACATAAAGAGCCCCAGTAAAGATAACTGTGTAATTATAAGAGATACTATACATGCATATTTTTATTCATTTTTTGTCTTACCTGACTTAAAAAGGAACTATATAAAATAATGTATATGAATATATTGTGTTTATAACACAGAAATATATGTGTAATGTATTGCACATATATGTGTAAAATAACAGCACAAAGGAGGTAGGTAAGAGTAAAGTTGTAGTAGGTTAAGAGGATAAAGGCAAATGGTAAAGTAATAATTGTATCAATGTATTGTTGGATTTACATAATTAATTAGATGTTATATGCATTATAATACCACGAAAAGGGGAGAAAAGGAATAAAGCTATATAGGAATAAGCTACTATAAATCTAAAGCCAATGATAAGATGTATACAGTAAATCATAAGACAACCACTAAAAGAAACTAAAAAAATTAAAATCATTCCTAAAATTAAAATGCTACATTAGAAAAATATTCACTTAATGCAAAATAAAGAAGGAAAGAACAGACATGCAACATATACAAATAAAATGGCACTAAAATTCCTAACACAGCCAACTGCAATACAACAGAAGAATGTCAAGAATACTTACTTCTCAAACCATAGAGTGAGATTAGTGGTATGTCGGATCATTTTCAAAAGATTGGGAGAATTAATTTCTTTGTCTTCTTTTGTCCACACACTTCCAACTAATTCTGATGGCTGTACAGCTCTAAAATCATCACAAAAATGCTACATGATACTTTTCCCTCTAACATAGACAGTGTTTTATTAAGTAAACAAAATAAATAAAAACTAAACTCTTGCTATATAAACTTTTCTCTGTCACAAACAAAAAAGTTTATAAAAACAAGGTCTGACAAAAAGTTATAATTATACATTTTTCTCTATAGATATCTGTATTATTGTTTCAGACAAGGTTGATATTTTTGCATAATCTTTTCCAGCAATTATAAACATTGTTTAATAAATAATGATATATAATAATTAGTGCAAAGAGGGTACAGTAGTCACTAAAATCTATAAATCTTTTCTTTCTTCCTTCTTTCTTTCATTCTTTATAAAGGAACGGAGAGAGAAACCTACCACAAAAAAAGTCCTTGAAAATAGATTCCAACATTATCATTTGGAAAATATGATGATCTTTGGCAGGAGATAAGTTTATCTCCTTTTTTAATTTAGTTATTAAAAAGTAAATAATCTGCATTCAATCCTTGGTACAACAACAACAATTACTTTATATTCTAAATAGAATTTAAAACCATTAACATTTTTTGAGATTGTAGTTATGTCAATGTTGAACAAGAAACTGAAGAAAGCTATAACTGGCCATGACTTTAAGTTTACCAGAGGAGGAGCTATAATTATTGAGCTTTCACTTGACGGTAGACAATGTGCTAATACGCACCGTACATGTATTGACCACATATTAAAAACCTTAAAACAGCCTCAGAAGTAGTACTATCGTTAGCCTCATTTTACTCTGGAGGAAACTAAGAAGCAGAAGGATAAAGGTTACCTAAAGAGGTTAAAGTTGCCAAAGAATACCAAGTCATCAATTGAAAGTCAGGATTTGAACCTAGCTTCACTATGTAGGGGTGACTGCAGAAAGACAGATGGTATAAATTCAAATAGAGCATGGGGGACACCAAGAGAGTAAAAGGATCAGAACTGCCTGCCAAGTCTTATCACTACTAAACATTTCATGTACTACCTCATTTACATCTTATGACAATGCTATAAGATAGGAATAGTATTGCATTTTAATAATTAACTCTTTTGAAATGATTTTTCAGCTGAATGTCAAATTACATACCGGTATAAATCTGATTCAAGTAAAGTGAGTTGTCGAGCAATTTCTATTGGGTGTAAGGTGAGCAGGTCAAAAGTCTCTATGTGCCCGGGTCTGCTTATATGCCACTCAACTGTGGGAGGTGAACTCTGAAATGTAATATTGTGACCTGGCCCATTGTCTCTTGCAATTTTTTTCCTTTGGATTATTTTAGTGATGGATTCAACCCATTTTTTCATTGCTTTACCTGAAATACATTATATTTTAAAATAACATTTACATACTCCTTATTTGATATTTTATCTTTTAAGAAGGTATAAAATCTCACAAATGATACCTGAATACATCTTTGCTATTAAAAGTTCAAATGATAAAAATAAAAACTACAAGTTCCCTCCTCTCAGTCCCCCATTCCAATCTCATTCTTCTCCACATGAATAAACTATTCATAGATTGATATGTATTCTTCTAGATCCTTTCTAAATAAAATTAGGAAGTAATTTATTTGAGAGATTTTTCACCTCTATTGTTCTCAACTTTAGTTCAAAATATTATTTTACAGTATTCTCCCAAAAAGGTATTTCATACAAATTACAAGATTGATAGATTATACACATGCACTGATCTAATTAACATCACATTTTTATAAACCAAACAGTCTCAGAGGACTGAGTCCACACATCATTAAGTATGAATTTTGATGCTATACAATAGAAATAAAAACAAGTTTACTAGGACATCCTGGAGTCATATAGTACCAGATTTTTAAAATAGGAAGGAAAACAATGGAGATCATCAAACCTAGCTCCTCATGTTTCTGACAAGGAAAGTGAAATCTAAAGACTCAAAGTGATGATGTTAAACATAGACTCTAAGAATAATACCTTCTGCCACCTCTCTGATTATCTCTATTCACCTGTAGCCTATCAGACTTCCATTAAGAGGTATTACAATTATAGAATAGTTGCTACATACCTCAGGTACACTTACTTTTAAATAAGTAACTTAGCTTCATTGAGGGTTTTCTAGTCATTTCTAAAAGAATCAGTAAGTTGACTCACCAAATGAAAATACATTTGACTCAACAGAGTGATTACTGGGCAATCTGTAGGTCTAAATGTTGTTTGATGAGAAAATTTTAACTTTTAAAATGGTTGTGCTCTTACTATTATAAACATCTTGGGGACAAGGGATGTAGCTCAGTGGTAGAGCATTTGCTTAGCATGTGTGAGGCCCTGGATTCAATTCCCACCATCACAGAAAAAAAAAAAAAAAATCAAATCTCTAACAACATTGAGCAATTATGGCATCAATTGACAGTCACCATATTGTAGTTTTATTACATATAAAACAAGGCCTTTAGGGAAAACATACCTCTTACTGTTCCAATAAATTCCTCCATTCGTTGTAAAAGATCTGCATCTCTTTCAAAATCATAAAAGTGGTGCTCTACCCAGTGCCGACATACATTTAACACTCTGTGGTATTAACACAGAACTGAATTACATGGGAACTCAAATAAAAATTTTATCAAAATGAAAGATACCAATAAAACAGACTCATCAATTTAAATAATCTTATCAGTGACTTTCAAAATTCTAAATTATTAAGATATAATAAATTTAAGTCATTTATTTTATTTATTACTTCTTCCTTTGGTCCTTATATATTCCAACTTTGAAACAAAAGTCTGATGAAGACTTGTTTACTTTAGTTATTATTTAATGCTTACCGTAGTTGTACAGGCTGTATATATTCTTTTCTAAATCTTTTTAGTTCTGCACTCAAGGGTTGATCTCCATTCTCTATAGCTATACGATCAGCTTCTGTTGGCTCAGGCTCTGGAATTTCAAACCTGTCATAACACAGAAAAAATTTAATGAAAATATTTCAAATTATGCAATAGAGAAATCCACAAAGCTTTTAGTCAGCACAACTAAGAGATTACTGTTATTACACAATATATACGTATACTGAAACATTACATGGTACTTCATTAATATGTACAATTATAAAATTATAAAAATTATAAAAGAAAAAAGAATACTATTCAAAATTACTTAAGGATGTAAACATCTGTGAAAATTAGTGAGGCTTCTATAATGTAAAGGCAAATGATAATATTTTAAAAAAGAGGTTAATACTTGACAATATAGGTAAAACTAACTAGAAACATAATAAATGCATGCAAAAATCTAAAAAATAAATGACTATATAGTTATGGAATTGATGTTCAATCTTGGTTTGTAGAATTACTCTAAATCAGCTGATAACTTTTAAGGGCAACCAATGTTTGAAAAGTAGATTGCTCTTTGGGTAGATTAATACTATCACATTCCTGAATGATAGTATTAAACATATTTACTGACAAGTTACGGTTTACTCAATTTGTGGAATATTTGAAAACTTTTGTTTGAATATCATAAAGAATTGAATATCCAGAGTCTAAATTATATAGCTAGGTGTGGTAGTGCACACCTATAATTCCAGCGGCTCCAGAGGTTGAGCAGGAGGATTGCAAGTTAAAAGCCAGCCTCAGCAACTTAACTGGTTAGCAACTTAGATGACCCCATCTCTAAATAAAAAATAAAAACAGGCTGGGGATATGGGACAGTGGTTAAGCACCCCTGGTTTAATCCTTGGTACCAAGAAAAAAAAAATTAAACAGAAACCAAAAAAACTCAGAGTTTAAATTATACACTTCTATGTAATATTTTAAAGTGGTTAATTCTATAAATGTGAGTTTTCAAATGCTAAATTTCCATTTAAAAATGGCATCTATTTTTTATTTAAATAATCAAAGGTAACATGATGTAAAAATAAATGGATTTATTTTAAAAGTGCTCATGAACTACAATTCATCCAACATATATCTGAAAAACATATAAGATTATTGCTCAATCTCTTTTAAAATAACTTAAACATTTTAAAAAACAGACCTTTCTATTATAAGACTCAGTAGTTCTTGAGGTTTGCAAAAGGATCTGTATGTTGTAAGAAATGTCCGAACAAAATTGGGATCTAAAAAGAAAAAGGAAAAATATTAAAGTATTTGATTCAGAATGTTTAAAACTACTATTTACATTTTTTTAAAGAGATCAAAAGTAAATTTTAAAAGTCCCAAATGTTTCAGCACAGAAAATGTTTTGGATTTTGTAATGTACTACTAGCTTTAGTGTTTTCTAAATCAGTGGTAAAAAAATTGATATTAAAAATTTTTGTCAGCTTATTTCTTGCTCTCTGCACACTGGACAGATGGTCTTACACTTATCATTGGCCACAGGAATGTATAAGGGAAAAAGGCAAAGGCATATTGCTACGAGGATCTCAGCCTATCACCAGTTGGTTTATCTTTTTGGTAAAGAAACAGCAACAATAATCTATTAATTTCTTGGCATACAGATTAGTTTATCTTGGCATCTAGGATCAGTTATTTAGATTTTTTAAAAATCATGTTAACACAGCATACAACTAGAAATTGAATCTTATAAAGTAGATTAAATATTGTTTTTAATTGCCAGAGGCCTTACCTAGAGCTGCTGAAACAACTGTAAGCTGTTACTGTTGAATTACATGGGAACTCAAACACAAATTTTATCTGTTGAAGTTGTTAAAACTAACACAGAGACTAGAATTGTACAAATCAATCATAAGAAGAGTCTCCAACCCTCTTCATGAAAGGTTCTACTTTTCATTCATACCTCCATGAAGTAGAACAGGAGGCCCATCGACTGAGATAACTTCCCCAGATCTGACCTACTCCTGCTTCTTCTTGATAGTATTCTCCCAAGTTGTAGAAAAAGGATGCTGTCATCAGCAAAAGAGAACTGGGCTATGGTCTTTTGCATAAAGGGGGGGGGGGGGAAGAACCCCACTCACTTCTATAACTCAAATTCCATCAAAGTCTACATTTAGTTATAAGAGTCCTTATAAAGAAGGAGGGGAAAGTTCATTGACTTGAGTCTTTTTCTGGAAGCAGTCTCCTATTTACATTATGGACTGGTAAAGTCTAATTTATGGTAAATTCACTGAGGATAACAAATGCCTTTATTTTTGTTAGGCCACACATTGTGGATCAAAACTTAAAACAAATACATTGTCTTTTATTAGCACAGGACTTAGCAAAATCAGAAGGTATTTGGAAAATTTTTATTTAAGCTGATTCTATCTGATTAAGAACCACTCTAAATTTAAATATTCATAACACTATTACCATTTTACTCTTGCAAAGTCACAGATTCATTATAAAGCAGAAATCTATTTCTAATCTATTGGTATATATGGTCAAAAAGATAATGAATTGAGTTAAATATCAGATAATCCTGGATTTAAAATTACAATACTTTTAAGTTAAAGAAAAGTTCACAGACTCAAAGTACATTGGTTTTAAATACTCCATTTTCCTTTAGCTTCTGAGGCTAGAATGGGTTACTGATAAAAGTAATTTAAATACATATAATCCTTTAATAATTTCATTTCTGTTGGTATTTTATTGTCTTCAGTTACAGAGTTCCTCAGTTAAAGACTAATGTCTCATCCAGAAGAAAAGATTTTAAAACAGAAGGCTGTACAAGATTTTAAAACAGAGATTTTTATCGGTTTCATCACAACCCTCCCTTTCAAGAATCTTCTTCCTGTTCTGCAAATCTATTTGTAAGGTGAGGCTACTTTAAAAAAGCATGTATTTAGGAAGCAACAGCAGTGGCCACAATAGGGACTTTGAGCTGTCACTATTGGAGAGAAAGCCCATACCCTCAGTACAGAGGTCCCAAGTATCCCTGAGCTGTGTTCCAAATTTAGAGTGTCCCCCGCTCCTGCTTTAAAAGTTTATTTTAGTATAAAGATTTAAAATCAACACCCAGATCTATTTCTTCTCAAATGCCAACCAAAATCAGGCTAAAATGTTGTGGGATTATCAAAGGTACTTGTAAGTTGAAAACAGAATAAAAGCAAGATCTAAGTGAATTAAAGTGTGTGCGTACATATATACATATATTTATTTTAGTTGTTGATGAACCTTTATTTTTTATTTACTTATATGTGGTGCTGAGGATCGTACCCAGTGCCTCACACATGCTAGGCAAGTGCTCTACCACTGAGTCCCAGCCTCAGCCCCTAAAGTAGATTTTTTTTTTTTTTCCTAAAGTAGATTTTTATAATAAGAAAACAATGACTATTTTTAAAGGCAAACAAATTTAAAATAGATTTTTCATCCTCTTAACCCAAACCATTTAAAAACAGTCTTTTCATCTTAAACCATTTTAGTACTTTAGTAACTGATGATATGCCTCAGTGCCACACCACTCAGATGGGATCATGGCAATTCCTAATGACTGTTATGTAATGTTCTCAAAGAGTTTTCACCTAATTTATTTCATATGATTTCTATAAGCTCAGTAAGACAGGTGAGAGAAGTAACTAGGATTTATACAAAGTCACACAGTAGAGTGGCAAAACTGAAACCAGAACCTTGGTTATGTGATTCCTGATTTGGTGTTCTTTTCTACCATAATTATGTAAACTATAACTATAAGCCTTCTTCTAGATTTTAGGAAGCAGCAGCTGTACCTTCCTGTACACTGCGTTCAGAAGAGGAGTTTCTTGGGCTGATAGTGAAATAAACACTTCCACAATCATCACTGTTGTAGTAGTTTAAGTGACTCAAGTTTAAGTTGTTTTTAGCTTGATTGGAAGTAAGAGCAAGCAATCTTGTGAATCAGAAAAAAATAGCAGAAACCAAAAATAAACAAAAAAAAAAAAATAGCAAAAATTTAAGTACTTTAAATGCTACCTATATTCCCAGGCTTGTGTAATTTAGACTTTATTTTTAGTCTAAAGCAATGAAAAGTCTAATGAATGAAAAATTTATTTGAGAGGCCATGGCCTATATTTGAAACTCTACACGAAAAAGCATACATATTCCAGAAACTATTTTTATTTCTATTGCACTTATTTCTCTATTTCAGTGACTGCATCATATACCACGCCACATTAACTACTAAAGACCTTTATCTTAGTGATGATGTAAAGATCAAAAAATATCCATCAATAAGGACAGATTATATAATTTTTGAAGAAAACAAAGTACCTACTTCCATTCATCAGGCAATGATAAAAGTTAAGGCATATTGCTAGTTGGTTGTGGGGTAGCAGTTATCTACTTATATTCTAAAATGATATTTCAGATACTGATGGAAGGCAAATACATAAAAATACAAAGGCCAACCTGCATTTGGCTTTGAAACATAAGTATGAACAAATATTCATAGAGGAAATAAAAAGCAGCCTATTTTGATATTTTCCTCTGATTATCACTCAGTAGAGACAATTCCACAAATTTCATGCTCAAACATGACCCCTAATGGATTTCAACATAAGCAACAAAAAATAAATTTGTCCATTTTTTTCCTGCCTCATCATCAGTAATACTACTCTTCCACTTGACTTTCAAACCTTGCATTGAGATTTCCATCATGTTCACTAGTTTCTGTGCTTTCCCCTCTCAGTATAACCTCTCTATACATACCTGCCAATTCCACTTTGAAATCCCTGGTCTATATCTAGATAATTTCAAACATAAGCTGCGGTTGTTATTTTCTGCTGGCCTTCTAGCTGTCTTTGTTTTATTTTACTGCACAATTCTTTAAAATCCTACAAACTCAGAATATACCTACATTAGTGTTCAGAACATACACATGAGATTTGAGGTGATAAATCCAATTCTTCTTGTGTACTTATTTTGATTGATATTTGACTTTTATTTGGCAAGGTCAATGTGATTTATGAAATATTTATTACATTAAAAGCTATTTATATGAAGAATACCCCTCCCCCATCCACCATAGCTCAACACTGTTAATCAGGATGTCTGTTCATGTGATAATACTCCCTTTAATACAGCCATTTAAAAGCTACAAGAAACAATAAGCTTCTCAGCAAGGATTTATAAACAATCACTCTTGAATTCCTTAAAAAAGGAAACAGACGCTATGCTGACGCACAAACCCTTAAAAAAAAAAATCAGAGGGCTTAAAAATAGAACACCACTGCCCTATAGATCAAAAATCATTCAAAAGATTTTTAAAAAGTTAAGCACCCAAACTGAGCTTACATAAGACACAAACTCAAAAATCTTCATTAGATTTTTATGTTTAGCACTTTATATATGAATGCATAATATAGCAGTAAATATTAAGTTTTTTAAATCCTATCTTCTGTAAAAGTGAAGTTCACAATGCAAGAGAACACCCTTTTCTCACACTTCAATATGAAAAACTTTTATTTTCCATATAATGTCAGTTCTGAATCACAATGCTTACCTGAAGGTCATCTCATTTTTCTAAAATAGACTACTAAACTGGATATTCCACCACCATCTTTTTCTCTACCCATATTGTTTTAGGTCTCAATAATTAATTCATATTTTACTGTCCACAACAACTCTGTGAAGTGACTCTTCCTAGTTTCCTTTTGTGTTTGCTTATTCTAGGTAAGAAAATAGTCTCTTCATACCATTGTCAGATTGAGAATGATTCACCCCACTGGGTAATTCTTACTCCTATTCCACCCTGCCAGTATTTGGACTGAATCTCAAAGCTCTGATATAGTTAATGATTTACTGTATGTCCAGAAACATTGAGATGAGAGACAAGCTATAAATTAGATTCTGTATCAGATCCTGTTGCAATCCTTTCCATGAATTATACATTTTCTAATTCTCCTAAAGTTTCTTTTTTCAGAAAAATTTCCTTTTACAGAACAAGCTATACCAATAGACTAAAGTCTGACTGGATTTTTTGAAAAAACAGAGTGATGATAATGATCTAACTATACAACTATGCTTTACAATGGCAGTTTGCCTATAGTTAGAACCTATCTTTACCTATTTCAATCAGAAAAAAAGTTACACTGACTGTATCTCCATAGTAGACCCATGTTTGCCCAGAAATGAACAAGCATTTATATCATTAGCATTTCAAACCAAGCAATTCCCTTTATTTTTACTAACACAATCTAATAAAGAAAAACTTAACCTTGTATGAATCTTTGTAATAGGTAGAAAGTATGTTGAGTCAAGAAACCTAATTTTTAGACCTTCTTATGCAATTACCTGATAATATGGTTTCTAGAAAACCATATAACCTTCAGGAGCCATGAGTTTTTGTCTATAAAATGAGGGCTTGGACAACACTCCTTACATTAGTAATCTATAGCTCCCTTTTGTAAATTATTGTTAAAACACTTGAGGAATCAAGTTAGCTAAAGCTATAGTTAAGTCTGAATTAAGCAAGGTTAAATCAATTTCTCTTCTGTTTTTTATGACAATGTCTGACTAAACTATAATAATCTAAAAGATGTCTGTAGGTGGTATCTTATAGAATTAGTTATTAAATTCCTCATGAATTCTATTCAATGTCTTTTTAAATAATTCTATATAATAAAAATATGCAAATTAAATTTTAGCTTTCCTTCAGTGTAAGCCACAATCTGTACTGTGTGTTCACCAATAAAAATACCTATTAGCCAACTAACCAAACCAAAAATCCGTTTTTTTCTTTGGGGAAGCCGAAGAAAGGTAAAAGAAAAGTAGACCAGTTGTTCTTAAGACAAATAACTGGAAAAAAAAGTCCATTTCAGCTAGAAGGGATCTTGAAAATAACTGCTTTCTTATTTTACAAGTTAACTCTCTTAGAAGTACATTCTGGGGGCTAGGGATATAGCTCAGTTGGTAGAGTACTTGCCTCACATGCACAAGGCCCTGGGTTCAATCCCCAGCACACACCAGTAAATAAATAAATAAATAAAACATTAAAAAAAAAAAAAAAAAAGAAGTACATTCTGTATCACCAGTAATAAGATCAGTAAACAAGTCTTACAGAATAGCTCAAAAAAGCTAATAATTAACAATAATTGTGTATACTACAACTCATGAAAGCTGCTGGTGGATTCCAGTTACATTAGTAATAACATTTATGACATAAAGCTTTCAATTACATTTCAAAATAAGAATGAAAAAAAAATGTCAAAATTAGCCCCAACACTTCTAAAACTAGCTGACATTTGATTTTTCAAGAAATTGCTGAGAGGAATCTCTCTCTCTCTTTTTTTTTTAATTTAACTGTTTTAAACTTCAATACTTTGGCAAAGTTCTACAAATTTAGAAATTTAAATATAATAAGAAGAAAAACTATGCAAAATATTCGATTCAAAAGCTAAAAATTAATAAAGTAACTAATAACACCATGACAAAAGTGCTATAACCAACAACTTTGGCTAGCATTGTACACATTCAGGAATGAAGACTGACAGAAAAAGTATCAGCTTGTTCAAGTTAAGTTTGCTTTATAGTATGCTCATTCAAAAAATAAAGCACAGTTCCCCATAAAAGAAATATTTAATTGCAGTTCTGCAACTGCTTATGAAATATCAGAAATTAATTCTGTGAAAAAAATCAGTTTAAAGAACAATTTTTATAATTAACAATCAAGTTTTATAGAAACAATTAGATTAGAAAATTTGGAATTTAAAAGTATTTTCCAACCACAATCCCAACCACTGACTTGTGATAAGAAACACCAGGAATGCTTTAGCTGTTTCCACTTATATTGCTTGATAGGAAAACAAATTAAAAATCCTGTCCTTACAGAGAAAAAAAATTAAGTATTAATTTTACTCTAAATAGTCTAAGAATCCCACTCCCCCCCAAAAAAACATTTAGGATAAAATGAATATTTAGTTTAAAAATGTTATTCTGGATCATAAAGTATAATATAAAAGGTTAATGAACATTAACTAATTAGGTAGATCATAATAACTACTGAAAATTGTTACCTCATAACTAATTTTTAATATAAACATTAGGAAACTTGTTTAATTTCCTGTGCTATTAAAATTTTTTAATAAAATTTTTGGATCAGCAAAATGATCCAATGACTACAGAAATTTTTAGGAGAAAAATTACCCAAAAAACTGAAATCCCACACTATTTTTCTCTTACTACATTCAACATATGTCTCAGCTACTGCCTACTACTACCAAATGGTATGTGTTCAGAGAACCCAAACTGCTTATAAAACTAACCTATGGAAAATACTATTATTTTACTATGGAAAAAATTAGCTAAAGGACTACCAGTGAGAGGCCAAATAAAAACTGAAACCAAATCAAGCAAACATTGGCTAATTTATCCCCGAGAGATACGGAGATAATGAACAGATTGTATTTATGAATAAAGTGATTTTGACCACTGATAAAAATATTATTTTAACTTAATTTCACTCCTTGTAATGTGGTTCTGATTGTAGTTAATAAATTGAACAGATTAACATTGTTGAATGCTCTTCATTCATTTGATAAATATAATGGATATATTTAAATGCTTAATTTAACTGGTATTATAATAATTTCCAAAGAGAACTGAGAATCCAATAGGCTAACTTTAAAAATGGAAGAAAAATTTCCCTAGAAACATACATCTAGAAATAGGAAAAAGAAGTTAGAGCACTTGCCTAGCATGTGCCAGGCCCTAGGTTCAATCTCTAGTCTCCATCCCCAACCCCATTACAAGAAGAAATGGGGACGGAAGTTAACTTTAACATTTAACAATTTAAGAATAGCATTTATGTTATTGAGTTACATTTGATTTTAAATCATTTATAATTTATAATAATCACTTTATAATAAAAAGCTTTTGAAAACAGTTTACATTTATATTTTTGCAAAGTTTTCCACATGTGGTATTATTTCATTTACTATTCCCACCAACATACCAAGGTAGCTATTTGATGTTGATTTTTGAGATTAAAAAATCAAGTTTCTGTGACATTAAGGGACTATGAAAAAGTCAAGTTTCCAAGTCTCAGTTCAGTGCTCTAATACTCACAACATACAAAATTTTACAATTATAAAACTTCTTAGTATGTGGAGAAATTGAAGGCTGAAGAACAGATGATCATGTTGTTTCATTAGAAGAAATGAAATTACAAACAATCATTATATATTTATTCCTTACCTCTCAGACATAATATTTGATTCTGCCTATACTAATCTTCCTATTGTTATCTGGGCAGGTTTATCTCTAAGAATTTCCCTGTTAAGATGAAACTGTTTTCTAAAAATAGCATTAGTTATTTTTAAAAAAGGGGGAAAAATGCTGAAAATACTTAAATGGAATTGCTAAATTTAATAGATTTAGGAATGGGAATTATGAAAAAGCAATGCTGCGGATATTTTTACTACTAGCACAGTTCTGGTGATATATGCATATTATAATTTCTACTTATTTTACGCTCAGCAATAGAAGTAATAGAAAGAAAGAAAAAAGAGATAAAGGAATATATAGCTTTTAGACTCCAATGATAATTTATTATTAAGTTTAATGTTTCTTCTGCTTTCTAACTGGATAAGTTTAATTAAGGGACTCATTTTCTCATCTGTAACTCTCTGTAAGGTTTAAAATAATGTATATAAATGTGGTAGAAAATATAAAAATTCAAGGAAATATAAGTGGTGGTTTTAGTCAAAGAAAATGATCTCTGAGAATGCAGAGATTTTAGATCGTTAGTTTGTTTTCTATTTTAGGCACAATAACCTACACAGCAGACAGTCAGCTAGAAGCAGTAAAACAAAATAACAAACAACTTCACATTTCTTACCTGCATACATATGGTATGTAAGTCTCTCTATAAGTTTAATAACAGTTCCTGCTTTAATAATTGGAATTCCAGCCTTAGGTTGCATGTTCTCTTCAAATATAATATTCTCTTCAGAGTCAGGCTCTGCAAATCTATACACATCAGCGCTAGGCAGCCTCATCTGCTCTTCCTTCTCTTCTTGTAGCATTGTTACATCAAGCATCCTTTCCAGTGTACTCCGGTACTGCAAAGATATCAATGCTGCCATCCAATTGTTTTTCTCTTCAGCTGACTTGGCAGAAAATATAACACTATTTTCATCTTTTAGAATTATTTCAAAAGCATGCTTGTATTCACTGGTGTCATCTTTATCATTAATTTGTACCTTTCGCATAAAAAACTTTTCTTTCAGACGATATTCTGCATTGCTAGCACCAGGAAGTCTTGGCTGCCCATGATTTGATTTACAGCAAATCATTAAACCATCAAAGAGAAATATGTGTCTCTCATGTTTGGCTCCTACACGTGTAAGAGTTCCTTCCATTATAAACTCATTGCAACACTGTCCGATGTCTTTTCCCTCCCAACCATCAATATTCTTCTGAATCTCGTTCATTTTCTTGATTGCTAGTTGTTTTCCCTTCATTTGCTGACTATAAAACCGACATGCAGATTCACTGGGATAAAGGAAAAGACATTATTAGTGCACAGATGACAAAGAATCTACAGTTCATGTAAATAAGGGATAGGGTAAAAGTACATTTTCAAAAGTCACACTGATAAGGTGTTTACTAATTCCTCAAATATATTAGTGGTACACAACTACACAATTTTGGAAACTAAAACAACACAGAAAAAATTTTCAGTGCTCTAAAAAGAACAATGACTATTGACAAAATTCAACCATACAGATTCAGCTACAGTATGATTATTTCTATCTTGGCTACTAAATATTTAGAATGCAAACATTAAAAAGTAGCCCAACATAGTGAAAAAAAAAGTAATTTAAGAGATTAAAATAAATTATTTACAAGTGTTTAAATGGACAAGACCCAAAGTTAGAAACACATAGCACATATTATAATTAGGAAAGTGGAAGTAATGTTATCTGAATTAATGCTTTGAGTTATATAATCCCTAAAATAAAGGGCATTACTAATTTTACTTTGACAGAACAATGATGCTGACATAAATCTACCCAATACATTTTGCTCTATCTCTCCTTTAGCTTACCAGTTGATTTTCAGGAGGTCTTGTCTGGGAGTATGAAAGGAAAATGCACAAATATGAAAGGTTTTTCAAACAATAACAAATTCTCCTGGCTTTGATGTCACTTCCTCTGAAAGACCAAGCTTGTCACTAAAACTATTTTCTTCATTGTTTACTTGAGGAGGGAACTGGGATCCCTGAATTTACACCACAATATTCAGGGTGAAAAGGAGGATACTTTAAAAAGTGAGAATATTCACCTCAGCCTTCGTTTTGCAAGACTTTTAGAACATATTTTTTCCATACCACTTTGAACATTAAGCAAAGCTGTTATTGCTTGTTTCAAACATTCTTTGTCTTCTTGATCTTCACTCTTTTCTTCTAACTGCTGTAAAGCCAAAAAGATAAATCTGAACCAGAACAGTTTTAGACAGAATAATAAAGCCATTTAAGAATTAAAAATAACAATGGCTGGGGATATAGCTCAGTTGGTAGAGTGCTTGCCTCCCATGCACAAGGC